AGACTGGGAATGTCGTCAACGCTCGCCTGGCCCAGCAGAATGGCATTGACTGCCGTAAACAGCGGGTAGTCCTTCTCTAGCCCACGAGCCTTGAGAAAGCTGTTGACCTCAAACGCCGTGCTGGTGCCCTGGAGCTTCTGGCCGTTCAGATCCTGCTTCTCCACCTCGTCGACGGTAATGCCCTTTTCAACAGCCTTCCTTGCGCATCGGAAGTTTCGACCTCCAGAGCAAGAGGTGATCAAATCAGCAACACCGGCAGATGACTCGGTGAACGTCGCAGTGTGCACGGTCTCCCCAAAAAACTCCTTGCCAAACTTGACCATTTCCATCAAGCCAATTCGCATAACAGCGGCCTTGGCATTGTCACCCCAGCCGCGGCCGTCAACGAAGCCCGCAGCGAGGGCAACAATGTTCTTCAGCGCACCGCCAAGGGATACGCCAGCGACGTCAGACACCATCTCGACGTGGAAGTAAGGTCGGTGGAAGAGCGAATGGAAGCAGGCGTGGTCGAGCGGGGGATAATCCGCGGGCACGGGCGTCAGCTTGGTCTTGGACTTGCGGCCCCTGGCATCACGATGCTGCATGTCGGCTGGAGGCTCCGTGACGGTCATGGTTAGGCCGGGGCTCTGGGACCGCGGCGTGGGCGCCCTGCTGTTGTCCATTGGCGGCGGGTCGTAGGCAATGGTCGTCTCGGACCACTTCTCCGCGGCAATCTCGCTGGCGATGTTGGCCCCGCTCAGCGCGCCGACGTAGATGTTGAGGCCGTCGCCAATCCATTCGCTGAACAGGCTGACGCCGTCGTCGGACACGTTGACGCCCTTGATGCAGCTGATGCCGCGGGCAAAGGGCAGGATCTTGCCGCGGATCTGGTCGCAGACGTTGCGGATGAACTGGTGGGGGAGGTTGAAGATGAGAATCGACGAGCCTTGGACGGCGTCCACGAGGGAGGGGTTGGCGATGATGTTGCTGGGGAGGGTGATGCCGGGCAGGTACTTGACGTTTTCGTGGTATTTGTTGATGACGTGGGTCAGCTTCTGAGGAGCATCGCCGATGGATTCATCGTAGTGCTTGGAGTCTTTGGCGATGGTGACGTCCTCCTCAAACACCCACATCTGGACGTCCTCCTCGAAGACATCCTTGTTCGCTCGTGTGTTTTCGGCAACGATTTTTGCAATGGTAGATCCCCTGTGTGATGAATAAAACCCATTAGAAATATTTTATCGACGCAGGTATTGACTCTGACACATACCAGTTACCAGATCCCACAATGGTGACCTTGTGCTTCTTCTCGTATCCGCCGAGGAACGCCATCTTGCCCGCAGTTGTGTTGAGGGGGGAGTAGCTGCTGCTGCTGTAACGGTGCAGGGTATTAAGCTGTGAAATCCGCAGAAAAAAATTGACGCGAGAGCCGCAGAGTCGAAGCATATACAGTCCGGGCAAAAAAAAAAACAGGAGAGCCTGCTACATATATATCTTGTATGCCGTGTCTTATTTATCCTTGCTGCAAGAACAGGGAACAGAAAAAACACCTGCAGCTCGTGTGCCAAGCTCACTCTGCAATGACGCATAGGTTCGGGGGTAAACGGCCTCACCGCTTGCCGCATCGGGCGGAAATCCCCCCAACCGATGAACCGCTGGGGCGGCAGGAAATCGCATGCGCCAGCCGCGTATTTTCGCCGAGATGCGAGGGATGCAGCGCAATCACATGCAACGTCGACCCCTGGGTCGAATTGGACTTTCACATGCCAGTGCTGGATGACGATATTAACTCATTTATTGAGGTAGATGTCTGCTGATATCACAAGATTGAGATTGTTATTATTAAAGGCTGTTGGCCTTGGCAGGCACGGTAAGCGAAGAAATAATTATTTCTGATGGTGCCTGGGCCGAGGACTGTTGCGTTGCATATTGAGTATGTAAACTGAAAACAACCATGCAACAACTCGCCAACTGCACGTGTTATTGTGTGATACGGTTGATCCAACATGAAAATACAATTCAAAATCAAATTTCAATGGCCATTCTATACATAGTTGCTTTGTAAACCGCCCTTTGCTCCACGTAGTGCGGAGACAGCGTCAGCACCAGTGAAATACGTCGAGGTCTAAGTCTAAATTCCAAAAAACGCCCGCCCCTTATTATCACCTCTCTTCTTTCTCCTATTTCTCCTCCTCTTCATTTTCTTGCATCAACGACGCCTTTTCTTCATCTGTGCCGCCCGAATACGACTTGCGTCTCATCATCTTCGCCTTCTCTTCCTCCTCCATCGTCCGTTCGCCATCGCCAAAGATGAGCTTGAATACCTTGTCGTAGCTGTACCACATGACGCCAAATGATCCTGAGATTATGCTCGCGCACCATCGAGGAACTCGGCCTGTTTCGTCTGCCAAAATCCTCGTCATCGACATCATGACAATCAGCATCGGTGCCCAAGCAAAGATGAAGACGGCGTGGCCAAGTTTTTGCCTGATGCTGGTGGTTGTATAGGGCTGGAGCGAGGCTAGGTGGTCTTGGTATGCCTGAGGGAGCTCATGTTCCCTTGCACCGTCTTTCAGGAGCTTTAGGTATCGAGCACTTGGCTGGGCATAGTCGGGGCTTGGCCTTCGGGGGCCCAGAGCAAGCCGAGCCCACCAGCTTTTGTTCTTGTCTGATGCGAGAGGGATATATGGACAATAGAGCGTTCTTGCGAGGAACGGTCTAGGAATGTCTGGGAAAGTCGGCTTCTCGGGGATGCCAACATCTGCGGGCAGTGGAAGACAAGGGACCTCAATTTCCTGATAGCCTGAGCCGCCGCCTTCGGTTCTCATGATGTTTCGCCAATCCTCCTGTGTCACTTCGTATACGATTCCCATAAGGCCACCGTCCCATCCCTGCCCGGACTTTGGCGGGCTGATGGGCGGAATGATGGGCGGGTGAAGAGGATCGGGCAGCTTGGGTTCTTTGGGGAGTTTTCTGAATCCGACATTCGCGAAGCACGGCTCTCGGTAGGGGAATCCGGGCAGGTCGAAGGTCAGCTGCAGAATCGGCACGGAGACGTTGATCTGGGATATCGGCCGAATCTTGCGCATCCCTAAAAAGGTCTCTGCGCACATGTTGGAGCCATACGCCAGATATAGAATGGTTGAGGCAGCCTCTGCAAATTCTTTGGGTGCGTCTTCGGCCGCTTGAGCGAGACGCTTGGGCGAGATGTCTGGAATCGACGATACGGGGGGATACGAGCCGTCTGCCGGGTGCTGCTCGGTGGCCTCGGCCTTTTCCAGCGCGGCCACGGCGGTTGAGGGCCGTTCTGGAGATTCTGATCGCTTCATGCTGGGCAAATGTGATGAAAACAAGCTGGAGACACGCTGGAAACAATCAAAATCAAGTGCTGTCTCAAGAATTCGCGGGGGATGGGCACAATCGGTTACTATTTATCCACGCAGACACACCAGCTTGAAACGGCGACCAGGGGCCATTTCGCACCACATCCTTCGCAACGCTGCCTAGATCAATCACAACGCATAACTAACTGCCGCTCTCTATTTTTCTTCCTTCTAAGCTGCAGCTAGCTGATGCGGAATTCCTACGCCTGCGGAGCGTCGGACTGGACCCTCGTTGCGAAAACCGATGGCCCGACCTATCGCAACCTTGCACCGGCTGAATAATCACAAGGTCTATGACAGCATTTCTCCAGCAAAGGGGGAAACTCCGCACACGATTCGATTTTGATCTCTCCGCTCGGCATTCTTCTTCTTTTTATGGATCGTTCGGATCTGATAAAGGAAGCGAGCTGAAGCATCGGATTATGGGGCAATCTAGGCACAGGTCACATACGCCTACGAAGCTTTTGCGGTGCCGAAGACAAGGTGAGGCGAGGCGGGCCGTGAGATGGCATCGGGACCTAAATTGGCCTGTACGGAGGCGAATGCTGCGGTGAGTGTATCATTGCAGAAACTAATTCAGCTGCATGTTTCTAATTCGACAATGCCTTTTATTGAAGGTAGCATCGCATTTGTCAGTGCATTCTACTGACCAAAAACAACAACGTTGTGGTTGATGCTCGACTTTCCTATTGCAGACAAAGGATCAAATACGAGAACATTGAATAGACGTAAACCACAACCACAATCGTGACTTGATTCAACAGCATCGTAAACACCACATGATTGGCCGTAACGCATTTCATAAGCTGTATCAAGATATGACCAATAGCGTGTTAGAAGAGCGAATAGGTAGTCAATCAAGCATCGTGCTGCATCCTTGCAACGACAGGGCACATCCACAATCTAATTTTCCCTGCGGTCCACAATCCCTCAAAGCAGAGACCCGCCCCCTATGATGGCTGATTCAAGACAGCACCAACATGTGCCAAACAGATTCGCCAACAGCGCATGGAACCGCCTGTAAAAGACCCTCTCCAGAGGCGAATGAGACGCGCCAGCGCCTCCCAAATGGGTAGTCCTCATCAGCCTCACACGGCGCTTCCATCCGGTCCACCTTTCGAGGCCTAGCACGTCCCCTAAAAGGCCATTCTTTCGTCCCATTGCGACGCCGGCTGGGTCGAAGCGCGGCTCAGGATGCGTTGAGCCAGGGTGCTAGCCTCATTTTAGGCAAAGTGTCTCAGATGGAAACACTGGGGCTCGGTGAAAAAGGAGACTGGGACATGAGATTAATATGGGAATACGAGTAGATGTCGTGTCCTCTTTTAATGTCACTGCCATTGGGAGAAAAAAAAAAAAAGCTCAGGCCGGTAATTTCTCGCGTTTGCGCCTCTTTTCATTCTCTCTCTCTTACACTTCGTCCTGCGATGCTTATTGCGTGAATGAATACAAAAGTCTGAGATCAAAGTGAGTTTTAGCCTTTTTGTGCTGCGCCCTTTTTGCCAACTTTGCGCTTACCTTTAGCCTCGTGGGCGTTTGCGTGTGCCTAGGATTCTTCAGACTTACGGCAGAAATTACATCTTGCCATCCACTCGTTAAATTATTGTCATCAATTCTTGTTAATCGTTGATTCCGGAACCAATGGCTGCGCCTGTATCCGATGTGCCCAGGATGGGCGTTGAGATGATGCTGGAGCGCATCATGGGCGCGATGGAGAAGCAGGTAAGGGGCAACTCTTTTAAGTGAAAATGACCGACTGAGGGCTACGATTTTGCCGACGGCAATCTCGGGCTCACTATTCGGATGCGCTTGCGGAGATGAGATGAGACTGAGACTGACGAATGAGTATAGAACCAAGAATTGACGGAGCTGCGTAGAGAATGCTCGGATCTCCGATCCTCAAACAAGAGCATGGAGATTATGCTCCAGAACATTGCTGTACGCCATTACCCCGTCTGCATTGTACAGTAACGGGCAGCCTATGCTCTCCAATTCTGTCGCGTAAATGCAGTACGCATTCTCTCATGTCAGCCATTCTAACATCTCATGATGCCCTCTAGCAGCAAGGACGCAGCAACAGCCCAGGCGGCCTGTCTCCCAGCGTCGGCCGTGAGCGCGCCCGTTCGCCTTTCCTGCCTCGCCACTCCTCCACCCTGCAGACTGTTCCTTCGCAAATCTCCATCACGTCGCCAACTCGCGAGCTCTCACTCCAGTCATTCCCTTACACTGATGACCGCGAGATCCCCGGCTTCTACGTCGTCATCCCCGCAGGCGGTGCTGGTACCCGCCTCTGGCCCCTTTCTCGAGAGAACCACCCCAAGTTCCTCCTCGATGTCAACCTCTGCGGCAATAGTCTGCTGCAGTCGACCTGGGATCGACTCCTCCCGCTGGCTGGCCCCTCGCGTATGACTGTTGTCGCCGGACCTGCCCACTCCGAGGGCATCCTGGGCCAGCTGCCCAACTTGGCCGCCTCCAACCTCTTCACTGAACCCGGCCCCAAGGATTCCATGGCCGCCATCGGTTTGGCTGCCGCAATCCTCGTTAAGCGCGACCCCGACGCTGTCATTGGATCGTTCGCCGCCGATCATATGATTTCCGGCGAGGATGCATTCCTGAGTGCCGTCGCCGAGGCTGTCGAGGTCGCAAAGGAGGGCTACCTCGTCACAATCGGTATCGCGCCGTCTCACCCTGCCACTGGCTTTGGTTACATCCGACTGGGCGACCGCCTCAACCTCAAGTCGGCTCCCCACTCGCGCCTCGTCAGCTCCTTCAAGGAGAAGCCTGATGCCCACACTGCTGCCAAGTACCTCGCTACTGGTCAGTACCGCTGGAATGCGGGTATGTTCGTCACCAAGGCCTCTCTCCTCATGGAGCTGATGAAGGAGAACTGCCCCTCTCTGTACGAGGGCCTGATGAACATCTCCGATGTGTGGGAGGATGAGGCCGCTCGCAAGGTCGCCTTGGAAGAGGTTTGGCCTATGCTGGAGAAGATTCCCATCGACAATGCCGTTGCTGAACCTGCGGCTGCCGAGGGCAAGGTTGCCGTGATTCCCGCGACATTTGGTAAGAAACTCGGCATCTTTCACCTAGGCGGATCGTTTATGCTGACTCGTATTAATCAGGTTGGGATGATGTCGGTGACTTTTCTTCTCTGGCTGAGATGCTTCCCGCCGAGTCTAACAAGCCTCGCGTGCTGGGCGACCCAAGACTTGGTAAGATGCCCTATTTCATTTCTAGGCGCTCTTTTATACTAATCTTACTATTTAGTCGTATCTGAGCAAACCGCTGGAGGAATCGTCGTTCCCGTCTCCGGCCGCCTCATCACCTGTCTCGGAGTGGACGACATCGTCATTGTCGATGCCCCCGATGCGCTCATGGTCACCACCCGCGCACGTTCCCAGGAAGTCAAGTCGCTGGTTAAGAAGTGCCGCGAAGCTGGCTGGAAGAACCTGCTGTAATTGTTTTTTTTTTACGGGTGCTGTTTACGAAGATGTACATCTTTTCTGAGGCCTTTTTCTTCTTCTTCTTTAGCCTTTGCGAGAGAGTTGCCCCTTCACAGCTTGGGCACAATTATTTAGGGCGGTATGTCGCTACGCATTTACTATGATTTTGATGCTTCTTAGTTCCATATCATTTTTATACATAATTAGGATCCAATTAATTTCATTTCACACTCTATTGCTGGTTCTAGACGCCAAATCTTGGTGCCTCAGGAGTGCAGACTTTGCGGGCGACTACTTGCCAGCTGCGAGGTGCTCCTTCCCTCGCTTGTGTGCTCGCCCCCTCTCGACTGTTGCCCAAGCGGCAGATCACTTTTTCCCCCCCAGCTCTCCTCTCTCATCTCCTCTCCTCTTTTTTCTTCTCTATCTTCCTTCTTTTTCTTCTCTCCGTGCTGCTCGTCGCGTTCATCTTCTCCCGCGACTTTTGTGTTCTTTGACGTTCGCGTAGATATCTCTGCTCCTATCAACTGCGTTGACTAGCCTCTCTTTTCACTGGATCTTGCCAGAATCTCTCTGCCCACTACGTCTGTCAAGAGCATTTTTGTCCTCTTACCATTGTCAATTCATCTGGCTAAACTTGTTCGCGCTCCTGATTTCAAGAATTTGTCTGTTCTCGTCCCCCTGTTCAAGAAATCATCCGTTCTCGGCTGTTCTTCGTCGACACCATCTCTGTTCAATCACACATCATTCACATAGCACTCCTCACTATGGTTCCCAAACTTCGTTCAAAACCCAACACCCGTGCCCGGGTCCAAAGGGCACCAACCAAGTTCAGCGAACTAGACGTCACTCCCAGTCGACCCGGTGAAGAGCTTCATCCTTCACCTAAGAATGACAAAGAGAATCTGCCCCCCTCTCGGGCGAATGCAGGCGACTGCTTTCCTGATGATCGTAACACTGGAGACTCTTTCTTCGACGATACTCAAGACATCACAAACACGGCCACATTCGCATGGTCAGACGGCGGCTCCACCAATGTAACTCGCCGGAGTACTCCAGCGCCTCCTGATGACTGCCCATCAGAAGAGCTTTGGGATTTTGATGACGCGGACGATGAAGCGTTTGTACAATTGCTTAGCCAGGATCCAAAGAATACAAACCTGCCTGACACTGTGCCCCTCAAAGAGCCCTCCCTCACTCCGGGACCCCATATCGATTTCTCGGAAACCGCGTCTACTGTTCGTCGCAGTTCGCCGTTCTTGACGAGCGACGCACGAAAAGACATTTGGGATTTTTCCGACAGCCAGTCGGGTAGTGATTCGCCATCTAACGCACTAGAACCTACCGACCCGACAGAAGAGCTCTCTCTCGCCCTAAATCTGAGATCACAGCACATAGCTATGGATGACATATACGATGTCACGCCGAAGAAAGCCACGGCGCCAGCTCAGGCAAAGGTGGCAGCTGAGTCCAAGGCTAAAAAGTCGAAGAGTGTCAGTGCCGACCAAGATCGTTCCACTACCACGGTCACGCATTCAAAGTTGGAGACTCTTAGCCAACCATTTTCACGTGTTTCTGCAAAGAATAAAAGACCCCAACAGAAGGCAAAGGAACCTATCCAATTCGATCCTCTTACGCAAGAGATTGTTGATGTGCCTGCATCGAGGAAGAAAAACCCCCCTCCTAAGCGATCTATTGTGAGTGCCATGCAAGAATCTGCGAAGGCATTGAGCTCTCCATTTGTCGGCACCAAAAAGGCTCCTCGAAGACAAGCTCCAAAACGAAAACAGCCCAAAGTCACGCTTGTAAAGAAGAACAAGCCTGAGGCAGAGGTAGTTCAGCTTGGTTCGCCCACCGTCGATGTTTTGGAGAGCAGTCCTATGCAAATCGCCCAGGCCGATTCTGCAGAAGTCTCTCCAGATTTGCGCCCTGTTCATCATGAGAGCAAGGCGATGGAAAAGCAACCGATCTTCACAGAGGACATTTCTGATTCTAAGCAAAAGCAAAAACGATACCTTCAGCAAATGTCACTCGCAATCAACGAAGCCAGTGATGAGCTCGAACCACTCCCCATCGAGCGTGCTCAACCCAAGCGAAGATATGTCTGCACAGACGACGTTTCTCATTCAAGGCAAAAGCAAACTGAGCACCCCCATCAAATGTCACTCACAATCAACAACCTCAGTGATGATGAGATCGAGCAATCCCCCATCAAGTGTGTTCAGCCCAAGAGAAGAAAACTTTCGAGACAGATTAGCATTTCTGAAAAGGGCAGCCCAGTTGTTACAAGAGTTGCTGCGCCTACCAGAAAAGCCGGCCCTACCATGACTGAGCCGCATCCATTCATAATGGAGAACACAAGGCCAGCGGTGGTAGTACAGCGTCCATCTTTTTTGAGGACTGACTCGGGGGATAGATTGTATGGACAGCAGTCGGATGATACTCTCGGAAGCAGCGAACAAAACCTCCCATCAAGATGGCTCCACGGTTTGGACGAGCAGCAGCCTCGCCCAAAGCATACCTCTAGCACGGAAAAGCACATTCATGATGACATCAGAAAGAGTTTTCTGCAGAGTGCTGAACCACCGCGAGGTCTTCAAGATATCCGGCCAGATGAAATAGTTGGTCAAAGTCAAGTCCATAGGCAGATTTCTCTCACAGTAAAAGTAAGTAGCGGTCAAAATAGGCAGTTCAGTGATGTGGAAGGCTGACAGCATGATAGCAACTGATGCTACACTTGGAGAGCAAGAAATCTGCCGCCTCTAATATCGTGGAAGCATACCATACTGGCGGGATTGCCTCGGTAGCGTATATGCAGCAACAGTGTTTGTACGACGGCCGGAGAGTGGTGACTGCAATTCGCAGACACGGTGCATTGTTTGACAAAAATCTACAAGCCGTCAAGGACGCCATAAAGACGCGCAAGCAGGCTAGGATTGGGATGGCGGGTTCGCTCAATGAGCTGTTGAAGTCGCAAAGCCAGACATATCACGGAGCACGTTTGAGCCTTGGAGCTGCTGTTTGATGGCTGCAGTGGGTTTTGTTCAGCGTATGCTGAAATAGCTATAAGTTGTTGTGCATTCGGCAGTAGCAGGACATATTGTATCTAGCAACGCAAGGGTAGAAGGAATGCAACCGTGGGTGCGTTGTCAATTCGTGAATAGCCAGTGACAATTGATTGTATGACATGTGCGTATCTTGTTAGGACGAACGAATCGATTTGAGGTGATGTGGCTGCATAATGCATCGTATGACTGGGCCGTGCGGTCTGAAGTGCCCACTCCACCAATTATGCGGCGCTGCATGATGGAGGCCTAGAACCAAGAAGCAGCATGTCGTGTCTGAGACGAGGTGTTTTGCTACATAAAATAATGCATCAAATGTATCAGTGGATGTAGCATGAGCTGGAGGATGAGAGTAAGAGGCTCAAGAATGGGCAATAAAAAAAAAAGAAACGAGCATGGATGACAGGGAGAGCCGGCGGTGAGAGGAGAGCGCCGCTGCTACCGGGATTTGTATCCTGGTCGCTGTATGTAGGTAATCACCATCACCGGTCGCCTGGGCGTGATAGGGATCGCGAAGGCCTGCTCAAGTTCAAGTAGAAAATATTGCTAATAGTTAGATAAAGTCGCTGTCTGCTTGAAAGATTCTAGTGGCTTCATTTGCTTTAAGCAGCCTCAAAGTTCTAACGGGAATGGAAGACACAGACTTGAGGGAAAAATGGTGAAGATAGGCGTCAACCAAGTCAGATCTAGATACAAAATATATAGAAATGAGCTCTAAAACAGCTGGCGTGGTCTATGAGAATCTGCCTCTAGGCCTACCTTGGTTGACGCATATCTACTCCATCACCTTCAAGCCTCTGTCTTCCTTTCCCGTGAGGGTCGTCTTGGGGCCCTTCAAGGTAAAGGAAGCCAGTGATTTCTTTAGGATGCTGATAATTGACTTTGGAAACGCTAGGCGTATTCTACGGAGATATGTGTGTTAGCATGTAAGTAAACGGCTGGGATGTTTTGAATTTTGCCAGCGAGCACTTGTAAGATGCAGGACTGCGGGGAAAGCAAGAGTGGCATGTGAGGCGGCGAGAGGTGAGAGACATGGGTGGGTTGTTTAAGTGATTTGGGGGTCGCATTTTGTCGATATGGGGGTGCGGTATGATTGTAAGAGAAGTTGGCGGAGTGGGCGAGTTGAGAGTGGATGAAAGGCAGCCATTTACTACACCCCGAAGGTCGGATACGAAGCAATGGATGGATATGGATATGCTGACTTGTAAGAAACAGGCACATGCATGGAATCAAGAGAAGAAGAAGAAGAAAAAAAGGAGGAAGAGGGGGGATATGAAGCAGAAAAGGGGATGATGCCGAGGCGTTGGGTATAAAGTACTGCCGTATACTTGCCGTATCCCGGTTTGCCGAGACAAAAAAGGTGACGTGACGTGCATGCCAGCGGGTAGCTGAAACGGAAGATGAGCGAGAGAGAAGAGGCGGAGAGGGACAGAGAGCCTGTGGATGTGAAATTGACTGAGGGGGGAGAAGCAATCCAGTAAAAGCAGGGAACACTAAAAGGAAAAAAAAACAAGCAAGGGTGGGAACCAAAAAGGCGGCGTAGCAATCCTGGATAGAAGAATAAGAAACGGGAAAATGGAAGCGTGTAAGAAGGGCGGGATCGTGTTTTGGTTGACATCAGCGATTTGGATGGCACAGGAATTCTTTGGCGTTGGTATATCTTTGGGGGTGCGCCGGGAGCAAAAGGGCGATTGTTGTGTTGTTGTAACCGTGCATCAATCTTTGTTCTCCAGTTTGCGTTTTGCTGGTCCTGCGATTTGACGATCTCTTGGGGATATTATTATTTTCATGTGTTGAGTTGTTGATTGATTATTGGCTGGATCGAGGATCGAGAGAGAAGTGCGTTTTGGAGATTTTGGAGAGAGCGGCTCAGACGTATCGTTTGGGGGGTTTTGGTGCCTAACTGGGGATAAATATCAAGGAGTCGGCAAGACGGACACTTTCATCGATTCGAGTTGGGAAAATTCAAGGTCGAATTATAAAGAGAAAGCAAGCGAAAAAGAAAACGATTGTCGAATCAGAATCAGCGTCATCGCTGCTCTACACGATGCCCTCGAGGTCTTCATCGGCGTCTTCATCGCCCACCGGCCACTGGAGGTGAGTTGCAGCGTTTATTTACTTGTACCTTTCCAATCACCCGCCCATTTTCTCCATCGGATGTCGTTCCTATCCATTCCCCTACTATGGCTGGCTAGGCTCAGCCTCATCCTCTTCAATTCCCTTAAACACCCGTAGTGGCGGGCGTTTATCAAGTGCAGCAAAAACCTTGACCGTTGCCCGAAGCAGCTCGCGGCCACTGCCGGTGCCTCCGGCGCTGGTGACTGAAAGCCAAACGCCTCAGGGCTCGGTTTCGACGGCGGTTTGTGATGCTTTTTAGAGGGAAGGGGGCAATGGAAAAGAATAGAAGGCAACGTCAAGTTGGAAATTGCCATGATGATGCGTATCGGCTCAGCTGATGCTGCGCGATTCACGCAATTTGCTGTTGTTTTTTCCGCCGTGGTTATGGACATGAGTGTGTTTCATAAGCTGCTGTTCGGGAGCATATAAGGAACATGCAAACCCTCTCACACGCTCGCTGAGCTTACTTGCTACCACTTGAAAGCCTTTTCTTATCGACTATTGCCTTGTTATTATTGTCATCATTGTCGTCATTATTGTCATCGCCCTACTATTGTTACTATTGTCATCTGCTATCACCAGCCTTATTGTACCTGTTGGGGGTTTCACAGCAGCTCTGAGTTTGTCCTCAGATCCGCTCCAGCAGCCCTGAGTTTGTCCTCAGATCCGCTCCAGCAGCCCTGCTTTTCAAACTTCAGGGCCTGGCTGGACCCCACGCCCCGCAATTCAAGTTTTCGATGCCCGTCTTCTCGGCAGCAGCCCATTCTGGCGCCACTATAAACGCTATTACCGCTAACACTGCCGCTGCCACTACACTTTTCACTGCACTATTACTGCACCTCCTACTGCCGCTACACCTAAACTTTTTCTACCAAGGTTTTTTCTCTCTTCTCATTACATTCCACCATCTTCGTCGCCGTCTTGTCTTCTCTGTCCTTTTGCCAACAGAGCTCTTTGATTCCTGACCGTTTGATTCTATCCTCTCTTTCCACTCTACAGCAGTCGTTTTACGGGCTTGTCTTTTGTCTATCGAAGTCGCCACAGCTCCAGCTCTAGCGACAGCACCAGCACCAGCACCAGCTCGTCCGAGTCGGAATCTAATCGCCAGTCGACGCCGCGCGACGATTCGCACAAGAAGAGGAAGAAACGCAAACACAGCGCCAGGATGCCTTTCCGACAGCGCATGGCCCGCCATTTTGGCGATTCTGTACGGCTTCACTTTTCCAATTTGATTTCAACTTATACTAGTTTTTTTCCCCTACGACTCCACCAGTTTTTTCCTACGTATTTATACGCACATACACACCATGTACACACAGGCTACAGCAGTAGTGCTAACATCACGTCATTGACGACGATCGGCAGCTCTCGCCCGAAAAGCCCTTCCTCAGCTACTACGATGTGCTGCTCACCATCGAAGACATGAAGTCGCTCAAGAATGACTGGCTGACCGACAACAACATCGCCTTTTGGGAGGAGTATCTCGAGCACGAGACGCTGCCGCGATTCCCCCAGGCCCGCATCATCCTGCTGCGCCCGAGCATGACGTTTCTGCTCATGAAGGAGCCCGATATGCGCCATGTGCGATCTGCGCTGCCTGACTTCAACAAGGTCACCCACGTCTTTCTGCCCATCAACGACAACCGCAATGTGGCCATGGCCGAAGGCGGCAGCCACTGGTCGCTGCTGCTCGTGTCGGTCCTCGACGGCATCGCCTTCCACTACGACTCGCTCGGCGGAGCCAACTATGCCGAAGCAAACCTGGCCACGCGAAAGCTGAGCGAGATTGTCCAGCGGCCCATTCGCTTTGTCAACTTGGAGGACTCACCGCAGCAGGAGAACGGCAGCGACTGCGGCGTCTTTGTCTGTCTCTTGATGCGACACTTGCTCGTCAAGCGCCTCTTGGCGGCTAATGCTCGCGAAAAGGTCTCCATGAGCATGGCTGGAAAAATGGTCGATAGTAACGGTGGCCGCAAGGAGATGCTCCGTATTATTGAGAATCTGCGCAAGGAGGGAGAGCGCCGCCGGTCGTGAGTTTCCCCCCCATTGCTATCTTTGATATACGATGGCTAACAGAGCTATAAGGAGAAGTGCGAGTCCCTTTGCTTCCACCAAGACACCGCCGCGAATTGAATAGAAAGCTGCTCGCTTCGGCTCTTGGGAAGATTTTGAGAAACTTATGCACCAGTCTGAAAAGGAATGCGACGAGGAAACCAAGGAGCAAACGGCCAAACGACCTCAATCGAAGGAGCTGCCTGCCATACCTGATGTTCCAGACACGGATGGCTCAAGTGAAGACTCAAGCGAAGGTGACTCAACAGAAGACAGCTCGAGTGTGGCCTCGCAACCTTCGCAACCTGGACGGCCTATGACAAGAGCGAGAGCCGCTGCTGGTAAAGGACAATTGCCGTCTCCAGCATCATCCAACCGCTCTACTTCGTCTGGAAAGTCTTCTTCAAAAGGTTACACGAGTCCGACGAGTCCAAAGAGTTCAAAGAGTCCCAAAAGCTCTCAGAGATTGAGCTCGAACTCGAGCCCTCAGAGCACTCCGAGCCCGATCCGCCGAATGCGCCGAATTGTCCAGCCGCCTCGTGATCCCAACAAACCTACCTGGCTCGAGTTAAAGTTTGCCCACAATAAAGGTGTGAAGCGGACTCGGGGCAATGCCCAGCGACCCGCCAACGCCACGCCCATCAAGGACCGAGGTCTCAGAGCATCCTTGGAATAGTTTTTCGGCTGGTGCCTGCACAAAATCATACCAAAGAGCGACGGCCTATCTGGCCGCCTAGATTAATACCGCGTTTTTTGATTTCACTATTTTTGCCTTTCTTTGTTTATTTTATTATTTTCCTTTACTCCTTTACGCCAACTGAGATTTCGCTTTCTATAGCGGGCCTAGTCTTGAGTCCTTTTTTTCGATGAAAACACTCTTGCATGTTTTGGAGTTGGATGCACACATATGGGTATGATAATGCGGAAGCGGAGGAGCATACCAGCAGGTCTCCGAGGAGAGAAAGCGAAAAGATATTTATTTGCGGGAGCTTGATGCTTGTACGCCAGAAAGAGTTGTGTTGTGGTTAGCGACGAGATGAGACGAAACAGAGCGAGGTGGAACGATACCAAAGTTTTCTTCTTTTCTTTTTTCCTGTTTTGTTTTTTTTAAATCTATCTTTTCTAACGAGATATGACCATGACGGCTTCAAAGAGGGAAGAGGGCATGGTGTTACAGGACATGGGCTTTTGAAGCCTTTGATAGCTTTTGTCAAGGGCTGAGGCCGACTTTTCTTTTTCTTTACTAAACATTTCAGGAAGGGAAAGGGTCGGCCTTTGTTTTAAGCATAGCAATTTTGTTTTATGAGCATTGAATTTTCGAGTATTGACCAATAAACTGATGATTTCCCAAACTTTGAATTCCGGTGTATAAACTCCAAACGCCTTGATGTTTCTATGCTGTAAATCAGTCGCCCAGTTGAACGTGGATCAATTATGCCCGCCACCATCCAATATGTCACCAAAATATGGCCATCTGGTTTTATGACTGACCCATGTGCACCCACCATTTGTCCTCTATAGATAGTTACTCCTTATTCACAAACGCCGGGTTCTGCTCCATCGTCGCTGAAATGTACCCCCTCAGCGCCGCCCATCGATTTGATACCACCGGTGCCGGCGCCGACGCTGATGCTGATATGTTTGAAGAAGCTGAAGTTGAGGTTGCAGCCTTTTCAGCCAACTGGACGCCATTCTGCGGCTGCGCAGGCATACTCGACAACTGCGCCATGCTCACACCAAACCTCTGCATCTCGCCCTTTAGCAGCCTCTCCTTCCTCTTCAGCGCGCCCTTTTTGCTCCTTAAGCTCTGGTGTCTAATCTTGCCCGCCAGAATCTCCGCGGCGCCCTCGCCGGCGGCCAATTCGGGCAGCGCATCGGCCAGGCTGTCGAGGGAGCTTAAGGTGGTTGACTTCTTGCTGCGCCCGCCGCGCTTGAGCGCCTTTTTGGAGACGCGCGCGGACGTGGTGGATGCGACGCGGGAGACAAAGGACGAGTGCTTGATGGTGCGCTTGTCGCGCTTGGAGGAGAGGAAGGAGTCGCTGGTCGAGGCGTTTTCGCGAAACGTCTTTTGGGGGGCGAGGGGGTGGATGGAGTTTGTGATGCGGGCGTGGCGGAGGGCGGTGGCGGATGGTTTTTGGGGGGCCTGGCCATTGAAAGTTAGCTTAGATTGTAGAGAGAGATATGGGTTGTTTTTACCATTTTGAAAGAGTGTCACATGCGAGTGATCTTGGTTGTTTTGGAGAGAAGCTGGTGATGATGAAATGGAGGATGGATATAAAAAGTTTTGGTGGAGACGCTTTTTGCGCTCGGTGAAGAGTGGAGTGGAAGCTTTGACCGACGGTGTGGGTGGGGTAAATTTCTGCCGGAGTTGGCTTAGATGAAAGTTGTAAGGCGGAACAGCCCTGATATAAACTTTACTTTTACACCTTGTCCGTTTGTTTTGTTCTGCTTCGAAGAATATAGAGTGCCGTTGGTTTTTTTTTTTTGGCGAAAAGAAATGGACAAGATAGAGCATCTCAGAAAGGAGATTGCGCAGAGAGAGGCTGAGCTGGCAGACTTGCGCGCGCGGCTAGCTGCGGAGGAAAAGCTGAGTTGCGCTGAGAGCGAGAAGAAGCTCGACGATGAAGAGTGGAAGTGGCCGCTGGAGGAGCATGACTATCAGAGGTATAGCAGGCAGATGATTGTGCCTAATTTCGGGTTACAAGGTATTCTTTTTGTCTTTATTTAACGCAATGAATTACAGCTAATTTGGTGTTCTCAGGTCAGCTCCATGTAAAGCATGCCAAGGTCCTTCTCGTCGGCGCCGGCGGCTTGGGCTGTCCCGCAGCGGCATATCTCGCCGGCGCTGGCGTTGGGACGCTGGGACTTGTGGATGGAGATGCTGTGGAAGTATCGAATCTTCATAGACAGGTTGCGCATGCGACGAGCAGGGTTGGTATGATGAAGGTTGATAGCGCAGTGGCGTATCTCAAAGGGTGAGAATGCTCCTTTCCTACTAAAAAATACTGGTTTTACTGACATTGCTTGACAGGCTGAATCCAACCATTACTTATAACGCTCACGCCACTCATCTCACGCCGCAGAATGCCGAGGAAATCGTCTCGCAGTACGACCTCGTCCTCGACTGCACTGACCATCCCACCTCGCGATATCTCATCTCTGACATCTGCGTCCTTCTTTCCAAGCCGCTCGTCTCAGCTTCTGCTTTTCAGACTTCCGGCCAGCTCATTGTACTCAACAACCCCCCTGGAAAAGGCCCCTGCTATCGCTGCGTCTTCCCGAAGCCACCTCCCCCGGAGAGCGTCGTTGGATGCGGAGAGGGAGGCATCATAGGACCCGTTGTGGGGACTATGGGCGTGTTGCAAGCACTTGAGGCGATCAAGTTGATTGTGAAGGGAGATCATCTGAAGAATGGTCTAATAAATGGAGATGTAGAAGAAGTCAAACAGGTTGGCTTGCTGCTTTTCAGTGCCATGGGCGATGTGCCGTTTAGGACAGTGAGGATGAGGGGCAAGAGAAAGGAATGTTTTGCCTGTTCTGGAGATGGCACGGCTTTGACGCTTAATGAGCTCAAGACGTCAATGGACTATGTCCAGTTTTGCGGCGTCAACCAGCCCGTCAAGCTGCTTCAGCCTGAGGAACGTATATCCGTTGCCGAGTATGAGCGCATATCACAGGAGCACAGGAGCCACTTACTCCTCGACGTAAGAGAAAAGGAGCATTTTGGAGTATGCAACATCAAGGGGTCGATCAACGTTCCCATAAGCCGGTTCACAGCTCACCGCGGGCAAGGGTCGGATTTGACGGACTTGATACCGGCAGACGTCGCCCCCGATTCGCCGATATACATTGTCTGTCGCGTGGGCAACGATTCACAGATTGCGGCCAAGAAGCTGAAAGACCTGGGGGTGGACCGCAATGGGGAGCGCTTTGTTGGAGATATTTTGGGCGGCTTGAAGGCATGGAAGGAGACGGTTGATCCGAGTTTACCATTTATATAGCCATGAGGCATAAGATATAGAGCATCAATTGCGAACAAGAGAGTTTTCTCATTATACATAATACACGTACAAAGTACATCCTACACGGCCACAGTCCCAACAAAAAGGGAAAGGGCTCTTTTTTGTTTTTCGTCCACCGGATTTTTCCGCCGCCCCAAAGCATGCTTTCAAAGTTAAGAAGGATGAGAAAGCGAGTTATTTTTCACGCACCGTATGATCTGCTAATCATTGCACATATCCATTGATTCCTTTGCCGAGTTTGTTGTTATGATTTTGTACCTCTGTGTTTTAAACAAAGGATGCCGACTTCTTCTTGTTAAACGCTCGCTGGTCCTTCAGCCACCTTCGATATCCGGCAACGCTCTGGATCTTTTCGCCGTAGAAATCGGGAACTAAGAAAGAAAGTGTTAGACATTATCAACTTGGGAGTCATCTTATCTTGTATTCGCGTACCTGGGTTGCCTGCGCTCGAATTTGTAGGGTCGGCGCGGTGCCGCTTGACACGGGCAAAGAACTCGCCCTCCTTCTGCAGCATCTGCGTCTTGAAGCGCCGGTTGATGATGTAAAACACCTGGTTGCCGAGCGTCGGTCCGACCAGCCAGCCCATGCCGGCGCACGCCATGGTCATGATGCCCAGCGTGAAGAAGGGATCCAGCGGAACCTGCGCAACCAGCGGCTCGGCAAAGCCCTCGGCTAAAACGACGGTGCCGACCGCGCCGCCCAGCAGGCCCGTGGCCACGGAGAAGAGAAGCTGGATGCGACGGCGGCGAAGGCGCAGCTTGAAGAAGGAGTCCCAGTCGAGGGCCGGCGCAGAGGCGTCGGCTGAGGCTGAGGCCGTGCTGGAGTAGGGCTGGAGACGCAGACGCAGGACCGAGGATGACGATGATGACGATGTGGGGGAGCTTCGAGTCTTTGCGACGAGGCTGGCGATGGACGGCCGCGAAGGGCTGGAGCCGGCCAGGCTGTGGTTGGCGCGGGAAAAGGTCGTTGCGGACAAGGGCACGCGAGGCTGAGCGCATAGAGGCGATTGCGCCAGCGGCGAGAATGAAGCTTTAGGACCGCATCGCACGAGGCTGGCGGGCGCTGCGGGGATGCGCAGGCATAGCGACTTGAGCGAGGATGACATGGTCGTGAGAGTATTTGGAAGCAGGCGGCCAGGGCCAATTGAAAGGATTCGACAGGCTAGGATGGTGATGGCCGAATCGGTGCGTTGTGTTGTGCCGCAGGCGATGACGGCTTGCTCTTTTTTTTTTTTCTCCAGCTGCTGCAAGGGTTTGATTTTGAGGTTTTGAGATTGGATGTGCAGAGTTTCAACCCATGCTTGGTGGAGGTCGGCCCGGGTATGCTTGTGGCCCCCACCTCGGAGCGCTGAGCTATAGTGGGCTGGGGCAGGCTGTAAGGCTACAGGCGGTGCTAGCCCCTCTACAGCACAGCAGCCCATGCTGTTGATGCTTGTTACGAGCTTCTATAATGTCACCGAGCAATTGATAGTCGCAGCCTACATCTCACGCGCCAAGCTGTAGCGAGTGAAGGATTGAGGCTACAGGGTTACGTTCCTTGTCGCTCACTGAGACAGGATGCAGGGTAATTGCTATCCCCTACCTCTGATGTTGACGAAGAGTCAAAGACAGCTGTGCGAATAGACTCTCATATCGGCGACGCTGTTACTGCTTAGTCATTCACGTTTGTCCAACTGACGTCGCGTCTGCCTTTTGTCGCCGTCGCCTTATCATCGGCACTTTAACGCAATTTCACGCTTCATACAAACATCGCACACGACACGCCGAGCTCCAGCCGCCTCGACGAGAGGCTCTCACCGACCAGCAGACTCAGACAATGAATAGGCGCGCTGGCTGCCCGAGAGCCTGCTTCTCCTTCTGCAGCGTCCTTTCATGATGTTTTTCGATCCGGAATTCTTGGATCGCCGCCTGGCTGGCAAGGGACTGGAGCCGCTCTCGCACGCTGCCGATCCAAAGCGCAAACCGAACCCTTCACACCAAGGCCAGCCCTCGAGATCGCGAATCGCCGTGCCTCTCTTCTCGAAGCCTGCAGACTATGTGCCTGGCAGCGGTCCGCCGTTGCGGCCAATCTCCTTGCTCCCCGCAGGCGATTCTACAGCGTACATTCTCGAGCGTGTCCTGCTGCCTTCTCCTGGGCCAGCGCCGAATGGCAAGCCGCTGCCGAAGCGAATGGCCTATTTGATCGGGTGGCGCGATCTGCGAGCCGCGAGCATGGTGGTTCCCGCAATGCAGGTCCTGGAATACGTGTCTCCGCGGACGTTGGAGGAGTTTGAGGCAAAGCTGGAACAGGAGGTGGACGACGAGAAGGAGAAGCTGCGGAACGAGCTCAAGTCGGGCCTGGAGGCGCCGCAGAAGAAGAAGAAGAGAGGACGGCCACCCGCTCATAGCCAGATAAAGTCTGCCGTGGTGGCAGAGCCCGTAACTGAGACGCCGACACCGACGAAGCTACGGCACAAGAAGGGCGTTATCAGCCTGTCGACTCCCCAAAAGTCCAGGCTGGCGGATTTCGAGTGGTTGTCGGAAGACGATGCGAGCCCCTCGCGGCAGATTGCCGAGGAGCAGTTTCAGAGCTTGCATGGCTTTCTGCCTGAGCCCGAGGAGGGTATTCATGTGGTGGGAGACGAAAACGATCCTCTTGCAACCAGAAATCTCGCGCATCCCGTGCGTGGTGCTCCACAAGCAAGCCTTGTTCATACTGCTGGTAGCAACCCGGCGAAGCAGAAACAGCCATCGGCATCGCCTAACCCAGAATTCGCAAGGATTAAGACTCTTGTTTCCGCTGATGGCGGGGTGCAGACATTGGCGACTAATAAGCACAGCTTACCTCCAGTGGCTTTGTCTGTTGACGAGAGCAATTGGGGTAAACAGCCTTTATACCTGCCTCCATCGTCATCTGCCCCATCTGTGGTACAGACAGTACAGGCAGCACAGAAACAGGCAGAGATACAGAACCCTATAATCAGCCTTGGTGAAGGCGCCAAAGTAGACCAGAAGCTGGAGCAATCAAAGAAGAGACCCAGGTCTGACGACGAAGGTGCCAAGGGTGAGGCCCAAGAGGACAACGGCTGGGTGGTGGAGAGGATAGAAGATGTGGAATATTACGAAGTCGATGGCATTGGCTTGGTAAGATATTTCAAAGTGAGCTGGGAGGGCGACTGGCCACCAGATCAAAAGAGGACGTGGGAGCCGGAAGAAAACATTCCACCTAGTCTCGTACGAAATTTTTTCAAAAACTCGAGGAATAAACGGAGAGCATTATCAAGGCTAGGCACCCAGGGCCACAGCCATGGCCATCCCGAGAGAAAGGGCAAGCCAGTTAAACGGAATGGTGGCTCTTCAAAGAACACCCATAGTCAGGGACTTTCTCTGAAGCAAGGCACACTCTCATGGCCCGCCGTCCGCAGGCAGTACAAGAGCGTCAGCGAAGCCTTTGCCGCAGAAGATTATGACGACGGCCCCGGGATGATGGACAACGACGGCTACGAAGCCGAGGAAGAAGATCTCGGCGGGAACGGACAAAACGAATATTTTGTCGTGACGGAAGATGGCGACGAAAATTTGCGTGGCCGGAGTCTATGGCCAGGCGCTGGTGCTCTTTCATCTGCATTTGGCGTACTTGGGGGGCTGCAATGAACTGTTTTATACCCCGCTGCCCCCTTGAAACTTTTTCTTGATGTTTAAAAGGCGAGAGTGCTGAAATTAGAAACAGAGAGAGGCGTGTATCTGGAGAAGCGTTTATTCGGGCATTATCTTACAAATACCAGTTTCAGTATTCTCTACCCACAGTTGGAGAAGACAATTCCAAAAGGAATAGTATTTTCTAAAGCTAATTGAGCCTTTTATTTCCTCTATAGCATATCTGAAGCTTTTATTGAAGCCTTTGTTTGATCTCTTTTCATTATATATGAAGAAGGCAATAGCGCAGGATTGATTGATTTCTTTCTTATTATTGATGGGTTTGTTTGGTGGCGTAATACTAGGGAAATGCTATGGGTTGGAATGGTTTGAAGTCATTGGGATTTTTAGAATTAAGGGCATTTAGTATGCGAAAAGGAGAATTTGAGATTTTCCAACTCGATGGAATAAATATGACATTGTCTCTATCTCATTATTTCCATTTTGCCGAATTCTTAGTTACCCTTGATTACTGTCGTTGCTGTAAAAGGATAGATAGAAAGGTTCATGCGGATTGTACTTGACATTAAGGGAGAATAATCAGAAATATAATAAGCTTCATGCTTGTAGTTCAATTCAATAACCATTTGCTAATGCACCTTGGTGCTGGTATTACTTTTGAGATACTAAACTAATAAACCGGAAAGAGAAATACCCCGCTTCCATCTGTCCGCAAATAGCCATTTTTAAAGTGCCCCTGAATTAAAAACTGCAAATACCTAGCAGCCTGAGCCCTTTTCGATACCAAATACCTTATCCATCCATCCTAGTACCCGCCTGATTTTTAAAAGAAGGAAAAGCAATTATAAAAAGAAGAAAGAAAAGAATCTCAAAAGAATCTCAGAAGCAATTGAAAGCAAAGCTTCATCTCCGTTTGTCGCAAACTCCAACTCTATCCCAAACTCTGTAAAGAGAAGAAAAGAAGGCTCCCATCTTTACCGCTTGAGCCATTGTTTTATCTCAGCATCCACAGGCGTCTTCTTGAGGTCCTGGCATCCCATCTCGCATCCCTTGTCGCATTTGGGCACTGCGCCTAGATCGAGGCCCTGCTCGGCGGCCTTCTCTCGACGGTGGTTAGCCATCATGCCATACGCCTCCCACGTGCGAATGTTAAGCTCGCCGCGGTCCTGGAAGTATTTGTCCCAGTGCTCTGCCCACTCGGGCTCGTGGAGGGTGTTTGCCATTAGAAGCTTGGTGTCGTCTTCGTCGGTCATGCTCCAGCTCCATTTGCGGCGCGTTAGAGTGATGTTGCTGCCGATGATCTTGTAATCTGTATCCTTGTGGTTCTCGAGATCTAGGAGGAGGTCTTCGACTTCATCTTCTTCGATGTCGTGCTGCAAAGCAAGGCGTTTCTCCAAAGAGAGTCGAGTCGGGCCCTGTTGGACGGCTTCCTTTTTGAGATGAGGAGGCAGGCGGTTATACGGGTGCACATTCCATTGTCTCTCAAGATCATCTTCGGGCAGTTGTTTGATTATGCCATAAGGCGGCCTGTCGTTGTAGTCGCATATCTGCGTCACGTCGGGGACGATGAACCTCAACGTGCCCTTTTCATGGCAGTATTTGAAAATGTCGGAAAATGTGCCTCTCCAAATGAGTTCGTCGACTCTTCGTGTCTGCCACATAGACGTTAGTTCGATGCATAGCGAGTGATTTGGCACATCGAGCTCGACGCGGACGATGTGCTGAAGCCCAACTTTGCCAATGAAGTACCAGATGTAGTCGCTGGGGAACTCCTTCAGCATGAGCGATCGACTGTATTTCTGGGAAACAACGTCTTTATCTACCCAGGACAGGCCAAAGGAAGGAGTTGGAACGAGCCACGCGCTTGCTTGGTATTGAATCAGATTTGCATCCTCGTAGATGAGAGGCGAAACCTGAATTGTGCGAACTAATTCTGCGGTTGGTTTGGGGTGGATGAATTCCACCATGACTGTCTTTGTGGCATCATTACTCAAAGGCAGGGTGCTGAGAGGCATAATGCTAAGAATCTGCCCGTGGGTTTGGATGCCTCTCGCAATCTGCGATAACTTTGCGGTTGGTGGCAAGTTTCTAAGGATAACGCGCCGGCTTCGCTCTGCTGCAGGAGTACTTGGCAGAGACGGAACGTATAGTCGTCGACCATAGAGGTTGGTAAAATCAGAGTGGAATTCGAGACGAATTTCAATATCAGGCGTCTCAAGTCTTGCAGCTGCCTCTTGTGGAGCGTCGATAAAAGGATCGATTTCCGAAGATCCTGTGTTCCGAGTCGCGGGGCACTGGCGGTCTGGAGTATCGAAAATCATGAGATCCGTTGTATCGTTATCGGAGGGAGGGCAGTCTAGTAGAAGATCGGATGAACTGTCCTCTATCTGTGCTTCTTCAGATATTGTAGAGATGCTTATCGCAGGCGATGCCGGAGCCGGAGTCTGCACAGGTGGGCTGTCAGAGGGTTGCTATGCTGTGTAGTTAGTAAACTTGTATGGCAGATTGAAAATCCATTGGATAAATCTTGCTTACGGCTCTTGTCCTCATCTTGGAGAGGCTTGCAGGATCCTTCGCACCCTCCATCATGGCAATAGAGGCTGTAAAAATATGGCTGACACTGGCGAGAGAGTTGATAAAGGTGAAGGCAGCAAGCAGCAAGTTGGTCTCTTTCTCTTCTTTGGGTAAATCCTGGAGTTTGGATTCGATGTCCGTCTGCAGGAAGAAACACGATTAGTCTCAGGTATATATGGAGGTGGACATGTGTAAGTGAGGAATCGTGGCATGGGGATAGCTCACTGCTTTGGATTGCGTAAGCTGGAGCTGATGGAGATGCGTGCACAAAGCATTCTCGATGACTTGGAAGGCTGCAAGGCACTCAGCCTGGCTCTTATAATTTTCAGCGCGATCATTCTGAACAAGGTCGCTGCGATTGCTCTGGATGGCGTTGTTTGCTGTTGGATGTTCCAGGCAGTGCTCTGAAGCAGTGATGAAAGAATCTCCGTCGGCAATATCTGTCGGGCCGGACTCATTCAGGGTTACACCTTGGGTGTTCGGCGCCATGAGATCGATGTTACTGCCATGCTCTTCGAGTTGCACAAGATCTGAGCCGGGATGCTTAGTGCAAACAGTCTCTCTCTTTGATGGAGATGAAGCCATGATGATTAACAGGTCTTGTGTTGGAGCATCTATTGTGGTAAATGTTTGGAAATTATCCTTTGTTGCAGCATTGAACGAAGAAGAGATGATGCTCAGAAACGGAGAGTGGAAGAGGAAGAAGAAAAAGAAAAGGCTCAATCCAGGTTTGAGCTGGATTTATAGCAAGAGTTGAGCAGGTGCAAAGGCCCAAGGCGGTGAGGTGCCTTGGTGTTGACGAAGAGTTGATCTGGTGCACGCACTGCGAACATGGTAAATACAAATTGAATGTCCTGGCTACATGTTCGTCTGCGGCGCCAGTTGCAAAGCAAACGCCAGACCAGAATGACAGTGCATCACAGATGAAGATGCGCTCTCTAGCTTGGTAGCCAAGCAAGAGGTGCTGAACACAGATAATAGCTGGGGGCTTGATCTGCTGCAGAAGATATAGTATCAGGACAATGTAGTGCATTTGATCGAGCCGTATGCGAAGAGAGAAATAATAATGGAATGGCAGTGCATCACAGATGAACATTCGCTCTGCATCTTGGGAAGCCAGTGTAAGGGGTGCTGAACATGAATATAATACAGATAGTACCTAGAAACTCACCTTGCTTTAGATGATAGAACAGTAGAATAGTATACAACGTGATGCAGCTACAAATGAAAGGAGAAGACAATCATGGAAGAGCAGCGCATCACAAATGAACACTCGCTCTGCATCTTGGGAAGCCGCAAGGGGCGCTAAGCAGCAGTATAACACAAAGAGTATCTAGAGATTCACTCTACCTCAGATGATATAGTGACAGGGTTTATACCGCAATTGATAGGACTATACATGAAGAGAAAAAATAACCAAGGGATGCCTCTACTTTGCAGAAATTGGCATTTAAAAACAGATTTTGATATATAGTAACAGATCAAGGTGGGAGTATTAGGTGCATGTAGCTACCTATCCAATCGATTTGCATTATCAAAAAGAAAGACAATAATTTTTTGCATATGTATCTACCGACGCGCAATGCCGATAAACCTTGTTGAATTGAACAAAATCATCTCCCTTGTGTATTGTATTTCGACATCATCTACCATTGTGAGTCAACAAGGCTTCGGCTGTCGGGGAGGCTGACGACTAGACACTGGGTATAGAATAATCAACCATTTCCCTTTTGAGAAGGTTTCTGCGACGTCTCGCTGTGTACATGTAAGCAAAGCTGAGGCAAAGCGCGGCAGTAAGGCTGCTGCAACCCTGGGCGAATCTGTCAGATGCCCAGCAACGTCATCGTGCTTGGTATTCACGCCCGAAAATTATTCACGCCCAGAAACAGATCTGAGCGCTAAAACATTTGCCGCAGAGATTGAGAGCGAAACATCCGGATCAAAGGGATCGATCGCGTAGATTCGGAGAAAAGCGCATCTACAATACATCAGAGGCTGCAGAACTAGAACAAAAAGAATCAATTGCTAAAACGCATTTGTACAAAATTCTGTTGTCCCGCGATGGATTGCCGGACTGGGCTGCTGTTGGTCCGCTCAGCCTATCAGATCTGCCAGACATGAAGCAGGGGTTTGGTTTTTGGAAGAGATCCAGACCGTGATGGAGCTTGCGGGAGTAGCCCGGCGTTGTGCCTTGCCGAGTGAAATCCGAATCCGAAAGAGAAAACAAAAAGCATCGTCAAGGACTAGCAGCGCTTCGGAGATGTGAATTCGCTTAGTAGTTAGTTTGTAGTAATCACCTGTTATGGAAGCGGAAGGGAGTTATTCTTGTCTGGGTTGACGGCAGCTGGCGGATGCAGCTTGTACGTAACAGAAATCAAAGTCGAGTTAAGCCTGGGTCACGATGCGAGGGTGAGACGCTGATTCAGGAAAGGATTTTTGTTGCATGCATGAGGGGTTGGAGCACGCAAGCTGGCATGCAACAGGACGTTGAGTCTTTTTGTAACTCGTTCAAGTATTGCAATTGGAGGGACTTTAGCCGAATAACAAGGACATAATTGCAGTTGCTACAGTGTAGTAATATGTGAACTTGATGTATCCTGTTGTTTAAGCATGGGATATACATGCAACGACATTCCTCAACTCCACCGCCAAACGAAAAGCTCGCTCCCGCCTAAAGCTTGGGCCATTACAGCGGTCTAAGGGCGCTGCAACCACCGGCTAGCGGCTCGTTTGCCAACTAGAGCCTCCTGGGGGCGCCAGTCTGCGGGAACAGAGCCCACTCCTTGCGCTGTCCTGGTAGAGTCGAGGTACTGTCTACTCTGATCTCTGGCTATAGGTAGGTAGGTACTTGGGTATTTACCCGCAAATACAGGCAATACAGCGTCCAATTCACTGCCAATGGCGAGTGAGTCAGTAGCATCCCGCTATGCTCGGGGTACACGCAGGGTACGCGCAGGGTACAACCTGCCCTGCTAGTCGCTCGCCCGGCCCTTCTCCAAAATTCAAATTCTATGCAGCGCAAATGCGGATCTCCGCGGTTCTCTCTCACCTCTTGTTTCGTCATCTGCTCGGCTTCTGTTCTTGCTCGATGGAGATTTTCTCTCTCTTCTCTTTTCGGGACCCTGGATTTCGTGTTGACCGAGACCCGGCTTCATATATTATGCCGTTGACCTCACCAAGCTCTGCCATGGCCAGCATCATTCACACCCGCTCTCTATATTTAGACAGACTCTGTATACCTAGCTGGCTGAGCTGAGCTTCTTATATATTACACGAGCTCGCCACCAACTGCCTCCGCAATAACAACTCATCTATATCGGCGATTTTTCCTCATTGGGCACAGTCGGTAAAGCCAAAATCAAATCGAGTCGAATCTCGCCGCAGCAGTGCTCAGTCACAACCGCCATCATGCCTATCCACCACCGCTGGAATTTCAACATTGACCGGTTCCTCAATCCATTCGTCCCGCCGCCGCCATGGAAATATGTCCCCTACCCCGTGTCGTACTGGTTTGGATACCGCAAGACGAAGCCCGCGGATACGGGCAACTTGATGCCCATCTTCTGGGCCTTTCTGGGCGTCTTTGGTGCCATTGCCATGATTGAGGCCGTCAGCAAACATGTAGCCTCCTTTGCACCTCACCACGTGCCCAATATCGTGGGCAGTTTCGTGAGTTTCAGCTTCTTCCGTGTGTTTCTCAAGCGAATATCCAACTAATTGTGCGTTCAGGGTGCTGCCGCTGTGCTCGAGTTCTACGCCATCGAGTCGCCTCTGGCCCAGCCGCGAAATGCCATCATGGGCCAGGTCCTCGCCGCCGTCATCGGATGCGGCGTGGGCAAGCTCTTCCTCCTCAGCGACAATTTTGAAGAAATCAAATGGCTTGGGGGTGCCCTTGCCTGTGCCTCAGCGACTGCGGTCATGGCACTCACCAAGACTGTGCACCCCCCTGCCGGTGCGACGGCGCTGTTGGCCGTGGTTGATTCTACTCTAATCCAGGTCGGATGGTTCTTGATTCCCGTCATGCTGCTGGGCTGCACTCTGATGCTTGGCGCGGCGCTGCTCATCAACAACCTTGAACGCCGATTCCCCGTTTACTGGTGGACTCCCGAAGACCTGCGACAGCCCAACTCCCTCTTTCGCCGTCGACACTCTAAAAAGAAGGCTCCTGAAGCTGCCGCAGACGAGACAAAGCCGGAGGAAGGGAGCGAGAGATATGTTTCAGACCTCGAGGCCGCTACAGATAAAGAAGCCGAGACGGAAGATGCCAAACACGCGGCCGATATCATTATCAAGCCAGGACATGTCATTGTGCCCGAGCACGTCTATCTGACGCAGGAAGAGCAGCAATACCTGGAAACACTATGCAAACGGCTCTAAACGAATACTTCGTCCACATTCGTCTACATTGTATATCACAATCAATCCATCTTATCGGCGTTATATGGGAAGCATTGGGTGCATTTTTTTCGGCCAGCGGATAGCATACATGGAGCATTCGACTTGGTTTACTTTGTTTTGATACGCAGCATATGTTTGGGCTGCAATATTGATAGTCAGTGGATAGAATTACGAGATACCATTTCTACGAAAAATATAATAAACAAACTTTACTCATCATATCGTCTGATATTTTTGCCATTGCCTTTGCTTTCCTTTGCTTAAGCGGTTGATGCGTCACAGCTTGCTATAGATATCCCCACCAAGATCTGCAGCCAAAGCTAAAATGAACCCAGCCACCACATTGAAACCCAGTTGTCCATCAACACCTTGCTAGCACAATACTTCATGGTGGGAATACATGCAGATCAAGCTATTTGACTTCATACGTTACCAAATTGGTTGCTGAAGGATCCAATCGTTGTATCAGAGGAGCTTGTCGGGCCTAATTATGGCGCCTCCAAAGCTACACGTTCGCTGCCTGATGTAGGCCGTCTGAGTCACTCCGGCAGCCTCAGCCTCAGCCCACAGATGCACATGCATGACTAACACAAAGCTATTATAAGATGCCAACATTATATGGCTCTGCGTATATAGAGAGAGGGGTTGCTGCATTCATGTGCCCCTCAGTCCTCGTTTCTTTCTTTTCTTCTACACGCAGCTCGCTATTTTTCTCTGTCTCTCAGGGCATATTGTAGCTTCACACATCATAGCTGCATATCATCATGGCCACAACGCAGACTCAGGCCGAGGAGCTGCCCTGGTTCCTGAGGACTTCGTATCCCGTCCTCTTCCCCTCACACGAAGCCCTGTTCAAGTCATCTGCCGAATATGACAGCTTCCTCGTCAATGAGCTGCGGGGCTTGCACAGAGTCGTGTCGCTAGAGTCCCTGGAAGACTCCATGGACGGCGTCACGCTCACTGCTGAAGAGAAGCAATCAATACGAAAGGACTGGAAAAATGGCGACGAAAAGTACTTCAATCTCATGTTAACGGAGAATTCGGACGTTGCCTTTCGGTCTACCAAAAGCCCCGTGGTCGACCTCTTTTACGAGCTGGAGGACGTCGTTTCCGGTCCACGCTTGAAGGAGCTTCTCGATGCCGCATGGGCTGAACAGCCACTGGCTACCTTGAAGATCATCTTCAATGCACGATCTATACACTTGGGCAAGAGCTCCAAGCACGTTTTCTACCGCGCTGCTGGGTGGTTGGCGGAACATCATCCTCTTACGCTGGTCGGCAATCTACGGTGGCTGAGCCGCCCGGTCATCGAGAAGAAGGTGAGAAAGGAGGACGGGAAGGATGCTGAAGAGGGGTTCGTCAAGGTGGAGAAGCGGGATGGGGTTGAGAATGCTGTAGATCGATACGATGTTCGATATGGAGTTTCGCATGGCTACTGGAAGGACTTACTGAATATTCTGGCCTTGGCAGCGGAGAAGAAGTTGAAGGTACTTGAGAATCCGAAAGATGTGTTGAATGTGGAAGATGAGGCTATCAAGTCAAAGGCTATTAGCCGGCGAAAGCAGAAACAGAATGCTGCAGGTTCCGCAACCAGTGGAAGGACGCCAAAGCGGATTGTCAAGGCAAAGAAGGGAAAAGTCGAAAAGAAGGAAAAGGAAATTGCGGAGATTGAGCATGTCCTAGAGGAAAAGACGGTGCACATTGGAAATCAAAGCGTTGCCAAACATGCGGCGAGAGATGCTCGACACGAGGCTCTCAAAGACCTCTTTGACAACAACGCCTTTTACCGAACGCTGCATATCACAGTGGCTCGACTGTTTGCCGAACAGCTTCATTCCGACTTGGAAGCCCTTCGAAGCTCGGATCCCAAGGCCAAGAGGAGCATCTCGCTCTGTGCGAAATGGGCTCCTTCGCATGGCAACTTCCACGACAGACATACCTGCGTCATCAGCTCCATCGCCGAGATCCTGTACCCGCGAGAGTCTCTCGGCAGTGCCGTCTCTGCGTCAACGAGCCGAGAAGTGTATCTTCGATATGCCCGCGAGCAATACCGCAAAGACATGTCCGCCCTGAGGAAGCACCTCGAGGTTGTGGAGCGGGATATCAGCGCAAACACGTTTGACAAGATCAAGTATGACCGCGTGCCGTCTATTGCGATGAAGAACTACACGAATCTCTTTGTCAAGAAGGATTTGGACCATTTCCGCGGGTATATCAACAAGGTGGCTGAGGGGAAGGCCAGGATTTCCGGCGCTGTTTTGATGCCTTCTACGTTGATCAAGGCTGTATCTAGTCTCGCAGCGTATGACGGCAGAGACCTGGAAGGGTTGACTGCGGACGAACTGGTCGACCGCACTGTCAAGGAGATTAAGGCAAAGGCTGTCAACGGCCAGTGGAAGGCTCTCGTCCAGCGGATCAAGGATTCTGGTAGTTTGTCGTCTTGCATCGCTGTATGCGACGTCTCCGGGAGTATGGGTAGTCCCACATTTAGTGACAAGACGACGCCCATGGATTCTGCAGTTGGCCTGTCTCTCTTAGTCGCCGAGGTGACTGAGCCTCCATTCGGCGGCAACTTCATCTCGTTCCATTCTCATCCCCAAATGATATCCATCGACACGACAAAGACGCTGCCGGAGAAAGTCGCCCATATTAAGCAATCAGACTGGGGATTCAACACAGACTTTGTCGCTGTCTTTGAAAAGCTCCTTCTTCCAACAGCCATTGCGAATGATCTCAAGCAAGAGGATATGGTGAAGCGCGTGTTTGTCTTTAGCGACATGCAGTTTGACCAGGCGGAAATGGAATACTCCGATGACAAGAGGCAGGATCCGTGGTCTGCGTCTTCTTACGAGAGGATCAAGAAGAAGTACGAGGAGCACGGCTACGAGATGCCCGAGTTGGTGTTTTGGAATCTCGCGGGTGGAAGGGCGGGCTATAATGCCGGCGGAGGCGATGAGACTGCGCCGAAGCCTGTGCTTGCGGAAGAGATGGGCACGGCGTTGGTGAGTGGCTATTCGCAGGGCATGTTGAAGGTGTTTATGGACAATGGAATGTTTGACGAAGAGGAGGAGGAGGAGGAGGAGGAGGAGGATGATTTTGAGAAGATGGACGAGGAGGGCAATGAAGAGAAGAAGCCTGAAAAGGTAGCGAAGAAGAAGGAGAAGATAAATCCGTTGTCGATGGTGAAGAAGGCAATTTCCCATAAGGGTTACGCCATGCTGGAAGTATTAGATTGAGTACTTGAAGATGCTAGGACAATGTAAGAGCGTGTATCCTACTCTTGAAAGATTACCGTGAAAAGTGCCCTTCATGTGAATACGAGACAAAAGATAAACAAAAATAAAGGGGAAACAGCCAACAGTTCAAAGTCTAGCCGGAGAAAAAATAATCTATAAAACTCAGATAAAATAAAAGCTGAAATATTAGAATTTCGATATAAATATCAGAATAATCATTTATGGAAAGATACAAAAAGAAAGGTTTGGGGCCAAACCGTGGATTGAACACGGGACCTCTTGCAGTTGAGTTGGAAGCCCAAAGCAAGAATCATACCACTAGACCATTTGGCCGATCAATTGATATGACAGGCACTGTCAAATCTGATTTATGAAAGACTACTCTGATAACAGCATTAGCGCATGAGCTAAGAATCTACCACCTCAAACAGCGCCATGAAATGTAATTGTTAATCATTATTTCTTCGATGAGGTGATGGTTGAAATTTCGTTTTACAAGTATTTATCAATCCAGTTCTCTTTGTCCTCTTTAACTCATAGCTGCTTTCACTTTGTATGTGCGCTTGTAATGTAGGTATGAATATGGCTGAAGTTTGGTCGCATTCTAGGGTACATGTCGAACCAATATCGAGTACCAAGATCCAGGTATAAACAAAATCAGCTGGCATTAAGTCTTCTAGATGAAAGTCTCGAAAAAATGATAAATTTTCTTCTCACAGTATAATATATCATCTGGCGCCAGAAGTTTGTCCGGCGCATTGCATTTTGTGCATTAAAAGCTTGAACGCCAACTTGGATATCTAAAGCATGCGATATAAACACTATTTAGATGATATAACTCATGCCTTCACCAACATCTAGTACCATTCCCTTGGTAATCACTCGAAACTGCAAAGTCCTAGAATTTCTCTTTAGCTAGCTTCTATTTATAAACACATCATCAGCAACTACCGCATCACCAATGCGATTGACTTATAGCCCAAGAAGGAGATAGCAATAGGGGACTAAAAAGCAAGAAAGAACATTAGCACAAAGCGTACAACATACCAAGACATCACAAGACCACCGACAACCCAAAAGCGGAAGAATGGACAAACCTACACCATCACGTAATTTGTAGCCAGACGCCCCCCTTTTCCCCCGCGTTATACGAGATTCAACACCCTTGCTCGTATACGATGAGACATGAGTGCCGGAGTGAACACATGCCAACCGTCAGTTTCCAAAAGTTCCAGATGGGAGTTTGTGTCCTAGATTACATAAACCCTTCTAGCCGCGGTATCATGAGATGGAGACCTTTTGAGGCCTCCAAGTAAATCCTTCAATGTTGTTATACGTCTTTCTTATGTGCTTCTTCTCCTCCCACATCTGTATGCCCATGTCTTATCTGATGCGCAGAAACCTTGAAACACCTAGACACGCCATCGTATTCTTGATAGGTTGGACAATCAGATGCTTCATGTTCGCTCACCCGCACACGCCCTTTCATTTCAGCATGGCGTGTCTCTTCCCCCGCATATTCGTCCCAAGAGTTACATATCCTATTCACAAGCCACTCTTCAGAATCCCAACCCCCAGACGGCTCTGCTTCAAATCCAGCTGATTTCTGGGGGTGTCCATTGATGCACGTGGATCTGGAACTAGCTTATTGGGTCCATTCCATTTGAGTTTCCCTTGCGTAAAAGTATATGAAAGGATCGAGTTGGATGGGAGACAGATGAATAGCAGTAAAAAGTATGTGCATGTGGCTTGTATAAGATGCCGTGCTGCGTAGAAGGGCTGTCACATTTCATCGCGATATAATCTCGTACCTACAAATAGTACGCCTTTTAGGGAGATATCTCTGTAGCTAGAAACATTAGAGTAGGTGTTGGTCCCCATCTATTCAAATTGTATAACGTGTAACACGGTATCTAGCCTGTAGATGTCTAATATCTATCTGTTTCATTTTTTTGTCTCCACGCAATCGCTTCAGACAAACATGCTATACATGGTGTGTGTGATTAGAGTCCCTGCCTCTGCACAAATTCGAGGAGAGAGATAATGCATTATAAAAAAAAAAGCAGTAATACAAATCGCTGACGCCTTAAACCCCCCAAAAAGAAGCTCTTATATATATTTCAATCGCGCTAAGATACTGGGTATTAAATCGTGTTTGCAAGATGTGAAACTTCTATCCTTCTTTCCCACCCGCCTGTTCCTGTACATCTTATGGAATATGTCGAATAACATTGTAGATTTCAAGTTTGCTGTGAGTAGTGAAAATTTGCAATTCGCTTAAACAAGTCTGTTATACTGAAAAAAAATTCTCGTTGCTTCGCTGTTCGCTCTTGTGATGTTGCTTGCTAAAAGGAATGAATGAAAATAAAAGGAAAGTGTTTGAAAAGAAATAATAAAATGGCAATGATGAACAAATCAGAAGCTGAATAAACCGCTTCTTCTCTTGCCAAGTGGATATACAATCAAAGCGCTCAAAAAGAGGCCCACGCTGATGCCAATTGCGACTTGAATAACGCTCAATAAAACTGTGAATGCAGTACCGTCGATCTGAGAACTGTTGGAAGTTGCTGTAGTGTTTTTGTTCAAAAGATTTGCCGAATTGATGCCAGCTAACAGGGAGCCGCTTGCGGCTAAACCAGAAGGTACCTGGACAAAAATGGCTGGGAGCATAGCAGCAGCAGCAAGACTATATCCCACTTTCCTGGGTAGTCGTTGCTTTTCTTCTGGAGGTGGCCCCGCGCTGGATTCCACGTCAGGTAGAGGAGGCATCGTCGGCTTCCTCTTGGAAAACCGCGGCTGGACTCGTGCTTGCCACCACTCTACAAGATCCAGCCAAGCGTTTTGCACGTGCCGTCCAAGTCGCGAGTACAAGTTGGCCAAGATGCCAATGGTCAGCGCGCCGAGCATGTTGGATATTTGACTGTTGCTTTGAAAGTACGTGCTCGAGTAGCTATTGACACAGAAACCAGCCAGAGACATGATAGTCATGACAGGAGTCTGCTTCCACTTAGCCTGGTTAATGATACACAGACAGAGCGTGAAGCCCGGAACAAACAGGATGGACCATGCGCGGTTGTTGCTGAGAGGATTGTCGCAAGTTGTGGCACTGGCCGCTCCGCTGTCAAGCATGCCGTACAAGGAGGCTCCAATGGTGATGCCGTAGCCGAGAAACAGAGTGTAGATGACCGCGTGCACCATACGGACACTACCAGCGACGATGTTATGGCTTTGAAGCTCTAGAGAACCGCAGAGCACCATGTAGCCGGGGAGAATAAGGGCAATGCTGCTCTGTGCCAACGCGCTAAAGCAGAATAGTTTCCCACCATTGATAGAGCCAAAGCCGCGGGCTAAAAAGGTTGTGATAACAGCAGCAGAGACCTCGAAAACGTGAGCATAGAGCTCATTGCTGGGGGCAAACACGAGCTGAAGAAGTCCAACTAAGCAACCTAGTAGGAAGGCAACTGGTAGATCAATGAAGCGGCCCTGGAAGGCGAATGGAGCCACGCAAACTGAGGCGAGACCATACATGAATACACGAAACCAGGTCTTGAACTTGGGTTTCCGATTCATGACCTTGTCAAGGCGCTTAGTAGCCTCCTCTACGCCAAGCTTATCGTGAACGACATCCTTGTAAATGTTGTGAACATCTCGTAAGCGGCCAAGATCAACTCCTTGGGGAACTCGAACCACTTTGACTTCCGCCGTGTGGGTAGAGCTGTCGTCGAAGCTGATAATCATGCAAGATGGCATGTAAAGAAACTGGCCTTCGATTTCGAGAACGCGGGAGGACATGCTCATGTACTCCTCAAGACGGTGCGTTGGAGCACCGTACATCATGAGCGCGCGACATAGCTTCAAGAGATACCTGTGGCGTGCAATTGTGCCGGCTATGTGAACAGTGATTCGGATTTGGTCCTTCTTTGACTTCTTTTCCTTCTTCCTCTTTTCACCAAAATGATCGGATATTTCGCTAGAACCAGGAGCGGCAAACATGGTGGATGACTTCAGTAGCTCACCCAATGCGAGTGAAGAAGTCGAACCTTTAGATTTGTGATAGCCTCCCAGACGACTAGATGATCGTGATCGAACGGTGCTGACGGTAGATGGCCGTCTGGAAGACGAGGGCGAACCTTGTGGAGACATGACGGGAGTTGATGGTGTCGTAACAGGAGTGCTGAAACCACTGCTACCTTGGCCTCGATTGGCGCCGTTGCCATCGCGGTGAAGCTTGAGCAGAGAGGAGAGGATGCCTCCACGATATCTTGACGGCCTTGGGACGTAGTCTTGAGTGTAGGCTTGCATGATGACTGGAGTTGATCTGCCGGATGAAGAGGGCTGTGGATGGAAAAGGTACTCTTTATCATGGGAGCTCACGATCGACTCTGCTCTATCGTGTTCATGTGGCTGGTACAGGCGGGAGCTATGGGGGGTACGATGTGTGGTAGCGTGCGTGTTGTAAGGCGTGTATTCCCGGAGAGTGGATGTAGGGCTAGTTGTGGTAGCAGCGTCATCATCCAAGTCTCGATCAGTATGGTCTGAGACTTTAAGGACAGGCTGGAATGACCTTTGAAGCTCGATCGAGTTTCGTCTTGAACCTGGGGCAGACCGGGAGTAAGACGAGCCCAGCGTTACGGCCAGGCGATCTGCTCGTTGCCGTGCATCCGTCATGGACCGAAGCTGCCGTTCAGTGACATGCTGCTCTGCCTTGTCTGCTTCCTCTTGTTCTTGACGGACATTGTAGCTGGTATTGCGCTTCAAGACTGGTCTTGGTACTCTTGGGGTAGCGGATTCTCCAGCTTTCGGTAAAGGGGTCGATGCTTGTGGTGGTGACGCTCGTAGTTCGTGTGAGTTTTGCTCCTCCGTCAGCAGCACCATGTTTAAGGCAAGTCTCAATTCCTGAGCATCTGGTGGCCCCGCGTCAGTGGGCTGTAGGTTTGGGGATGCCTGGGGTGAGTGTTCGAAATATCCAAAAGGCGGGCTGTGGTCCAAGAGCCAGTCACCACTGCTAGGAGAGGCAATCTCCCTGCCAAATGGACCAACCGAAAGGTTCGCAGACGACCTCAACGACGAGGGCTTCGATTCATCTTCGCTCCAGACTACACGCTTCTTGCCTTTGCGGCCTGGTGTAGTGATCTCGCTAACATCTCCATAGTCTCTGGGGTCTGTTGACATTGCTGTGGCGTGCCGGCTATCAGTATAATCGGCTCTGAGACCTGTCTCAGGGTTTAAGGAGGGGCTTCAAGCCAGAGAAAGGGAGGTGATGTATCATGATTTAGGAGAGAAGAGCTGCCACAGCTGCGTGAGCACATGTAAATAAGAGAGAGAAAACTGCCATGAGTAATGGCTGGATATTCGGCTGGCCTGGAATGCCCCTCACCCCCTTGGGCGTGGTGATCCCTGATAGCGGCTGGGTGTCGTGTCAGAGCAAAAAGCTTGTCTGGGTGCCGGGCCTGTTAGATTTGCAATTACAGCCACGATGGCGAGACGAAGAGTGGGGGGGTCTCCGGAGAGGAATCCAACGTCCGCGAGCATGCCAGAGGCCGGTGCGGAAGCTTCTGCAGGCGAGGCGTGCGCTTGGCAGGCCCAGGAACATGGCGGACGCCAGCTTTGCATCCCCGGTTTTTTTACTTTTCCATCTTTCCACCATGCTCCATATCCCGTTGTCAGTGCCATGATTCCATCCTCGACGCATTGGCTAATCAGTGTTTGTTTGTCATGATCGGCTGGTCTGCGGCAGCATCCATTGGCTTCCGTGATCATCGGTGGCTCTTTGTCCATCTCCATCGCATGACGACCGTCCCGCCTGGCGCTACCGCCGTATGTGCCATGCTCATGCTGTCAGTATCACCAGCATATTTCTCGTCATTCCTGGCTGCGACCTGCCGAGTTTAGTCAATCGGTAGATTGGACGCGGCCGCCGAACGTCGGGCGCATAATCATCGATGATACAGAATCCGCAGCAAGGAACAGGTGAGCTAGCCAAGGCAGCGGGTCAGACAAGATGCGAAGAATGAGTGCGTGATAGAGAGAAGTTTTGCAGGTGGACCTGAAAAGCGGTTCTGCTGGCCAAGTTTTGGCAGCGATATGGAGATACAGGGGACCTTGTAGCCGCCCGGGTTGCCTCTTTGGGCTAAGCCGGTGACGAGCTTATCGCTAGATAGCGCACGTGCAGCCTCAATATCAGGTTATCAGCTGCGAGGCGAGATAGATTCTCCATTGATTCTCCATTGATCCTCCATTGACTCTCCGCACACCGTGGTCATGCACGTCTTTGTTACGCTTTGCTTGCGTATTGATGGCACACTCCCAAACTCGTATTCAACTGCCACTGATGTCGATGACAGGTGAGATCACAGTGCTATCTTGCTGCCACAGAGTCATATGCGCTAATGGCGCCTCATGGCAAAAGCCTCCTGCGTTGGTGGCAAACCTGACTGGGGGTTCGTTTATACAATCCGCACCACTTTTAATTTTTTTTTTCTTTCCAAGGTTTTCTTCAGTCCCCCTGGCTAGAAGATTCCGTGTTAATTAACCTCTTTCATCTAGTCCAGCTCTTGGCTAGCTCTTCGATAAGAGTCCTGCCAGGGTCTTCCCAACAAGGACCAACGCCAGGACGCCAAGCAGCTGAGCTTTGTTCTCGAATCTTTCCATCTCACTTCCAGTGTGAATCCGCCTATCGGATGGACCCCCGACGCCTATCTGTGCTGACTAGCGCGCAGAGATATCAGGAGCCAGGCTTATGCAAAATCTCTTCATCGCCTTCACCGATCCTTGATTTGGCCGCCAATATGCGACAGTCGAAGGACCAATACGACTCGCAATCTTGAGATTGCTGCCCAACGATCAGTTCTTTTGCGCCCAAGGGGAAAATATCACCGGTTCCAAGGCCACTGCCGGCGGGACCCATCCAAGCTCCTCCAGGGGTCCTCCACTGCTCGAGGCCGGAAAGCTTAGCATGAAGACCCGTACTCGCACAGAGCGGGATGAAACCCACCTGGCCCACGTTGGGGCAGAAAGTAGATCAAGAAATCTTGTTCTCGCCTAGACAGCCATGCTGCTAAGCCTGCAAGCTTGCGCGTGCATTATTTGGTGCCATGCTATTAATATCTCTATCCACATGGCCGCACTACTTGAAGCCCGTGGTTGACGATCTACCGAGACTACTCCTGAACGGACGTGGACGGCACGATTCATTGCCGACTGAAAAAGGCGTCTCATGTAGATAGAATCATCATGGGTGTCAGGAGCACAATTGCTATCACTTTGCATCTGTGAGTACGACCATGACTTGCCCTATGGGTCAGGGTTTCAGATGGGTGCCATCCCGTCAGTACATTATGATGCACGACAAACCGAGTGCCTCAAACATCTTGATACGGTTTGTCTTAGCCTATCTGAACCTCAAACGTCATTCTAATCTGCTTGACACAATGTTTTTTGGTGTGTTGGATCATACATCCAAAAGGTAAACATAGATCCGGCCACCGACTATCTGATTCAATAGGACCCGCATAACAACCGCCTCTCTGTGGTTCCCCCTGCAGTCTGTAATGAAATATACATACCTCTCTCTCTCTTTCTTATTGTTTCGACGATTTTGTGTATGTGAGTATGTCTATCCTTGTTGTCACAATTGCTATGGCATTGGGGAAACGTAGCGAAATCAGGATCTACCGATTCCCATGACGCACTGAATCAATTCCGCTTCTGATGATCGTCAGGGCTTGTACGTTCTCCTTTCTGCTTCCCTCTCCCTTAAAGAACTATCGATCGGTTGATAGGTATGAAAGATTTGATATGCCGCTTCAACTTGTCAAACGAAATCAAGATCTACCCCCCATGGACTTTGACATTTAGTATTTGCACCCTTGAGCGTGCTTATAGAAGAAGAAAATCGTCCATTCGTCGCGACACATCGAGAGGGATACATTCTGTGTTGATTCAAATCTTTCTCTTTTCGATTTTTATTATCCTAGCTTTAAACAAAACGTCAAAAGGTATCATCTTCGGGCAATTCTCCTCCATCATTGGCATTTCCTTATCTTGCGCAGATGCCAATTGGCCTTGGCCAATACTTTCCATTGCATGAACTCCTATGCAAATGATTTCGTCTGCTCCTCGCAGTATTCAAAGAATTTCCCAGCCTTGGACAGTTCCTCTCCATTTTGTGGAGAAAGAGACTTGTCAACATCTGGACGAGTTGGACCAAATCGACCCCAAGGCATGACATATTGTCCACTGTGCTCTGGTTTGACATCTGGAGATAGGCCAGCAAATAACTCCGAGTATGCACCGTAGATGGGATCATGAAGGGTTGGTAACTACTCCAAGAATTAGCGCGATGTGGACATTCTGAGGCTTTGCAAAAGCAAGCTTACCATTGAATAGTATTCGAGCGCAGACACGTCGCGCTGTAGCGGTGTTTTGAGATTGCCAGGATTGACAGTCTACCATGCCGGCACATTGTTAGAATGCTTGAAACCATCAGACATGACGTCTTGAAACAGGCCTGCTTACCAAATGCAAAATTCCGTTGTCGGCATCTCGTCTAGCCCATTCGCTACCGATGAAGAGATTTCCAGCCTTGCTGGCTGAGTATCTGGTATACTCATCTAGCATTTTCTTCTTGTAATCCAGATTGTCGAGATCCACACCGCCCTTTGGCGCCATCAATTGGATCATAAGAGACCCCAGCCAAACAACACGGACGCTGCCTGTAGGTGAAGATTTGGCGGTTGATTCGATGACTGGGTAGAGGAGCTTTGTGAAGAGGTAGGGGCCGAAGCAGTTGACAGCCATCATAATTTCGTGATCCTAGACGGAAAATAGGTGAGTATCTCATGCTGTGGTGATTCTTGTTAATGAAGAGACAACGCGACCTACCTGTTTCGACCTGTTTGGAGCCTTTTTAGGCAAGCGCATGATTCCTGCATTGTTGAAAAGAACGTCGAGTCTCGTCTCCTTCTCTAAGAAAGCATTTGCGCTGGCTTTGATAGTGGACAGATCGGCTAGGTCAAGCAGCAAGAATTCTAGCCTTCCCTTGGAGTCGGGATGAGCTTCTTTGATGGATTTGATAGCGTCTTGGCCAGCATCTTCGCGGCGCCCTGCGATATAGACAACTGCGTTTTTGGCATAAAGCAGTTTTGAGAGCTGGTATCCTACGCCTGAGTACCCGCCAGTTACGATGTAGACCTGCTCGCATGGGCATAAGCGTCATTAGTAGGACGAATTAGAGGTTACACACAGAGATGCCATGCTGCGGAGATTTAACTGACCTTTTCAGAGAGGTCGTCCAAGTTGTTCTCTGTGAAAGTAGGCTTCGGAGGGAAACCTTGCGTCAAAATATTGCTGATTCGCTTGAACATGGCGAACAAAATCGAGACTGAGCTTCGAATGATCGATTTATCGCGCGGAACAGTATGAGAGATTCAAGGCGAAGCGCTATGCTGAGAGTCCAGACTGGTTGTTGTGTGTTTGCGCAGAATGACGAAATAGTGAAGAAAAGTTGAGGAGTTCCATGAGACTCGGCCTCGGCACGTCTTTTGTATGACCCTAGACGAGCGGATATTTAGAGGCAGGGATCTATAAAACAACCAGCACACAATTCCTCAACTATGCGCATCGCGTTGACGCCAATGAACACACCCCCGCTTTGCTCGATATCCTGCTGTCCATGTTTCAATACACGATGCGTCGTCTCCGTCCCCAGATCTATTTCTCGGATACTATTTGTTTGACTATCTGCTAGCCAAATGCACTAGTAGACTATTTACGCCCGCATACATGCCAAACACAGCAATTGCAGCTTGGAGATTCTGGCGTATTTGTCAGCGTCTAGTTCGCTATGCCTTCATTGTTGAACGAACGTCACTCGCCCTAGGCATCTTCTCCCAGCATACCTAGAATCCTTCATCATATTCATCTTCTCTGCTGTGCATGCATAATACGCAGCCAAGTCGGGCCTCGCAGGTGTCCTATATTCGACTCAATTCAAGTCCCAGGCTCAAACTCTTCAGGCGGACCCGAAGCATCGCTCGAAAGAAGCTCCACATAGCCAAAATTGCACACACAGATGGAAGGCTTGTTCTACGATACGCGGAGCGATCTAGGTCCCTGGACTAGCCGCAGACAGTAACTTCCTACCCAGGATAGCACCAGCTTCCTAATGAAGAATCCACGATGCCGCCAGCTTTACCAATTGCAGCCACGCCAAGTTAATTTGTCTGTCTGGACAATGTGATTCCATATACATGCGTCTAAGATTACGAATGAAAAAGTAACGATCACAGGCTATGATAGGTATTGTTGCAATACTTACAGAGCATGAGCCTACGTCCATCAGGTCACTTACCTCTGGGCCACTTCTCGGGACAATACAAGTGGTATAGTTGTGCTATTCGTCATAGATGAATCTTATGACTACTCTCAAAAGGACAATCTTTTCTCTGGCGTCTTTGTATGGACGATTCTAATCGTCGTTCGCTAGCGCCAGCGTGTTTTAGATGACAATTTATGGTTACTAGACTTACTAGAGGTATTAGGGTGTGGCGTCGAAAAGTGGCATTTACCCATCTTCTTGGTGTGGCTTGTCTAAATCATGTAAGCTTACGTATAACCTTCTGTTCTTTCATCAATCTTTTGCACTGAGAAGAGTGATCTGTGGTATGGTAGAACTGCTACAAACCTAGGTCCTCTTTTGTTAGTGAAATCAAGAATAGTTGATGTGCTAGTAAACAAAAGAGGTTGCTTCCTTATAGTCATTATATTTTTGTTTCTCTGCTGTTGTAGTATAGTCACTTGCCTGGTGGCGTTTTGCTAGTGCTAATTCCTCAATACATGCAATTTACCTCGTGCTGTTTGTTGCCTTGCATGTCGCTTGGCGTGAGGCAGCAAGCCGTAGAAAGCGCCGATATCGCATAACATAGACATGCGCGATCGCAGGTACAACCTCTCTATCAAGACCATGAAGCGCACATCTACGTGATTGTCACTCAGTCAGCGATTCGCTCATATTGTAATACATGGCTAACTACTACAAGCAGTGGAACGCGCTTTTATAGCCAATTATCTAGCTTTAAACCACATGTTGTGCAGATCCAGCATTAGCCTATTCGCTAATCTTGATAGGGAAAAATGAGTCTCTGCAACCTGTTAGGCAACCCATTGGTCTTACACTTGCGCCCCTCATGTTCTCCAGTTTGCTTATGGTCCCCAACAAAATTCACTTTTCAGTGTGAAGCTTGCAAATTAGAGCTTATCCTGTCATCAGTTGTTGAGTTACTACAACCATAGGATATTGCAAGTTCACTTGTTTGTCGGATAACGATCGGCAAACAGAGCAACAGAGTTTGACGATGCTTAGTAGCACACACTTGTTAAGTAATCTGCGGCTACACCGCACATCGCCGTTGCGTTGCATGTCTTAGAAGTTGCGTCATGTGATTTGCAGTCTAATGTTGATGAGTCCAGTTCCTGTATATACTCACGGGCGCCTTGCGTTTTACTCATTCAACACACTATATCATTAACACACGTAACAGCGACAATATTCACGCCTTCAACATGACTTCTTGGTTCCCAGACCCCAGGCGGATTGTCACCGGCCACAACTCAGAAGGCAGGGCAGTTGTTGTTGCTGACAGCCCAATTCCTTGCGTCCCAACGCCGACGGGGGCCAACTTTGCGGTGCTCTATGAGACGCACCAGTTTCCAGCCTCCAACGACGACTGGGTTGATCCCACCAAGACGCGAACCACTGACTTGTCGAACCAGAAGGGAATTATTCTCCGGGTTGTCGACATTCCGCCAAAAGTGGAAACGGTAACAGTAACTTTTATTTCAGATCCAAGGGCCCGGGGCGGGGTATCGAGTTAGGCGCAGATACTAAGAATGGCGACAGTTGTTCCATCGGACGGAGTCGCTAGATTTCGGCATCCTTCTCAAGGGAGAAGTCTCCTGGTACATTGCCTCTCTTTGTCTCTCTATTTCTCTCAATTAGGAGATCTTCACGATCTAGTTGCTAATACCATCTATGTGTAGCCATCTTGATGATGGTGTCCGCATCGATATGAAGCCTGGCGATGTGTGCGTCCAGCGCGGTACGATTCACGGATGGACAAATTATTCTGAGGAACCCGCTCGCCTCTACTTTGTCCTCTCAGGTAAGAATGCAGCCTTGAAATCTGTTGTTAGTTATGAAGATAGTCTCACAATGAAAATAGCTGCTACGCCTGTCAAAATTGATGGAAAGTTATTGACGGCTTATGGCTATACCAAGGAAGAAGTCGAAAGTGGAGGCGCATCACACTAGGTATCTGGTTATAGTCTTTCTACCACGCAATTCCCGGAATACCACCTGTTGGATATGAAATGGATGATGGAAAAAATGCGTTGCACAAGCTTGCATAAATTTGCGAATGTCATGATTTAATATGGGCGCGCTGTTTGTCCCTTTGGGCATTAAGATTGAAACAAGAATTCAGACAACAACATGATCCATCAAACAATGACCTGCATCTCAAGTACAATGATGAAAATGAATGGTATCATTTTTCCAGACACCGCCGCTACTTATCACTAAGCAGATAGTAAGAAATCCTCCATATGTTGCAAATATTTGTATAGCCCAACATCAACACCACCATCCATCGTCTCCTCTGCAAACTTCACCATCTGCAGTGCCTTGGGAAAGTCTTCTTCTGATGGGAAATTGCCACTGGAAAGCGAATGTTGAATCGTCAATGCGATCCGCAAGTAGGTCCGTGGCTTTCCAGCGAATAACTTTGCCCATTTATTTTTCGGCTCGTGGGTGATGATGCTGTCCTGTGTCTTTCCATCAGGCAGGAAGCTTGATAGTAGTTCTGGCGGGAAAGCAGAATCTGCCAACAACAGCTCATGATGGTTGATCTCAGCGGATTCTGTTGTCTGAATGTGAGTAATGAGCTGTTTTATGAATTTTAGAACATTGTTTGCGTTTTCGTGGAGGCCTCGGAACTTGTTCATGACGTTGGTGTAGACCATGAGATCGCGCATGTTGTCTGCGGCTGGTGCGCCGGTGTTTAGTATCTTTGCATCTAGAACTTGCCAGATGAGTGGAATAGCTGTAAATGTAACGCTAGCGATTTGAATTAGCCTTGAAGATCGAAGCAAAGGACTAGAATTTGCCTACAATGTGTTTGGCAGATACTGGACAAGGCCTAGGCGGGCTAACTGCATAAACATGCCAGTAATTCCCTTTAATGCTGAATCCATCTCTGCCTGGACTTGGAGATCGTTCTTCTTGGTATCTGATGCGTGGCTAGGATTGGAAACGGATAGTAGCATCATGTGATAACACAGACTTGCTCTCGCAGCACTAGAAGATGTCAGCATGAGTCTCGTCTCGGAATAGAAGTAAACTCACAAGTAGTAGATAAAAGTCATCTTGATAAACATTGTCACAGATTTGTGGACGCCAATCGACGGAGTAGAGACCTCGAACCGCTCTCTTGTCTTCTGATACCAAACGTCCAGGAGCCCGACAATTTCAGCACAAGCATCGGACTCCCTTCCAGTGTCTGTCTCCGAGGTAATGACCTTGGGGCCGGTCGCCGGGTAGAGTATCGCAAGGGCCATGCTCAAGGGATTGACAATCTCGCAGAATGCCGATATGAAATGTGCTATAATCTGTCTTGTCGGCCGGTCGTACACCGTAGAGACTCCCAATTCGTCTGAAAAGTCGGCAAGAAGGAGTCCCGGCTGGCTAAAGTCGAAATCATCGCATCCAATGACCAATGGTCTTCGCAAACTCAAAGAGATGACTCTGTCTCGCAATATGCAGGTCCACCACAGTCGTTTAAGCCTTCCTTTCGCGGGATTGCCGTCGTTTAGTGTGTGATACTGGTCGGCGTGGGCGCAGCGGGCAAAGTGGACTGCGTTTACCATCCAGTATGTGTTTGTGGTATCGCTCGGCGCGGGCGTGTAATAGGTCAGCAGGAGCGCTACTTGGGCACTGACGACATTGTCTCTGTGGATGTCGAATTGGGTCAAAGTCTGAGGCAAATCGGAGATGATTAGATTCTGCAAAGTGATGGATGGAGTAATGGCACACCGACCTTTGCAGCGGTATATAGTTCAAGATGAGCTGCTTGTACACTGCTGTATCCAAGGCTGAGAAGCGTTGACGCTGAGACGTACTATTAAAGGTCAGCTACATGGCTAAGAAGATTCCAATGCATCATGATACCCTCGGTGAACTTACAGGAGATGATATGAACAACATTGCCCGGATCAGGAGAAGAGGAATGCGAGCATCTGCTGCCCAAAATTCCGCTTCGCTGACCAAAGGTATGATGGGATGAATATGTGAGAAATACTGATTGAAGAACTCTTCTAGTGCTGTTTCGGCAGGCAAGTTGAGACAGCCCTTTTCTGTCAAGTACGCTACATCGATATGGCTAAGTTGATAGAGGGATCCAGCGTCCACAAAGTTGTAGTTGGAATAAGGTACGAGACGCGCTGGCGGCTGCAGTCCAAAGATGGTGGTTTTGTCATATCCCGTTCCCCAGGGATTGCTGCCGAAGCCACCTTGCTGTCCTATTCTGCTTGGGTCAATGGTACCATCTGTGAAAGTGAAGTTTGTGCTTATAGATTCTGTATTAAAATCTGATGCCTCTTGTTGGAACGCCGGGGTTAGAAATGGATCGATTTTGACAGATGGGCTGGACGAGCTCGAACTGTCCCTTTCTTGGTCGTTTGTAGCATTTGCTTGGGACGGGGGGTTCGGGTACACTGGCTGTGAAGGCTTTGCCTTTTCTACATCTATGTGTCGGGATTGTGATAATTTCTCCTTTTGCTCTTGATCAAACACGCGCTTCACTCTTTGTTCCCTATTCAAGTAATTTTAGCAACGTGCATTCAGTAATAACCCTTTCCCTATGACAGTAACTGACCACTTTCGCTTTCGCGGCAACACTTTGCAATTGGCAGAGTCCAACCGGCAATTTGTGCATGGAAATCCAGTAACTGCAACATCGCATCTGACTTTGCGGATTCTACAGACGGTACAAGCATGGCTGGCACGCAGTCGCGCGCGCAATAGCGGGGGACTTGATGAAGTCTCGCCGTCTGAATTGGAAGAACCCATTGCTCCACTCGGCTTCTGTTCCGCGATGTGTGGATGAGATTGTACAAGTAGATAACTTAAGATATGACAGCACGGCTCGTCTGTCAATTTGCGCGGGAGCTGTTTGACTCGGGTCAATTAAAGTTATGTGGGGAGCCGAGATGCGAAACTGACGAATGTGGGAATGCCAATGATGGATGGAAATGCTTTTTGCAAAGGTTCCTCGAAACTGACGGCTTCCCCTTGAGTCGATGGTCTCCCGGTTTGATAAGCACTTCCCCGGCTTCGGCTATGTGGATCGCGGAGAGCGTTTTCGGTCTTCTGTGGGGGAGTTTCCCCGACATTTCTGGCGAATCAAAGCATCGCGATTTACCCTCGGCCAATTTCGATAAGCCGGTTCAGGAAGTACCGCTGTACCTCATTGCCGACGCTCCAATTCTCTGTATAGAGAGTGGCAATTATACATGTCAGCCTGGGTGTATTAAGTAAGGAATGTTGAGTATCTATGAGATTTATTCATTTCTGCCAGCTGTTAGAAGAACTGATTTGATTGCCGAGTTGCAATTGTATGCATTTGCTTCCTCAGGCTCTACGTCGCAATGGGAATATGCTATAATAGGACATCACGCGACTCATTGCGAATGAAGATGACCATAATTGAGAAAAGCGAAAACTTAGTTCGACAAAGCATCACGTACTATTGTCCAATTTGTTGACTATAAAACGCTTTTTCCCCTTCCAAGAATTATTTAAAATTTCGCCGCGTCAAAGTTGCGTACAAAGTCGTAGTAAAACTTGAGCATCTCAATGTGACCATCCACGCGAGCATGCTCATCAATGGTATGGATGTTGTTTTCAGCGTGAAATCGGTCAGGGGTGAAGCGCCATATGTTTTCTGAGAGACCTATTGGTATTTTAGCAAGATATTCTCCAGATATAAGATACCAACGACTTACCAATGTAGTGGCGAGTGTCAGTGTTGCCCGTCATAATCTCTCCGGTGGGAACCACAGTTCCATTATCGAAAGCAAAGCTGTGTCGAAGAGTACCGGCAAAGACATCCCAAGCGTGGCCACTGGTAGGAGAAATGGGGCTGGGATGGAAATTGCCCTTTGTCGATAGAACCAAGGTGCCCTTGTAGTCGACATCGCTGGAACCGGCCTTTTCGCGAACTTCAGGTGAGAGACTGGCGACGTAATCCTCATACTCTTCGTCGTCCTCAAATGGCTTAAGCTTCAGGCCGTACTTCTTGATGATGCTGTCGACGTGTTTAACGGCATTATGCTGCACTTCTGCAATACTATTCTGGTGGGCGACTCGGTAGTTTACGCCCAGGATGGTCTTTTCAGGCATAGCATTAATCTTTTGCCCACCGTTGATAATGTCCACAGCCTGCGAAGTCTGAACAATGTACTGCGTGTTACGGCCAGCCTCGACCAGCCACTGCGCAATGCCATCCAAGTCGCCTTTCTGGACCAAGCGCGTGAGATCGGGATATGCTTCAGGCGAGTAGCGCGCCTGGCACTTCAAGTGGCCGTGAACGGGGCCGTCCTCGATCAGCTCAGGCGTGAAAGGATGGGCTTCGAGCTCGCTGACGATTTCCGCAATAATACCAATACCGGTGTGAGGGAAAGGAACAGAGCTGTGGCCACCAACGACATCCAGCTCAAAGAAAATGTCGACATGGCCCTTTTCGGTGACAGCCGGGAGAACATACAGGACGTCGTCAACTTGTGTCAATCCAAGACCACCTTCATCTAGGATGGCGGCAAAGCTGTCTTCGCCATACTGCTTCTTGAGATGTGCGGAAATTTCGCCGGCGCCACGGAAGCCGGAGCACTCCTCATCGTATCCAAAAGCAAGTAAGAAAGTACGCTTCGGCGCCCAGTCTTTGTTAGACAAGAGGGCTTCAAACGCAGACAGAATAGCTGTAAGACTGTTCTTGTCGTCCGAAGTTCCTCGGCCCCAGATAAACTCGCCGTCGTACACAGCGTCAAAGGGAGGGTACGTCCAAGTCGATTCGTCAGCCACTGGAACGACATCTTGGTGGGCCATCAATAGCACTGGCTTGAGGCTGTCATCCGAGCCTTTGATTGTGTAGAGAAGGCCCAGGGTGTTGATCTTCTCGAGCTTGGACTTCTTGTGCCTAAAATTTGTTAATCAATACAGCTAAGACGTCAATACTCATTCTCTAAGAAAGGCTAGGCTCACACGTTGGGAAATGTCTTTTCCAAGACTTTGTGCAGATCAAAGAAGGGCTCCCAGCGCTTATCTTCGCCAACCGGTCCATTGTCATCGTAGGAAATAGAAGGGACCTGAACTATGGCTTGAAGACGCTTGATCTGCTGGTCTCGTGCAGATTTGGACGCAAACAAGTCGTTGGCAGAGGGGAGTCCATCGCCTGTCGGATCTAAAATCGGAGGAAGATTGCACTGGGACGATTTAGACGGCGCGATGGAGCTCAGAGGCTCCTGGCCGTAGCTCGGAGCTGCGACGACGCCTGCGACTCCCGCCAGGAACAGGGCGAGCTTGGAAATTGCCATTGTGAAGATGCAAAAGAAAAGGCAAAAGGCGACAGCCAATTTTCCGCCCGATTGATTCGCAGGTCAGGAAAGAAGATTAATAGTTTACGGGAACAGCTCGGGTTATCAATGCTCCAAAGAGAGCTTCAAGCCGAGCTGCAGGTCCCCGCCACCACCACCAGGCCCTTGCAGAATTACGTTTTTAGTGGAATATTGGACCAGAATCGGATCGCAGATTGGCGGTGGTGCAATCAGTTCCCGCCTCCACGCAGTGCAGTGTGGAGCTTGGCTGCTCTAAGAGGAAGGCCTTGCGATTGCTTCAGCTGGAGCTTGGAGATACGGCGAGACTATCCTAGGAGGAGAAGAAAATTCATATCGAAAATGGAGCACTATCTTGAGCTCGGCGTGGTGACACAGCGCCCAATCTATTCACTGCAGTGACCTCTCAGAACTTTGTCAGCCGCGCATCACTTTTGAGACAGGTACAGCTACCAGGCACTTGATGGGTCACGATTAGTCACAGCCGTTATCTCGCAATGACGGGTCCCTGTAACGTGCTTTCATTCTAAGCCATACTGGGGGAATACTATGGCCGTAGTATTGCCTGATTAATTCACGTAGATTACTGTACTGATTGCTACCATGAGTGAGTCTTACCTTGGTAACTCCCCCGCTCGATAGTTGAATTATTCCCGGAATATATTTCCCGGTGTCGTCTTAGAAATAACAAAGGACAAAAGAGTCTTGGTATTTGCAAAAGTTTGACTATTATACACTAAATTTAATTATACTATGAAAATGACAAAGGGTAGAGATGATATCGCGCTAAAAATGAGTGGTATATGAAGACAATCGACTCCGGCGGTATAATTGTACAAGTGATTTTTTTTTTTTTTGGGTGGACGACGATGGTCTCGTAGCCACCCAGTAGTTAGTGTCGGATGTCCTACGAGTCTGCTGCCAGCTTTAGAGCGGTAGATTATTGGTTAGTCGACACAAGATACAAATCCTTGAAGATAGACTTTTGCTGAGACAATAACTTTCGTGGGGCGTCAAATTCCATCAACTTTCCATCGTCCAAGACGGCGACTTTGTCGTAGTCAAGAATGGTATCTAATTTGTGTGCAATGGCGAGGATAGTCCAGTCTTTGAACCAGGTTCGAATGATGGTATTGATGACATTGCTGGTTGCTTCATCCAGGCTGGAGTATAGTCTTAGTATCATCTGCTCGCCAATCTTCGGGATGTATTGGAATACTTGCCTACTAGTGGCCTCATCCAAGAGCAACACTTTGCTTTCTCCCTCTCGCAACATTGCGCGAGCAAGGATCATCAATTGAGCCTCTCCCTGTGAAAAGAACTTGTCGTCAATAGCCGCGGAAAGGCCACCTCGACTCTCAATCTTCTTCCACAGGCCGACTCGTTCAAGGGCAGCGACGATTTCTTTATCGCGCCTCCCAGAGTCAACTGCAGTGGATTGGGCATCTTCATCTTGGTTGCGATAAGGATCAGCATTCAGCCGCACTGTTCCCTCCAAGATGTATGCTTCCTGAGGCACGGCAACAATCCGAGTGCGTAGATATTCCCGAGGCAAGGTCGCCAGATCAACGCCATCGATACTAATTTTACCTGAATCTTGAGCAATAAGTCCAAGCAGGCTCAGGAATAAAGAAGATTTTCCGCTTTATAGAGTTAGTGCTCTGTTGACATACGATTTCTCGGCTATCGCCTTACCTTCCAGTCCGACCGCAAATACCGACTTTCTCTCCAGCTTGAATGGATAAGGTAATGTCATTCAAAACGCGCCCAGACGATCTAACCATTGAAGTCAAAGTTAGTAATTGCCTTCTGAGCTTTCGTCGAAAATTACATACGGGTACGAAGCACAAAGTGCTTCAATCTCAATATGACCCTTGCTCGGCCAAAACGTGCTGTCCAATGCGTTGAGATTTGGCTCAATAAGCTGCACATTCCGCCCTTCTGCGGCCAAAATATCAAGAGCCTCATCATCCTCACTCTTTGTCTGCATCGAAAAGCTCCTGATACGAGCAATCGCTCCAAGAGAAATCTCAAGTTGGACCCAGCTGTTGATGGTTGCTTCCATCGTAGCACTGAATGCAAGAATATTGCTCAATGCGACACCTGCGAAACCGGGTCCAATCTTTTCTCGTAGAGTAGTCGTTAGGACGATAAGAATCACTGCAAGTAGCATGATCATGATGTTCACTGCAAACACTAGCCATCGCTGCACACAGAGGAGCAGGTAATTTGGCTGCTGTGACTTATCCAGAACCTTCATATAGTTGGCAGTAGAACGCGATTCCCAGTGAAATGCTCGAATAGTGACCAGACCAGCTACAGTCTCCATGAGCTGTGAGTAGAGGGGAGCTTTGAACTCAATGTCAAGGAGACGTAGCTGCCGCGCAGTGCGCAAGTAGAAGTGCTGAACTGCGTAGAGCAGAGCTAAGAGAAATGGTATGACGGCAGCCATGTACTTTGATGAAGCGCAAACCAAGACAAACTGCGCGACACCGAAAGAGACCGCTACGAGACTTGTAAGCAATTGTTGAAGAAGAAACTCTTGCAGCTGATGCCTGATGAATTGCTTGGTTAAATCTAGGCAAACTTACTTATTACCACGCCTAGAGCCGAGGCTGGCAGCTCCATATCAATCAGTTGGAGATCCTGACTGAATCGGTTTACAGTAATTCCGCTGTCAGTAGTCGTGTGATAAGACATAGGAGCTCTAAATACCAAGCGTTAGACGACTCACATACTATATATGTAGCTTCTCTTACCGTGCAACCGTATTGACTAAGATATCATGGAAGTAGAGACCAGATCGGTTAATGACAACGATAAACAGCTGCCTTAAGAAAGAGTCAGTGATTTGGATATTCAAGAAAAAATGAAGCTTCCGAGTCATCTTACCAACAGGCGAATAGACATGAGGAAAAAGCCCCTATCGAAAAAACGGTATAGACACCAAGCCATTTCCCAAGGTCGGAGTTGGGATCCTCTTCATTCGCTTCAGCCCACCATTTAAGCCAGACGCCTGAGGAAAAATTTATCAGTAAGCAACTAGAATCCTCAGATACTAATAATTGAGACCTACTAGGGAAAGAATCACAAAATGCAAAGACAATAATCCCAATTGTAAAAGCAATTATCGTGGGCCAGCCAGCTGACTCAAGATAGAACTTATAGACAGCTGAATCGCCCATTTGCCGGGCAGCATCAGTCTGAAGTGCTCCCGTAAGCTCAGCAGCAGCGACTACATCTGGCGCCGAGTTCGTTGAAGGCTCTGACTTACGCTTGTTCTTTGTGATGTCCTCTTTGGATCTTTTGTTAGCTTTCGCGGCGGAATCTCCCAGAAGCCACTTAAAATCGGCATTTTCCTTGAGATCATCGACGCTACCCGCATACTGAAGTTGGCCTTGCTCATTCAGCAAGATGATTTGATCCGCGTATGGGACGCGACGATCTACAAAAAGGTGTTAGCAGGCGTATGAAGCCGTCAAATCCGCCCTAGACACGGGCAGTTAAATGGAATGCAAGTTACTCACAGTCTGAAGACGCAAGGACAATGGTCATATTTGCTTTGCGGAGAATTCCTTCTTGACTTAGAAGATTTTCAAAAACTGTATCTTCAGTGTTCGCATCGAGTCCGCTGAAGCAATCGTCCATTACTAGTAATTCACTGCGAGCAAAGGCCGCTCGCGCCATTGACTATTGAGCATCATGGTAAGCAAAATTCAGAATGGCAGAAAAAAGAGAGGTGAAAAGATGTAATTTGATATCGAAAGCTTACCAAGCGTTGTTTCTGGCCTCCGCTTATTGAGATTCCCTTGGATCCTACGGATGTTTGGTCTCCTTGTGGCCACATAGCGATGTCCCTTTCTAAGGCGCATGCGTTTATAATACAACGGTACCAATCCGCATCTTCACTCATTTCTTTCTCTTCAAGCATATTTGCATCTTGGGCAGATCTTCCGCAAATAATTTCTCGGATCTTCTCGTTAGGAAGCCAAGGAGTTTGGTCACAAAAGGTCACAGCGCCAGAAAATCGAGTCTGGATTGAGCCGTCAAAATTTGACAACTCGCCTAACAGGGCCTTGAGAAGAGTCGATTTGCCACAACCGACAGGCCCGAGAATAAGCGTTAATGTTTGGCGGCGGATGTCAATGCGGGGACAGATATCAATAACTGGCGGTCTTTCGTTATGGGCCGAATTCTCTTGATTCTCGTCACTGGGTGTGTCTTGAGGTGTGACATCGCTGCTTTGAGCAGATGTTGCCTCTGGAGGCCAGGAAAATCTGCCGCTGATGGAAGCAATAACGTCTGGTTCCAAAGCAGTCACGCGGCTGAGAGATTTCCCTTTGTTGAAGGTTTTCTCTGTCGTAGCATCAGGGACCATCTGCGAAGCCTCCATTTTTGTAGTCCGATCATCTCTGTTACCTTGACTAGGTGAACTGCGATTATCCTTCCTCTGAGTCACGTTGAGATAGTCTTGAACTCTTTGAAAAGATGTCACGGCTCCAGCAATTGCAGGCATAGAGGCGGTGAACATGGATAAAGGAGTATTAAGTAAAACAATGAGGGAATACGATGTAAAGATCTTTGCAATGGTCAAATCACCATTGCCACGCGAGGCTATGCCCGCAGCGGTAGCAAAAGTGAGGAGCGGACCAAAAACAGGCGTGCAGATAGCTAGCGACAATGTCAGCAGATGTATATCGGAACTGAAGTTGGACAATGAGGAACGCATACAGAGTACGATGGTGACTCCAAGGAACAAACGAAACTTGGTTGATGCAGCTAGCTCTTGGGTTCGAAGTCTTCTGATCCCGTTGAAAGCTACATCGGTAAGGCCTGAAATCTTCAGCCATTTGACGCTTCCGAGGGCTTTCGAGGTCGCGGTTACTCGCCGCTGTGATGCCGCGATCCACGCTGCTTGATGCTTTCCAATTGGCCCAGCTAGGAAGCCAGAGCCAATCATGACGACTGATGATACTATTAGCTAAAATGTCGTTTGCATCTGCATATTGCCAAGTAAGAGGGAGAATGTACCAATTGCAAAACCTACACTCATTACACATGCGGCGCCCAATTGCCTCTCTAGAAGATAGATGGCGATCCCAATTTCGAGGATGCTGCTCCATGTTTGATGAAATAGCATGATTCCGCCAGATATTGTTTCGATATCCGTACTCACGAGCGTCAATGTGCCGCTGGGAGCAGACCTTGACGGGCTTGTCGAATCAACATGAAGTGTTTTTTCGTAGATGAGGGGTATTAGGCTGCCACGCATCATGGTAATAGCACGACTGTTCTGCCATTCATATTGGGTTACCGATACCTGGACAGTAACAGCCTGATCAGTATACTATACTCAATGAGATAGCAAATTGGAATGGTTCTTACAGCCATGCCTGTATATACGAGAATATAGGCCCCGATTAGTCCGTACCCATTGTTGTTAAACTGCTGAGTCTGCGGTGTGGCTGCAAGGTTTATTGCTGCTGTGATCAAGAACGGTTGAGTGTAAGTGAAGCCAATCTGAAACAGTCGAGGGATTATTGGTATCGTCAATGGGCCTATAAATGTCTTGATCCAAACACCGAGTAGTGCGCCAGATTTGCTCTTGTCAGATACTAAACAGTCTAGGAGTTAGTATTTTGGTCAAATAGCTCCTAGAGGACCTTTGAGGGGTGTGTGGACGACTCTTAGAGCCACAATGCTACTGACCCTCTCCCCAAGCCTCTGACATTTTCTTCGCTAGAGGCGCAGATCGCAATGTCTCGTCAAGCTGATACAGATCCTCGTGCGCAAGAATCTTCTTGTAACCAGTGAAAAATAAGGAGCTGAGCCAGTAGAATACACCTAGATTGTAGGGCCCGCTTGCGCCCTCTTCCGAGACATTTTTGTATTCATCTGTTAAGACAGATCGTTTCTCTGTGGACTCGAACAGGAGCATCACAGCCCTCAACGCCAAACTCGCTGTAAAGACGACGGGGATAGAGCTGCCGCCAGCATTTTCGAGCATCCATAGCGTGCGAGAGCGGGCCGCGTCAAATAGAATTGACAGGACCAAATAGACGGATATGAGAAATGATGGTCGGAAAGACGATCGATGCTCGAGATGGGACAAAAGAGCGTATAGTAGGGATAGAACCAAGTTAAGCGCAGAGCTTGCAATTGTGGCGCGCGTGTAAGTGATGGCAGAAGAAGGCGACTTGCTGGAATTCACTACCCAGAGGCCAACGAGGGCGGCGCTTAGTGCGATGAAGCATGTCGAGGTAATCTTTAGCAAATCGAAGACGAACTGATTAGCTATGGAGTTCCATGTTGTACAGGTCACGTCGTACGGTCCAGAACAGGACGTGGCGTATATACCTTCTTGGCCCAGTTCAACGGACTTGACTTGACTCTTATTGGCGCTGCGAAAAGTGCGAGAATCCGCAATGGAGAAAGGAGGATGAAGAATCCAGAAAGCAGAACAGAGAGGATCGTTTCCTCGAAGAGCAAAGTAAAGTCGAAGCCGCCGCGGCACTGAGGACCTGCCCAAGGCCCAAAAGTGTCATCTTGACATGATGCCGTCGACATCACTGGGACGCTATAGGGCTGGTCCTATGACAATCTTATACACAGGCGCATTAAAAACAGCAAGTGAAGACGTCTGGCGGTAATTTGTGCTACGGGACACATGCAATAGAAAAGACAACTTGGAGAAGCTTCTTCGAGATTCTCGGCCTGTAGATTAGCCCGCATCCAAGTTATGAGGACAGGGCTTCCCCTGTGCATCCTCAGGTATCCTTTTACATCCTCAGGTATCTGCCTATCGTTCTTAGGCTTAATTGCTATGAGCATAAGGGGCAGTGCTGATTATGTAGTATTGGAGTGCGCTAAACTATATGAGGCAGGGAGAAGTAGTCGTGTCTATAGAATGTTGTAGAAGATCATGATATATATATATGTAGTGGTGCAATAAGAACTCTAAATTGACGGCTTGTTCTTGTTCTCTGTCGCTTTATGAACATGGTCTTGACTGAAGATTTTCTCCTCAATATGCAGCTGGTCAAGCCAGGCAGTGAGCTGCATGAATAATGCTTGAACCAATCATGGGATTGTAACCTCCGCGCGTCAATTTTCGAAGACAAGATCTTGGGTATTATCGTGTGCGTGGCAATCAATTCCTGCATCATCAGCAAATAACTCCTTTGCAGTGTCCATGAGCAGTGGAAATGTGAATTATGCGCAGCCGTCGCTTATGCGCACTGCCGCAGGATGAGCCGAATGCCTCTAGAATCCTCATGTTGGTGCCGCCTGTAGCCGCACTCTGGATTCCTTTATTGACGATTTGTAGAAAATGCAGTGAAACACATTACTACAATAAAGTAAATCAGCAACAAAGTATACTTGGTCGAAGGAGTGAAGAATATGATTTTCGCTCGAGAAAAGAGAGTACATATATGTACTTTCACGCGGGACAGTAAATGATAGAGGGAAAAGCTCCATTTGACATGCTAAGTAAATTCCTCGACCGCGGCTTCTACTTTCGCAACCATCCAGGTATATCATTATTCTTCATATTCCTGCTCCATCAACAGATTTGCCTCTCCCCATGTCTTGACAATCTGCATCCCCTTCTCTTTGTGGGCCTCAACTTCTGACCTTGACCATCCTGCCTCGCTGTCCGCTACTTTCTCATTCTCGCCATGGTCTGTCTCTTGCGCCGGAATCCACCCGCATTCAACGAAGAATTGCTCTGGACGCACTGTTATGCGCCCCTTTTTGATGATGTACTTTGACAGACTAGTCGCATAAACCTTCTTCTTTGATGTAGATTTGCTGAGAAACCATGATCCAACGTAGATCCAGCGAGAGTCCCAACCTAGGATGCGCGATTCCACATTGTAGGAAGCATAAGGCCGAAGCTCACGTTTGAAAGACGTATGTGTAGCCCCCAAGATGAGAGCAGGTCGCCCCTTTACCTTTTCCTTTTTGTTGGTTCCATCTCGCCCTTTGTATTCGATTTCCATGTTGTCCATTGGCCACGCTGGCGCAATTATCCTGCCCATTAACTTGATCCGAGATATGTCAAGATCTGTAAAGAAGGTTGAGTTTGACTTGTGCAAGTTCATGTCGATCTCCAACAGAGGTACATAAGTACTAATAATGTCCGGCTTGAACAAAGGGTGCTTTTCGATAGAATCTCCGGCATTTTTCTTCTGAACCAGCGCGACTTTTCTTTTGCTTCCATCGGTAGATTTGACTAGCCGTTTTTGCTGGTTTCCAAAGGCGATATTCAGATGGTAATATGTCCGCGCCGTCCATACAAATGGCAACGCCTTGAAGTTGAAAACGACAAATACCGACAAAGCAGCGCCATACCAAGTGTAGAAAAATGGCACAACGTTCGCCTTCAGCGTCGAAAGTACCGTAGGCGCATCAAGCGCCCAAGATTTGACATCCATAAGCAGGGTAGCGGAGCAGAATACGCTCCAATACTTCAATTGAGGTGCATCAAGATCACCCTCGCAGCGGTTTAATCCACCAGGCACGGAAAGGGCCAAAGATAAGAAGTTTTAGAAAAAACTCAAACAATAGTATCAACAGCGATTTAACATAGTGTGAAAGAAATGACTGTGAGAGCCCTATTTATATCTCAGTGCACAATCAGTCATCGGCGATTTCCACAAGCTGAGAGAATGCACCGATAGTGCGTCGGCTGCAAGTCAGCAGCAGAGAAGTCTGAACCTGGTACTTTCTACACAATTGACCCCTGTTCAAGTGCAAAACAATAAATCCACAGGAAATCTGTATAGATGCATTTCTTTTAGTGCAAATAGCCCAGAGAGTAGCCGCCGGTTCACTTCTTGAATCCACTGCGAGGCGAAGCTATCAAGTTGTGCTAAGCCGCGCTCAAATGTGAATATATAGAGACATAGCCACTGCATGTCGCGTCACATGATGAATAGGTACACGTACGTAGGATTCAATGGCTTTCCTGTCTACCACAGAAGGATGAATTTCAGCGCTTCAAAGTCACTTTTTTATCGCGATTTTGGAGGATGCAATTTTGAGCCCAAGGACTTATCTAGCCTCAAGACAACTTTCTGAAGGGTGTTACGAACATGAGGCTAATCAACACGCGGACCCTAAAGCTTCACCAGTTCCACGGCAAGCCACCGCCTTACGCCATTTTGTCCCATACTTGGGGCCAAGAGGAGGTGTCTTTTCAAGATTTCCACTCACCAGATCTGCGAGAAAAGCTAGCAGGGTTCTCTAAAATTAGAGATACTTGCAAGAAAGCATATAGTCACGGCTTGGATTACGCTTGGGTTGATACGTGCTGCATCGATAAATCCAACAGCACAGAACTTAGCGAAGCAATCAATTCCATGTTCAAGTGGTACAAGAATTCAGCAATCGCCTATGCGTTCCTGGAGGATTACCCATCCCCAAAAATCGAGAAACCTGCCCTAACTACAGCGGCTGTTGGCTTTGGCCATAGCCGATGGTTTACTCGAGGCTGGACTTTGCAAGAGCTTATTGCACCCCCGCGACTCGAATTCTATAATAAGTCATGGGAGAAGATTGCAGAAAAGACGGCTGTTGCAAAGCAACTTGCGGTGGTCACGGGGGTTGATGCTTTTGTTCTCGACGGCTCGGGCCCCCTTCAGCAGGTTAGTGTGGGAAGGCGCCTGAGTTGGGCTGCTAATAGAGAAACAACTCGCGCGGAAGACCTTGCATATTCTCTATTCGGACTTTTTGATGTCTATATGCCTCTGATCTACGGGGAAGGGGGGAGAGCTTTTCTTCGGCTACAGGAGCATATTCTTCAACAATCTGATGATCATACTATCTTCGCCTGGCGAGCCGCAACCCCTTCGAAGGATCCAGATATGGCATATGGGCTGTTTGCAAAATCTCCAAGAGATTTTCACAATTTCGTGGACAAGTCATATCGCAGGGGACTGCCGGAATACAAAATCCAGTCTGGAGTAGATAGGTTAGTGTGTGTTTGGGGATCCAAAGTACCGCAAGATCCGATCACCATGTCCAACAAAGGCATTCATATCACTTCCCTTATCAAAAGCCTTCGCCAACCTTGGGCTTCAGGAGACCTTGTGATACTACTACTCAACTGCTGTTTTGACGCAAATCCCTCGGCTACTGCAGGTATATATCTCAAGCGCCTCGGCGCAGACCGATATGCTCGAGTCCGAGGAAATGAGTTAGCTAGGGTCCATTCCGATAATAATACTTCGTTAGCTTCTATATGTGGAATCAAGAGTACCTCGGACATTATTGGGCAATATTTTGAGGAGCCTTGGACTACAATGGCAAGAGTGCGCGAGGAGTACCTCGAGGAAGAGATATCTCAAATGGGGTCTGGATCAGTCGGAAAACGCTATAAAAATGCCTTGTATTTGAAGCCAAATCTCCTCCGAGGCAATAAACTGTTCCACGAGTCCCAGCTTCGTCAGATGATGATTATGGATTCACACCAAATCTGGCGCTCTTTTCGATTCGACGTCAAAAGCAACGACGATGATCTTGTCATAAAAACGTATCCAAACTTCAAAGCGGTGTTGGTATTTGAGTCCCCCAGACACGAGAAATCACTTCTTCTCTTCTTAGCGTCCAGAATTAATAACCGGAATCACGAATGTGACGTTGATGCTGTTTCCCTAGCTGTCGATGACGTGAGAGAGTGGCATCAAAATCTCTCCACAGTAGAAGAGTTTATACAGACAAAGATAAGGTTGCAAACTCGTCAGACGACCCCAAGCATCAAGGTAACGCTGTCTCCATTCAGTGTACATGGAATCAACATGCAAAGTATCGGAATACTACAGCCGTCATTCACTACATCTCGTGGTCGAGCATCTAAAAACATCTCCAAGGCCTTTTATTTGGTTCTACTAACTATCTTCTCACTCGAAATGCTGAGTATGGCTATTGAAAATGACAAGTCACTGAGTTGAGAAGCGGAAAGAGCTATGGTAAGGAGAAGGCTGAGTGAAAATGAGAGACAGTCTGATGCCCCGATTTACATATTACTAGATTAACGAATCTTTATTTATTCATATCAGCGCTAACTAAGTATGCTGCATAAAAACCCCTGTATTACCTCGAATGATATTGCGCAGTTTGTAGACAGCTCGTTACCAACACCGAAATGTCACATTTGTGCATTTGGTTCGAACAGCACAGGAGCAGCATAATAGACAGTGATGTATAGGCTCGCTGCTTTGGATTCAATGTCTCATCCATACTCACAAGCGTCTCAATTAAATTCCATGTCTTCGGTGACTACAAGGGTAATCAGTACAATTAGCAACTCGTACCACGTGCTGAGCACATTCGCCACCAGGGTAACAGGACTCGAACGGCTTACTGTATCTTGAAACACCTTGGATAGTCTTCGAAATGCTCTTGGTATTAAATCGCTCTCCCCCGAGTTATGAGCTAGCCCTGCGGCCAGTGCCTTCTCCAGATCCGTAAGTGCTTCAGTGTAGATAGTCTCTGCAGTATGGCAATTGCTCCGCTCTGCACGAATGAGGCTCTGTGCCGACTTGATTATTTCGTACTGATAGCGATGAGCTTCCCACTGAGTCCATGTTTTGACGCTCTTTCGAAGTTTCGAGAGTAACTGTGGAAGCTGACTGTGTCGACTGTTGCGTTGCTCCCGTGAGATGACAGAATCATGACTAAATTCCGCAGTGTAGTACTGCTTTGCCATATCATCAATGCTGTGGAAGCCAGCTACAGAGGCACACACTCGCATAAACTCGAACCGATCTTCTATACTCTTATCTTTTAATCGCTGCTCGCCGTTCTCATAGCTCTGTAGCATCCTTGCTAGATCCTTATCCGTACAATCGTATAATGCGCTACCAAGCATTGAACTCCTGGAACTTGAACTTCCTGGATCGCTTGACTCATCTGATGACCTACGCGCTGATTTTTGGACATCTGTTTCTTGATCCATGGTTTGAAGATGGGAACTTCTTGACTCATTGGGATGTGCCATGAATGCTGTGACATCGGGGATTGTATATGACGCGTCCGAGTTTGAATCATGATCGCTTCGCACTTGTCTCAGGTTCGGAAAGCCTAATAAAGGAGAAATATGTCAGCTACTATCCTCTTGGTAAAAGCCTTCATTAATGGCTAACGTTATATGCATTAACAAACAAGCAGAATTCTGGCTATCCGTACCTGAGATTGCTTGGTGATTCATCGGGTCTCTATACATGTTTGGCGTGTTCGTCCACCCCCAGTCGGTCGCCAAATTGTAGGTGGGAGGTAAAGCTGGTGCTGTCAAACTAAATGCTGTGAACGGAAATTGCTGAGGTATGTGAGCTCTTTGATGCTGTGGCTGATTGAGACGAAGAGGTTGAACAATAGCATGCGGTTGCTGAATCGCAACATTCGATATGGATTGCTCGGGGGTCACGCTGCCTATCGATGGAGGGGCATCTTCGCGTCTGTCCATGTCCATTGTATAGCCATGACTGTTCCTACTACCTTCTTTTTCGGAACCTCCAGGGCTATTTATACTTTTGATACTGTGAGTGCTGCTGAGATTGCCTGGAGAAGTGTTATTCGGTGGCGGTGTGTTGGAGCCGATACTGGGCAGTGACTTGATATCGGCCCTTGTATCTGTAACACAATCCGCTAGGAAGACAGCCTTTTCGCCACTTGAATCAACGTTGATAGTGTCTCGGTCGGATTCGCCAACGCTTCCGTCTTGAGGCTCTGATGAGGCTTGCTGTTGCTCTCGGCGGCGATACTCGTTGACCTCTTTTTGTAGCTCTTCCATGCGCTCTTTTATGCGATTGCCTAGTTTAATTTGGTTGAGTCAGATATATCAGCACTGTTATATGTTTTTCCATGTTGCTTGTTTTGATATGAGGGCAATGTGAAGGTGCTTGTGGCCATGTGCTGAATGAGATGACTTACGATATGTTCTCTGTGCTACTCGGTTCTGGATCCTCTTCTTTTGGCTACGGTCTGCCACAACCGGCCATTCTTGGTTGATCATCATGTTATTGTATAATATTGAAATGAACTTTGTGTGGAATTGCCGGAATTGGTGGTAAGAACTCTATCGTGTTCCTTTCTCGCCAGTTGCTTGAACTAGACCATTGTTTCCTAGCGTTCTAGTGGGAAGATATGGTCATCAATTTCTAGTCAACTAGTAGCAATGGCATTTAAATCGTCAATTGAGTAGAGTGGGGAAAAGTAGATTTTATTGACATTCGTTTCTTCCGATTCGGAAACCTCACGAATCGACAATGTGTTCTCTTGGACTCGGAGTTCTGCAGATACCAGCAATTAACGAGATTAGGAAGAGCAGCATGAATAGATCAAGTGGCGTGAGGAGGCAGTGCGGCGCGTAGCATCTATATTTTTATCTGAATTACATCACATACGTAATGATTGTGCAAGTAAATTACCTATCGGAACGTTCATCAGGCATAGACTAACTTGTACTGCGCACTTAAGTCTCACCCTATTGTAATGCTACGGGTCATTAACTGGTCCGATCACACCACACTTTCAGCTAGAGAAAGATCAAGCAAATGCCACCGGTTGATTCACCCAAGTAGGTTAGCCACATGGCTAGTAGTTGGTTGTGTATCAATCTTGCTGTGAACACCCAGCCTTATAATACGTCAGACAACAAGGGTGACCTCGGAATCTATCGACGGGTAAGCGGATCTGAATCTAGAACGAACAAGCAGAGGAGCTAATAGTTCAGCCGTATGCGCCAAGCTCTCTCAGCTAACGCTGTGCAAACCGAGTCTGTATATCCATCTGACGTAAGATCCACCCATCCGTACTCGCGAGCTACTGTAGAGTCGTGCATGAGCCAATGGTACGCTGTGACAAGGCGGAACATGATAGCTTTGGTGTTTGTATGCATGTCTGTACGGATTAGGTAACTTAAAATAATTCAAAAAGATAGGCCACTTATATCCATTATTGGAGTGACTCCACAGTTTCATTACGAAAAATAGGGCGGGAAAGCACTATCTATATACATGTATATGAGAAATCTAATGCCTTATGCCAAGGCCTCGTTATATACAAGTATACAATCAGTAGGCAATAAGTAGTATTATAAATATTTCCCCATAAGTTCCCCAATACTAGTTATATTTCCAATGATTATTTTTGAACAAGATAGCTAGCTAGCTATCTATTCAATCTATTGAAAGCACTTTTCTGCTGATGCTCCGATTTTACGTAAGTCTTTCCATTTTTATTTTCTTGTTATATAATCACTTGAACATTAACCCTGCCAAATCTCAAAGTATGTATACTATAATGCCTATCTTAATATATTCTTTGTATTTAAATTTTGTTATACCCGGAATAATAGCTTTGTATAGGGCTGCCTAGTGAAAACTTTGCTGGCGTTCATTCGTTTATAAAATGTTTCTTTCAGTGGGCTACCAATACATGCGATATAGCCCGCGAATTTAAGATGCACATATGTTCTTGCCTGTAGGCTTAAGTTTGCCAAGATAAAGCCGGCAAGAATCTGGGGATTCTAAAGTGATTAAACAGGCCTTCGGCTCCGCGGAACCCAGGTCGCGTGCTTGGGGCTCATGGCTTGCTTATATCGACAACGGAGGAAATAAGGTCCTACTCTCTAAGCTACCATCTAGGTACCTACAGTAGTCAAAGTCCATCGTCAAGATTCAAGGAGGACAATGGTACCTCCTTGTAGTATTGTATATAGGTACGTATCTCCCCAATAGTAGCACTCCTCCCCGGAAAAACACGACTTTGCCACGGAATGCGTCAATCAAGCCAAGATACTACTTTGTGCTGACCATAAGAGTCGCATTGCAGCCGCCAGCTATGCATATCCATCAATAATGGACCACTTTCCCAATCTAAATGAGGATTCATTCAGCGCAGTTGTTTCAGCTGTAATTATTGTCACTCTATTTTCACGGAAAACCTGGCAAAGCCAAGATGACTGACTCTCATTGCTGCGGAAGGCGGCTCCGTTGTTTGCATGATCCTTCGTTCGGATCCTCGCTATTTAGCCAAGTGAAATACATTAACTGTGCGCTCCATTCGTCAGTTACGAGCCATGCATGAATGTTGGCATGATCGCAGCTAAAGCTTGGGGCTCTGCTTAGACAAAATCGCGCTAACTTGCTGATTTTGGACTCTCGGCACGGCCCGAGCACGCCTAAAAGTTAGGATACTCGGACATATACACGGAGGATTCATTTTGGCTTCTTCGATTGTCTATCAAGTAATTCGGCAAATTGAGTATAGGCAACGCGCTCGGCTTGCTTACAATAGTCCCTGCTCTCCATTTTACTAATGCACATGGCTTTTGGTGTGGGTTGCCCAGCTATTTCAGCTGGCCGTTGTACCCTGCCACACCACCGATGTTATGGATGGGTCTCCATTTTAGCTTTCAGATGGATAATGTCCTGTAACTGCCCGAAACGCTTTTGTGTGCATGGACCGGCCTTTACACTTTGGCCTTGTTCTAGATCGCCGATTCTGCCTTGCGTGCTTATCCGTTTGAGTGCTTGCGTTGATCGAGATGGATGTGACGGTATTCTCACACGCTATCACATGGGAAGGGTTCTTCTGATGTTCCGCAGTTATTCTTAATAAGATAAATAGATTTGGCGCCATTCAAAAGTGTGCATACCATAATTGGCTATACTTACTCTGTACAGTCGCCGATACTCCGCTCCGGGTGCCTTGTGAGCCGCTGAACGATAGAGTGTGACACAAGCCACTGTATTTTCAGGACTAATGACAACCAAGGTAACATTGCAATCGCCACCCTCTATCTCGTAAAACGCCGAGAGAGAAGGTTCTTAAAACTCCGGAATGTGCTTAGCTGTCTAAATGGGGTATAAGGCCAAAAGCTTTGAGCTTTTACTTGATCCGTTTGATCTCTGACGAACCGTCTTTACTATCTTTACTTGAATCTGTGATGCGTGTATGTTAGCGCTCCAAGTGAGCTATTTGTGTGGAAAGCGCCGGACTGTTGCTATCCAGACATGGGCGAGTTGCTTATTCTTTAGTTCAAGTAAAGGGCCACATGCGATATGGGTCGGGTATAGATGCTTCGTTATCATCCTAGGGCTCATGAGATTGCAATTCATACCTCTAAACCGTAGTTACCTAGCTCTATACATCAAGGGAAGCGGCTCGTTTGAGTCCGCGAATACCGCGAAGGAAGAATGCATGAACCAACGTGCATGAAAGCCATATCGAGTAACATTCACCCTGCTATAAGAGCTAAGAAAGCTACAAAACGCGAATTGAAGCGTTTTCGTTACGACGTGCTATTGGGGATGCGCGTGCTAGCTGAGCAAATATCCGAAGTCACTGCTTCGATCGCTTCGATATAGCTTCCCAATGGCCTTCAAGTAGCTGTCGAAGACCAAGTAAAGAAGTCACTAGATAAATATGTCAGTGCCTGTGATTATAGATCCTTGATGAATTGTATGTGTGGAGCTTGGGCACATAGCCTGCTCTATGACGATTGCGCATAACTTGTAAAAGATAGCGTGGCGAAGACTGATTTTGAACACAAAGCAAATATAGCTGGAAAAGATATCAAACTCATAGCTCAGACTAATGAATTTATTGTTAAAATATTACATGATCTTTATTTCACGCAGTTCTTAATAAGGAGATCAGGTTGGTGCCACAGCATTGTATAATCGTGAACTAAAGAGGCATGTACTCAAGTATCTTGTGGCAAATGTCTTCGAATCCTATGACAATTCTACACAAATATAGTTTCCAGCTTGTAATGAATCCTCAATATCGGAACTTGTTCGAGGTGCACAATTGACAAAAATATTCTTTGCTTTGCGTCGAGGTCGATGGGGATCGATGATAACACAAGGCTATCTAAACAAACGGCTGGAGCAGTTCTGTAGAGCTATACCAATAGCTTGTTAGTAGGAGATGATAAGTTTTTGCATTGGATTTACTTACCAATGTTAAGCTGCTTCTTGGCTAGAATAGCGATATCTCAGCATATCCGATATAAGCAAATCGCAGTAGGGTTAGATGAATGTGCTCGAAGGTTATAAAAGTGTCAACTGGTATGCAAGATTATGTAACTTAAATGCTGTCTTGAAAGAGTAAGTATAGACTATAAACAGAACATATAGCAGAATTACAAAAGATAGTAACTTATGGAGAGTTGAGGAATATTGAATACTGAATACTGGAATGCGGGATATCGTAGATGCTGTTTGAGATACAAGGGGACCTAGGAAGAAGACTTGTAGGAACCAAGCCAGCCAAACATAACATAATGGAGTTTTGAAACACCTCGCCAACATGGAAATGATAAAAAGCTTCAATGGATGCAGAAAGAGCCAAAGGCAATTGCGCAAAAACTTGAAGGAGGAGAGTAGGCGAATCAAGAGTAGATAACGAAGCGTGAATCAAGGCAAAGCAAAATCAAACAACGAACAGGCATACCTGAATGCTGCCATGGAGTAATAAAATTGAGAAACAAAATCTGATATGCGGCAGCAGTTATTCCGCTACCCGCCCCTTATTGCTTGCCACTGGCAAACGCATATATGCAGCTGCATATACTTGCCCAGTCACAAAGTGTTCACTTTGGCCTGAGCTTCTTTGTTCTCGAAACACTAGTAGTTTGTTTGTTTTGCTTTTGTTTTGCTTTCGCAGCCCGCTCACTTACCGAATTCCTCATTGTTGTATCTTCATCCAGCGTCGCGATTCCACTATATACCATCTTCCAAGCAAGTTATCGGTTATCTTTTTCGAAACATTTAGTTAATCTGTAAGCTATAGCAGATTCGATGCCAACCTACTTCCCTTTTCATCCCCAAGTTTGAGATATCTGTTTCCTCAATCGACTATTCGGCAAGAGATAATCGCCAACATGTCCGACCGCAAGGAAGAGCACCACCCTACCTCAGTTTCAAACAATCTCAGTCTTGAATCTCTGGCTATTGACAATGATTCGAACTCTCGAGGTCAACTTGATTCGTATGAGATGACCTTGGATGCGAGAAATCGCGCACTATATCGATGGACTCGAGATACTATCGAAACGAACAACCCAAACCTAGACATGGAAGATTATTTCAGGAAGTACGCAGGCTTGGAAAGTACGCAGCAGGATGGCACATCTGAAGAAGAGATGATAGATCTTGATGAAGCTACAAACATTTCTCCATCTCGAGAAGAAGAGCTCATTGATCTGGATGAAGCTACGAACATTGCCCCGTCTCAGCAAGAGCTCATTGATCTCGATGAAGCTACGAAACTTACTCCACGACGAGAATTCCCCCTTGTACCATGGGATGCTACAGTTATGGAAGCTTTCTTTCTGTCACAGCTCGAGTATACATCCAACGACCCTCATACAACTTACGATAACATCGCCTATTTAGTCGACTCTCTTCAGTCAGATCTTCCGTCTCCTTTTCTAACTATCCTCCATCATGAGGTCGACGTGTATGCGTATAAAAGATCGCTGGAACCCAAGAAGCTCTCTTTCTCTCTCTTTGAAGACGATTCGGTCGAGGAAATCGCTCCGCATACTGCATGCGCCCGATGCCAGTATAGCCCGGTCAACAATAGTCAAGGCATGACTCTCCTGACCTGTGAGAACTGCCTCTCGGTCGAATACTGTAGCCTCGGCTGCCAAGATGCCGACTGGGGCGCTCACCAGATTATGTACTGCGTGAACCCAAGGAGCATTCCCTTCGAACAGTTGGCGGAGCCTCACACCCCCTCGTTCCTCCGAACCTCTCTCCCCAACCCCTTTGCTCGCTTGAGCAAGGGCCTCTGGCTACACGACCGCCACAAGATCGACGTGTACGCCCTCCTCATCGACTCGTTCCGGCTCCGAGAATCCGATGACTACTGGTATGCCGGCCTGAAGAAGAAGGAGAGCCTCTTCAACGGAAAGGAGAGCTCAGTCTCTCATTTCCGGGCCTTCCTGAGCTTGGCTGAGACCAAGGGGCTAATGCCCCCTTGGTGGTCGCACAAGAAGCGCGTCGAGTGCCTGGACATGGGCCTCGACTCGAGCTCCGACAACTTCCACGACCTCTGCGCCACGACCAGAGACATTGAGATTCTGGTCATATACGAAAGCGCCATTATGCTGATGCAGCTCCGGATGTTCGCCGAGTCTGTTTTGGGAACAGGCCCGGCAAGATCAAACGGGCAGCTGATGCTGCAGAAGATGGTAGTGATGGAGGAGGCCGGGCGAGCCTCGGTGAAGAAGTAGACTTTCGGCGTGAGTTTTCTTTTCGAGGGGGCATTTTGTTATTTTGTTTAGATATATGTGTATTTTTTTTGTTCTTAATTTACTTATCCTGGCTTCCAAATCTTATAATGATCAACCATATTTCGTGAAGCAGTTAACGTAGTCCCGCGACAGTCAACAGTCTTTCGTCTGGACGCCCCCTACAGCTTTTCTGAAGAATATAGTCCCGGCGCTTTGCATGTCAAGTTGGAGTATCTTTCTCGCGAAATTTATATACCTCCAACGATGGTCGTGAGCAGCACAATCACATTGAGGTGACGCGTCAATTTTTCGCTGAAGATCTGCCACGGAAGATTCGGGCGCATCGCATCGCCTTTTGAGAAGTGTATTCTGGTTTCTAAGAGCTTCTTCTATGTTGATTCCACGCGCATTTCTCATAGTCGATTCGAAAGCAACAGCTCTCTAGGCACCGTATTGAGAGCGCTGAGTTTGAGTTGTAGTAGCGGTAATCTTCTCAGTAGGCGAGGATTTGGGTGACTGGATTTTGCTAATGTGGCTGGGAATGTTTTTTGATATCCTCGATCGTAAATTTTGGCATTATTTGATGACAAAATAAACTTAAAATACATAAAACTCTAAACTGGAAGCTCAATCGCTCCATTGTGGCAGCCGGAAAGTCACACCAAAGGAAAAAAGAGAGCCAAATAATGAGCAAGTCGTGAAAAAAACAAGCATCGAAAGAAAGATGATGCACGAAATAGATATAAAATTTAATAGAAGGAGGTACAAGAGACAAGGGAGCACCAAGTTGTTCGGCTATCAAGGGTGGCCAAAAACTAATATATGCCAAAATGGTTACTTTTGAATCTGAAAGATCGATTTTCCGCGCCTCAATACGCATTATAACTAGCTAACGTTTTATTTAAATATAAGTGGCTAAACCTTGGCATCTCGGCGAGTCTGGCCACTGGTTTGATACACTTGGGAACGAGTGGCTATAATCGGATCATCGGAAGGTTCGATGCCCTGAACTCCAGGAAAGACGTTGTAGGCAATAGTCTCCTTTTGAGAAGGCAATTCTTCCTCGCCGGCAACCTTGTTCAAGGTGAGGGTGCCAAGTTCAACAAGTTTACGATCTTCTGGCCAAATCTTGGTGCAGTCATTTGTAACGTCGCCATCTCCCGCCACCTGAGCTACCAGCTTGAAGCTAATCGGTCCTTGAGCAAAAACGCCAGGTAGCTCGTCAAAGAGGAAGTTCGGACCCTTTGCCTCCAACTCGGTCTGCGGTAAATATTGTTTCCCAGATAGCGGAACCCAGCGATATCGGATAAAAGCACTTTCGCCAGAAGCATTCACAAACTTGAACGCGTTGATAGAGTAGAATGACTGTGTGCCAAAGTTTTTCGGAACCTGTCTGTCTTCTTGTACGAAGCTAGCGGCCGCTGGATGGTCTTTGGCATATTCTTCCACAGTGTTGTCTCTGAAGCTTCGGAAGACCGCGAGGACTTCTTCCCCTGTAGCACCGGGGAAGAGGGTCGAAGACTGGCAGATGATGTCTGTTTTCGCATCCTCCCCTATCAAAAATCGCACAGCAAGACCATGAGGAGTTGCCTGGGGAGTATTCGAGGGCAAGTCTGGGATTCCGGTGAACAGGGAGAATCTTGCTATGACTGGCGTCGAGGGAGCGTCGAAGTGAGGAGCGATGGATAGTTGCTTTGCTTCGCTTGTCGGGGTGAACGAACCAGCCACAAGGACGCCTCTGGCATGGGCTATACGAAAATATCGATAATTAGAGAGACACTGTTTGCGTATATCAAGATACACTTACATGGCCGAACATGGTCGAACCGCCCAAAGATGTCTTTGAGAGTGCTAATCAAGTCGAGGTGAAGCATTATGAAACTCGTGTTTTCTGTACTAGTAGAAAAGAAGTATAAGAAGTATGGAATTTCTGAAGTGGGAAGCCTCGTAGTTTAAATAGCCTGTTATACTTAAAGAAAAGAGTTCAAAGTGAGCTGACGGGCAGGCGTAGGGCTAATGTCTGAGTGGCTGAACACTATTGGTTGAGTCGCTTCATAGCAGCGATATATGGTTCGATTGAAGTCTATTTAAGCTTCTCCGAGGAGCATAATCAGTTTCAATATTAGCTACAAAGCGAATTAAGCGAGAGATTTCGTGGTAAATATAGTAGAGCTCCGTTTGATAGTTGGTCTAGTGATGCTATGCTTCAAGTGCTTACATGACTGACGGATTCCTAGCATTGGTACCACTATTGTCAAGACGATAACAACAATGCGCAGTCCTTTATTTAGATAAAAAAAAAAACTTCATTTTCAGTATATCAATGGACTTGCTTTTTTGCCATTTCCTTAGACTTTTATTAGTTAGACCTAGTTGTATCGCCTCAATATTGTTCACACAATTGGCTGCTGAGGTCAGTGATGTGGTAAGCGTGGTTGCGGCTCTGACCCGACACTAACTTCGGGACCCGCTCCGCTGTTATTGCTGAAGCCTTTTAGTGCATTCACTGCAGAAGACATGGAAACAAACATTTCTGTGGCAAGGGCCTGCAAAACAACAAGGACCGCAAAATGGATATATATATAAAGGACGGCAATGGGAGCACTGTTACTATTGGCGTTAGTGCTGTTGGTATGTTTGGTGGCATATTTTGTGCGTCAATGACCGATGTAGACCGCTTGTATGGGTATAAGTTGACGGCTTGGCTATCTCTACTTTTGAAGACGTAGAATTTAATTTTCATAGCGCCTTAATGTTTGTCTTCAGCCTTCTTCATCGTACCTAGTTTGAAAGGCGTCAAAGGATGGAGGTGTTGTAAATTGCGATTTTCGGAGAAGATTGATAAAGATCAGTCACATGCTTGTGTCTTTGCCCGCAGCGCGGGCTCTAGAGCTAGACAGGCACCCAACGTCGTTATCAGATTACCAGCTACAGCACAGCAGTGGCCTGATCAGCCGGAGCCTCAAACGCGAAGAATTGCGGAGCATCGTATTTGTTTCTTCGGCATGACATAATACTGTTTGTTATAAGAGCCAAACTGATGACTTCAATATGATTGCTAGCGATGGGTCAAGCGATTCGATGACTCGATGACTGCGGAACGGTTACCGGAGTAGGTAACTACTGCCCAAAGAGCGCTAGCATTGCGGAGTAACGCCGAAGCAGGGTCGGCAAACTGCCTATAGGCTATTCTGCAGAAACATCATTGATCCATGGATGATTTTACGATCTCGCCATCCGAAAGGTCATTTGCCTTGATCATTACTGAGCAATCAATGCGTGACGAAGCACGTTTGTCAGCACCCGCAATAAAGGGCGAGCGGCGATCCACAGTGCCGTAAACTCTCGTCCCTAATGTTGGATCCTCCACGGACCATGTACCATCGCGCAGAAGGCGTACTAGTAAGGACAAGCCAGTGTACATCGTAGTTGCCTGCAGTTTCATACTAGTCATGGTTGGAGAAATTGGAGAAACTGGTGGCGGCGCTTTAGCAACACTAGAAGTGTGTCTCACGGAAACAGCACGTGGAACGACGCTGTAGATTCGCGGCTCGTGCCGGAATAATATTCCATCCGAAGAAACAGAACCCACGGCTCGAATAATCGTTCGGTGAGCTTTTCCGCAAGCAGGCTTAGCTGGCTCCTACAAGCGCCACACACGCACGCCAGGCCTTGTTTGCATCTCAATCTGAGTAAACGGATACGGCGTGCCAGGTAAGGATAAGGATCTTACGGCCAGGAATCTCTGGCTGACCGGCGCGGCCCCAAATCATGAACCGAGCCGCTTGTCGCAGCCTGGCCTTCTCCACATGTTCCGTGGAATATCGCTGCTCGTCGGACTGCGAGCTGCGCTGATGAATACAGCGAACAGGCGCTGAATAATCGGACAATGTGGGAGCACAAGTGAGTGACCAGTTGGATTCCTCAGCCAGGCGCCTTAGGCAGCCGCGGAATTAGGACGGTGGGCAGCCGGATTTACACAGAGTCGCAGTATTTGCAGATGACTCTACCCCCTGAGAGAGCAGCAGAAACCACAAAGCGAGAACGAGAATAGCCAGACCGAAGAATACAGTTACTAGTACTAGTAATAGGGCGAAGAAGGGGAAAGCGCCCACCTCCAAGATCTCGCAATGACACCCAGATGCCGCTCGTGGCTGGGGTCCCAGGCCAAATGGCTGAGGCTAGCTGAGCTGAGCTGTCTTGGAAGACACACCGGGTCGAGCACTCATCCGGGGTGGATCTCGGCCGCCTCAGCGAGACACTGCAAGACAGGCGCTGCGTATGCCACACAGCCTTAGAGCCGGGTCATCAAATCGCAGATTTCTATCTCCGATTTCAAAGCTCGGCACACGCTTCGACTTGGGCACGGACGGGTGGTCCCACCATTATACGAATGGAGGCAAACACGACTGCTAGTCTGCGCTTGGGATGGATCGCAACATATCAGTCTTCGGCAAATGAAACGCTTCACTGCTATCTCTTCCGTCGCTCATTTCCACAGTGCGAGGCCTCCAGACCTTGAACACTTGTGACAGATAACAAAGCACCCAAGATGCACTGCAACTCTGGCAGTTTCCCTTGGCAACGTGCGTCTTCAACTGGGGCCAACTCACAAGGGGGACAGCCAGCTGGGCTGGAGCGCATTCGCCGCGATCCAGCCGCACAAAACGTTTCCTCTTTTTAGAGCAGTACCCGCAGCGGAAAGGCGACTCATAGGCCCAGTCGTATGTCGCTATTTCAACGACTTCGAAAAAAAACGGAGCTGCCGGTGACCATGTGCCGAGTCCGGTTTGTTATATCCGAATGGTGCCAATACTGGTAGCTTCGAGTCCGCGGCCGGGGGCCCATTAAACCCGACGCGCGAGGATGGGGGCAACTAGGCAAAGGACCATGCAACGCCAGCAACGTGGGAGGAAAAAAAAAAGAATGTAAATACGGCGGTGGCGCTCTTCGTCCCCCAGTCTCATCTGGCTCCTTTTCGCCTCGTGGTACCAGGACAAAATAGCCGCCCTCTTAGCCTCGAGGGAGCTTCGAGAACGAGAGCAGCAGCAGAGACGCCGAATTTTCAAAGAAGCCGAGTCACAGCAATCTCAACGAAGGCGGTTTAACTGTATCTAACCTCCTATAATACAACTCAGCCCTGAAATGAAGAAAGGACCGAATTATCCTTGACAACTCAATAAAGCTTAAAACTTGTCCCAGAGACAACAGTTTTTCATCCACTACAAGTTCTGAAAGAACGCAGAAAGGTGTTTCAATCTTTGCCATCATCTTCCGCCCACCATGGGTGCCCTCCACCGCATTCTGTCGGTACCGGTCAACAAGCCGTATCGCACACACGACCTCCAGTACAATGAGCCTCCGTTCCTGAACGAAGATGGCTACGTCGACTTTGCCCCCGATGATATCGAGAATCCTCGAAACTGGTCCATGAGGCGCCGTTTCTACATCACAATGTCGACCGTCTTACTAGTCATGAACGCCACTTTCGCCTCCAGTTCGCCCAGTGGTTGTTTCCCGTCCATCGCAGAATGGTTTCACGTCTCAGAGGAGGCTGCCGGCCTGACCATCACTCTCTTCCTGCTCGGTTACTGTGCCGGTCCTCTCATCTTCGCTCCCATGAGCGAACTTTACGGTCGCCGCTGGATCTTTTACATCACCTTTAGCATATACCTGGCATTCAACTTCCTCTGCGCCTTTGCTCCCAACTTTGGCAGTCTCCTCGTCGGTCGATTTCTTTCAGGCACTTTCGTTTCCGCCGCCCTCAGTAACGGCCCTGGTGTCTTGGCCGATCTATGGAACCCGGTACAGCGTGCCAACGCTATGGGAGGCTTCTCAGCAACGCTTTGGATCGGACCCTCACTCGGTCCAGTTATTGCAGGCTTTCTCCAGCTCAAGAAGGACTGGCGATGGAGCTTCTATGTCCTTCTCATGCTTGGTGGTGCCTCGTTCTTCCTCATGCTAACCATCCCCGAGACCCACGGTCCGACTGTCCTGCGCCACAAGGCTCGACGAATCCGCAAGGCTCAGATTCCCGGCTATGAGAACGTCAAGGCTCAGATTGAAGACAATAACCTCGGCGTCGTTGGCGTTTACAAGGTCGCCCTAACTCGCCCATGGATCATCCTCTTCGACCCAGTCTCCTTCCTCATTGCCATCTATCTATCCGTGGTCTACACTTTGCTCTACATGCTCTTCACAATCTATCCCATTGTCTTCCAGGAGAAGCGCGGTTGGAATGCCGGCGTTGGCGAGCTTCCCTTGCTTGGCACTGTTTTGGGAGCCGTTCTCGGCGGTGTTATTGTCCTCTTCGACACTCGTCGTCAACAGAAGAAGATTGATACTGGCAAAAAGCAAATGCACGAGTTCACACCTGAAGACCGTCTCCCTCTGGCCATTGTTGGTGCCATCACTTTCGCAGGTGCCATGTTCTGGTTCGCTTGGACTGCTGAATTCAAGTATGTGTTTCCCTCCCCCTTCAGTTCTACATCGCTATGCCATTTACCTCATATGAACAAAATCAACTAACAATCCATTCCTCTAGCTCCGTCCACTGGATCGTCCCCACAATCGCCGGCGGCTTCCTCACCACCGCCCTCCTGCTCCTCTTCGTCGGCTTCTTCAACTACCTCGTCGACACCTACCTCATGTACGCCGCCTCCGCCATCGCCGCAAACACAATCATGCGATCCGCCTGCGGTGCCGCCGCCCCTCTCTTCACCGTGCAAATGTTCCACGCCCTCGGCGTCGGCGGCGGTGGCTCTCTCGTCGGAGGTGTCGCCGTCCTCCTTTCCGTCATCCCCTTCCTCTTCTACAAGTACGGAGCCGCCATCCGAGCCCGCAGTCGCTTCAACCCCAAAAAGGCCTCCAAGCCTCCTGCCAAGACGGATGTGGAGGCAAACCCCGTTGTTCTGGAAGACCCCAACGAGGGCGAATCGGGGGATACCTCATCAGAGTCCTCTGGCTCGAGCACTATCGGTGCTGACGAGACCGGAGAGAAGCCTTCCGAGAAGGAGCATTCTGGTCTCAAGCCAGAAGCAGCTCACACACAGACAGAAGCGTCTGCTTCTACAGAGAAGGTGAAGTCAGAAGAGGCATGAGCCTGAAAGAATAATGATACGATAAAGAGAAAGAGGAAACGAAAATAAAGGTATAGCATATTGGCTTTATGAGCGTCACTTAGGGAATATTGTAATAGACAGCGGCATCTCCATTCTTGGACATATACGGGGGCATATAGCGGTTAATGATGTCTACTTGTTTGGAATTTATGCATCATTGCATTAGCATGAGCTGAATTGATTTGGTTCTGTGTCTTAGGGAAAGCATGAAGATAGCTTCTTGCTACTTATCATCCTTTTGTAGCGGCCAAGATTCAAGAGCAGTATTGAAATATAGTTATTAATTATTATTCTATAATCGCTATCTGTAATCCTACTACCAATAGTTAGTTGTGATGCTTAGGTACAGATACACAATGCTTCCAAGCTCCAAATGCCATTCTCAGCCTTTAAACGGCGGCCGCCTTGGGCTTCGCAACGACGTCGTTGTTCACCATGTCCACCATTTCCTGAGTGACGCTGGAAATATTTGTTGCCGCAGAAATGCTCATTCTTCGGAAATGCTCCTCGTCTCGTTCCCGGCGCGTGACGTATCCAGGCGGAACCCAGCTGCGGCTCTCCCATGGATAGAGGCCGTGGATACTGTACATGATATCCACGCTTTCTAAACTTAGTAACGTCGACTCGTACAGGAAAAAGTAGACCAGAGCTCCGGCAATGAGGTTGGCGCTGGCTAGAACAAATCCAAACCTGAAATCTATGCTTCTGGCAGCCTCTGGAGTGAGAACCCCAATCATGACTATACATAAGCGTTAGCCATAAAGATTCTTCATTTAAAAGGTAATGCGGGCGCAAATAACTTGGCAGTCGCCTTACAGTTACCGAGCCAGTTGGAGGCCGTGGCCAACGCAGCTTGTTTTGCGCGTGTCCGAAGGGCAAACGTTTCACCCATGACTAGCCAAGCAATGGGACCCCAAGTTGCTGCAAAAGACGCGATGAACATACAAGCAGACATGATCATGAAAATGGGGGGTCCCGGTAACTGCTCGCTGCTTTTCGCCATAAAGGTACCCCAAGAAGCAAAGACCAACAGACAGGCGGCCTGCCACAATGCACCCAACACAAGGGGACGTCGACGACCCCACCAATCGACCATCCAGACGGCGATGAATGTCGTACAAACGTTGACAGCGCCAAGGACCAACTGAGTTATGAAAGGGTTATTGATTCCGGCAGAATAAAAGATCGATGGGCCATAGTAGAAGAAGTAATTAATGCCCGTCCATTGCTGCAGAAAATGAATGCCCATGCCTAACAAGGTACGATAGAGAGTCTTGGGGACTTTGGCTCTGCACGAGAAGCACTCGCGCCACGAAGCAGTACCGCTTTGGCGTTCCAAAGCCAAAATCTCTCGCATCTCATGAATGTCGTTTTCAACAATGACATTCTCAGGATCACGAGCCTTGCCTCTCAGCCGCGACAGCGCTCGGCGGGCACGTTCCTAGTCTTCCCTGCCGGCAAACCATCTCGGTGACTCTGGTACAAGGAGAATACCAAATCCAAGGGGCAGCGAAAAGACAGCACCCAGACCAATGACGAGACGCCATGCAAACCCCTGATTCTGGTATTTGCTCATCAAGAAGCATACCAAGTTGCCGATTAGAATGCCAATGGTAATGAGTAGTTGATAGGAGGTGACAACTGCTCCGCGAATCTCGCGAGGAACGCACTCTGATTGGAACATGGGAACTCCAACAGAAAGATTGCCGATACCAAGGCCCGCGACAAACCTGCCCGAACTGACGTGTATCCAGCTGTTCACTGCAGTGATCTGAACAATATCTCCTGCAACGAAGAAGAGTACACCGAGAGCAATGCTCTTTCGTCGACCAAGCCAATCAGCAGAACTGGGCGGGCGTTGATTAGGAAAAAGAAAACTCCAGACAAATTGACCAGGGGCTAACTTACTATGCGCCCAGTAGGGAGCCCGCAAGACAGCCGACACTCATCAGAGAAACGATTAGAGACATTGCCAGGTCCCCATCTACAAATTTGTTGAAGTTGTCAAAAAGCAAGATGCCAGAGATCTGCCCGATATCGTAGCCGAAGAGGAAGCCGGCAATAGACGTGATGACAACAAGGAGCAGGGTATCGAAGCCGCAGGTAGCGCCTTTGATGGTGATGGACCTGGGGACAAGAACAAGTATTTTGTCAGCATGAAAAGAACAAAGAGAGGAAAAGATAGATGCCTCAGGGCTGCACACCTGTGGCCAAACATGGCGTCAAGCGTGCAACAAGGGGCCAGCCAAAGTGTGACATGCAGCAAGATGAATGAAGAGCAGCAAAGAGACTAGAAGAAGATCAAGTGTAACGAGTATTGCTAACTCTGTATCTTAGCCCATAAGCGATTGATGCTCGTGGAAGATGGGAGAGCTGGCCCAGTGGATGAATGGGCTGTAAAAATGTCAGTTGGCGCTGCCAACAAAGATTATACGCCAACGAAGCGGCAGACAGTATAGTCTGTGGATATAGTCTGTGGAAAAGATGCAGGACAAGACGGGAAGTCATTCTACAGTTTTTTTCTTGTTTATTCCAGCCACATTCACTAAGAAGGCAGGTTATTGGGTGATTTGGAGAGTAGCAGGTCGTATAAGGAAGTCGTTATGGGCGTTGAAAGCGCATCTCGCCTCAGGGGCTCCTTATCTAATCTCTCTGATCATTGGCAAGATAGGCTGCTGCACCGAGCACGTGGTTTTTGCTTTGTTTTTGTTTTTGACTTTCATTACCAAGTCAGCTGCACTTCACCTTCATCTGCCAGGCAAGTACCTTCCCGCTACAAGGGGCAAGGCAGCATCTGACTGGCGACTTGTTCATTCAACGGCTTTCATTTTCTTTTATCAAATACTCGTAAGTTATCATTCTTGTTGCAGAGTCACTCTCTAGAGATGAGTCATGTACTGACTTAACAATCTATTCTGCTAAGGCATATTTTGGCATCTTTATTCTATTAGCAACCAGCACAGTCTCGAGGTTTCTGAACAAGTCACGTCACGCAAAAGGCAGCACTTTTGCGTATCTGACCACCAAGGAAGAATACCAGCAGCATTTCCACAGCACGGAGCATCGAGTTCCATATCACGCTCTGCTTCGATAGTTGGAAGTACTAGCACTCAAGCTCGAACGACTCCTTGAGATTAACAGGTTGCACATTTGTCTGCTCAAGCATACATACATCATTTCCAAGCTTCTGCCATGGAATCCATCACCGAGTTCCCGCTCTTCCGTCATCTCCCACCCGAGATACGGATCAAGATATGGAAATTTGTGCCACAGCCTACTCGTGTGATCGGACTGTTGCCTCCCGTGTCTACGTGGTATCAACAATACTCCCAAGATATGCCTCGTGACAGCGATGGCCGAGAACTTTCCCCTGATGAGCACGCCTATGATTACCGCTATGTTGTTCAACCTCAAAGGCATGCCATATTCTCGCTTCTTCACGTGAATCGAGAGGCTCGCGCAGTTTGGCTATCGCAATTTTTCCAGCCACCTCGTCAGAGTCAAATCGAAGAACTCAACATTCAATTTGGTACTCCCTTTATCAACTACGATACGGACATCTTCACTATCTATGATGGCTGGCCACTGGATGGACTCGAGAACGGCATCGCGACAGGTAGCAGAGTCGTTGATGGCTTCATTGGTCTCGAGCGCTCGCGCATACGCAACATCGCGGTCTGTGAGTTCCCAAGACTGATTGAGCGTGTGACCAGTGCCATCTCGATAAACACGCTGCCAAATTTGGAGGTGTTTACGATACTCTCAATGGGACCCTGTGTCTTCAGCCCATTCAAACCAAAACTGGTTCGAGATGGACTCGGTTTAATAGTTCTCAAGGGATACGAGATGCTTGTAGCTGATGTGCAACGGACCTCTTGCGAAATACATCATCTATCGACAGATATAGTCCGGAGCCATAGTTTCTTTAATCACGCGAGGGTGTTTCACCCTGGATCATCATTATACCCACTTCAAGGACATCAGAATCATCTCCGATCTTGGTTGTGGCACGAGATGCAAGCAAAAAACCTGGACAAAGCCGCTGGCCAAATTGCCGGATTATGGTGGTCATGGTTGGGCTACATGCTTGACAATGAAGACGAAGGTGAAGAAAAGACTTGTCCTTTGACGCTAGATGGCTGCGGTGAGGAAGGACACTCAAAGAGAGAAATGCGAGAATAGAAACCTCCTTTCCTCATGGACTACAAGCTGCTCTACGTTGATTTCTTGCAAGAGATTTTGAAGAGAGGTAATATCATATGTTGATTTGTAGCAGAGCCATGTTATTACGGAAATTTACCGGTGGCATCATGCATAGGATCGTGGGTGGGGTTTCAATCCGGGCTAGCTTTTTATTTACTAGACGGTCCATCACGCAATATTACTATTGTTTCCTAAACTCGCATCTTCCTGAATTGTTGTTTTACGCGCCCAAGTTGAAGCTAAACTTTGATAGCGAGTCCACAAAAACTCTACTTCCTGTGATACAATGCCTCTTCAACTCGAGGATATGACATTCAAAGATGGCGCAGCCTATGCCCACACATACATCACCTCCTTCCAGAGCAACGCCTACTCCAGAGCTTCCTTCGCAGACCAGACTTTCGATCAGCGGGTTGCGGGTGTTATCCGTCGTTGGCCGAAGAACTATGGTCAGACGCTTGTTGCTTACAAAAAGGTCATCGACACAGATACAGGAGAGCTAGTCGGCTGGGTTAAGATAGGATTTGAGAACACTGACATTGACCCGAAACTATTTGCTCCTACAGGCATGTACAGTGACTTTCCCTCTGGATTCCCTCTGGATTTTCATCACTAATTGTAACAGATATACCGGACGACACTGAGGCCGAAGTTGTCACCCAACCGACCTCACCCCCAAAGGTTCAAAATACTCCCACTTCCAGGTCTGACTTTATAAGAAGAGCCGAGGCGGCGCGGGCGCGAGATCTGGGCAATCGACCTGCCATCGGTATGTCTCAAGCTACCTTTCTCTCACGTTTGATGAATATATGCCAAGCATAAGAGTTAACTTTATTGCAGTTGTATACTTGTGCGGAACACATCCCAAAGCGCAGCGGCGTGGTGCCGGAAGCTTGGTGATGGCCTGGGTAACTGAGCTGGCGGATCGAAAAGGCCTCGCCTGCTGGGTGACTAGTTCGGAGATTGCTGTGCCCTTGTACAAGAAATTTGGCTTTGTTGTAGCTGAAGAGATTACCGTGCCGCTGCCTGGGGACGATATTGGTGGAGAGACTTATACGCATACGTGTATGCTTCGTGAGCCTAAGACATTGGAAGTGGTTGTTTGAACATTCATTCTAGCGTATCCACCATGTTCATATCTCCTTCATTTATTGCTGCTTCAGAGCCTCTTATTGTATCTGCCAGTTTGAACGACCTTGAATTATTCCTCGAGCTTCTTGTAGACGCGCACATGTAAAAAGTCTTTCTGCTTTCGATATTTCATCTTTATTTGCGCTCTGAATCGGGCATGGGTGCTCCAAAATATTGGATTTAGAACGCCGTTGTGGTTTGGTTATCGGAGAAGGATATGACTGTGTCGAGAAAATTGAGGAATTCTAGAATACAGATGCTTAGCGTTTTTGTAGTATATTTCCCTTGCTTGTGTCATAAATGCTAGAGGCTCTGAAACATTATGGATCGACTCAGTTGTATTAATTATCTCCCACTATTGTTATTATCTTATTCTTTCGTATCTTCATTCGACGTAGGGCAACGCCCGATCGACGGCCTTGTACAAAGATTCTTCAACTTCGTTGTTCTTTGTAGATGTACTACCGGCAAAGTCGTGGAAACACTTGTTGCTGATATCCATTCCCGGGTTTTGAGTCGAGGTTTGATTACTTTTGCTGGACTATTGATGCAGGACTCTTTGCCACATACCGCCGCGTAATTGGAACGTGTAGTAACATTCGAATGAAAGGAATATGATTGTAGGAGTGCTAAAGGTCGATCGACTATGCGTTGCTACCATCAGTTAGCAATTTATAAGAGAGATTGTAGGAGCTTTCAATCTCTTCGAGTTCAGCGCCTCCAGCTCAATGAAAACTATCATCGTGGTGGCTTCTAGCATAGGCTTTTTGGCTTTTTGTCGCATCAAGCAACTTTCCTAAGTATAAGACTTGCGCACTTCTGCCGGGGTAGTTGTTTAGTGTGAAAGCTTGGAAGGGCAGTCTCCTGCCCGCAGCTTACTTGGTGAACAAGTCTTAAAGGTGGTAGGGCAATCTTTGCAATGACAAAGATGAAGTAACTGTAAAAAGTATCTGCAGGATTCTAGAGAAGAGGTAAAGATTGCAGAGGATTATTCCAAGGATTCATTTGAAGGATGTGCTGGTTCAAAACACCAGTATTTGCAATGCGGCCGACATCGGCAGTAGTGGTGATGGTCCCATGACTTCTGCCAAACAATGTCCACTATGCTAGGGAAAGTTACATAAGAAAAGGGTAAAAGGAACCAAAAACAATTGATTGGAAGTCAGAACAGTCACATATTCAGGAAACAGAATGCAGAATATAACAAGGCCTGTTCAACTTGGGAAGATAACTACTACTACTCCAAATAATCCTGAAGAGATTGCGAGAGTGTTTCGATATATCCCGATAGGCAGATGTGTGTTCCCATAATTCCCGAGTGTACAGCAGATAATAAGCAAATTGGGGGGTATTGGTGCGAAAACGATCGAAAGATCAAGATCAAGAATTCCATTGCGAAATAGATTACGCAGATGGACTAGAGGAAGTCTGACCAGTCTCTGAAGGGCCAGAGGATAAGAATGAATAGAACGTTGGTACAGAACCAGATAATGAACACCCAGATCCAAAATTTCTGGACCCAGAGGTCATGCTCACTGGTCTCGACAGTCTCGGTGCCGTTGATCATCATTGTTGCGAAAAGGAGCTTGATGTGCTGCTTATGAGGTTTGCTTGCTTGCGAGAGAAAGGTTTGTGCTTTGGACCGACAAAGAGACTATGGGACTGCGCCGTAGCAGAATATTGTAAAGTGGCGAAGAGCAGATGGAATGTGAAGAAAGAGAAGATGCTTCAGATTCGTGAACAAGTGGCGCTGCGATAGCGGCTTTGGCTTTGAGGCTTAGAAGAATCTTGAGAAAGATTGGTAGACGATGCGAACGTGGCTGATGGGCTCAGCAAAGTGAACAGTGTTCTCCTTTTTGCTACAAAGCCAGATATTAGCAAAAAGAAGTGAAGAGAAAGGTGACTATGATGAGATATCAAGAAAACAAAAGATAAAGGGGCAGAGAGATCAAACTGAGGACCTGAAGAGCTGGGATAGTGCCTCTCACAATGGCTTCTGAAAGAAAAGTGAAGAAACGTCATCATGAAGAGGTCATCATGAAGAGGTCCTCTGGGCGCAAAGGGAATAGGAAAGTAAGGCAGATACAGGAAAGAAATAAAAAGATCTGGTTGAGAATCAAGGGGAAGAGATAGACTTGCCTAGTGCGATGACTCTTACCACGAAACGGTCGAAACAGGGATTTGAGGAACTCGTATGCTTTGTAGAGAGTATTGTAGAGAGAAGGAAGTCCGAACTCGATGATGAGAATAATCCAGAACATGACTACGCGCATAGTGGGTGGCATTGGAAAGTAAACAAGTCCGCAGCTGTCAGCCTCGTGGTCAGGACGCGGCAAAAGTGAACCTGCAGGTGGCGTTGTTTTGTTTTTCCATTCCCTCCTGTTTTTTATATAGGGGGCCTTTTTTTCCCCTGCAAGTAAAACACCAAATCACTTGTCTGTTACCTGCGACTTGCAGTGGTGGAGATGTTGCTGTCTTGCCTCAGACTGTAAATTGCTTGTTACTCACTTTTCTTCAATGGAGACAACCCATACCCTGACCCATGCCGGCATTTGAAAATGCAGAAAGAGAGAGATGAAGTTAGAAAGAGGCGTGGATTGTGAATGAATAAATGGTATTGTAGATTTCGTGCTATACTCAACATAACAAGTTGAGGTTGTACAGACTTTTTCATGTTCAGCATGCTATGTGCCGCGTGCCGCCCAATGCAATAAATAACAACAACGCCAAAAGCCAACATGGCAGTAAAGTACATTTCAAGCTCCTTTGATCAATCCTCCTCTTTTATTTTCTTTGTATATACCCAATTTTCCTTTCGCTCATCGTATCCCTTTCTGTAAATCGTACAAGGTAAGTGCTTACCAGCCGCGGCCGGCAAGCTTCTCCTCGGGCTTCATAGAGTCACAGTTGATGCCAACCATGGCCTCGCCGAGACCGGAGCTGCACTCAGCGAGCACTTTGGCATCGCGGAAGTGAGTGACGGCACGGACAATGGCCTTGGCTCGCTTGGCAGGGTCGCCAGACTTGAAGATGCCGCTGCCGACAAAGACACCGTCGCAGCCGAGCTGCATCATAAGAGCAGCATCAGCAGGAGTGGCAACACCGCCAGCAGCGAAGTTGACGACAGGCAGGCGGCCCAGCTCGGCAGTCTGGCGCAGCAGCTCAACATCGACCTCAAGCTTGCGGGCGAGCTCGCGGAGACGCACAATGCCGCCCTCAGCCAGAGCAGCCTTGGCCTGGGCAATGTCGCGGTTGACAGTCTTCATGTGGCGGACAGCCTCGACGACGTCACCGGTGCCAGCTTCGCCCTTGGTTCGGATCATGGCAGCGCCCTCGGCGATACGGCGCAGGGCCTCGCCGAGGTTTCGGCAGCCGCAGACAAAGGGGACGCTGAAGGGGCTCTTCTCGACGTGGCTCTCGTCGTCGGCGGGCGTCAGGACCTCGGACTCGTCAATGTAGTCGACGCCCAGGGACTCGAGGATCTGGCACTCGACAAAGTGGCCGATACGGGCCTTGGCCATGACGGGGATGGTGACGGCCTCCTGAATCTCCTTGATCATGGCCGGGTCGGACATGCGGGCCACGCCGCCGTCCTTGCGAATGTCGGCGGGGACTCGCTCGAGGGCCATGACGGCGCAGGCTCCAGCTTCTTCGGCGATGCGGGCCTGCTCGGCGTTGGTGACGTCCATGATGACGCCGCCCTTGAGCATCTGGGCGAGGCCGGCCTTGAGGGCGAAGCTGGAGGGGGCTGCAGCGGCAGCAGAGCCGTTGGTAGAGGCGTCGTTGGTCATTGTGGTGGTTTGGAGAGGGAGATGGAGGGGTATCTAGAAGATGAGACTGTGGAGAGTATGATGGTTAGTATAGAAAGGATGCAGAGAGTATAGGTATGTACAAACAAGAAGAGAGGTTGAAGAGTATCCACGAGTCGGATTGAGTGGTTTGAGAGAATAGAAAGGAATTGGTCTCAGAGAAAGGCTGGCGATGGCTTCAATATATGATGCCGCGGGGCAGGCGTTCGGAAGGTTTGGTAGTGGGGGAGAGACTTGGCCGCGGGGCAAACAGACAAGTCGCCCGGCTGAGTCAATTTTTTTTTTTTCTATTTAGCATCGGAGCAACTGAGTTCCATACCAAGCCCCGAAAAAAATTACCCAAAACTAGGTACTACAGGCAAGGTAATTACAAGATTACGAAAGTACCTTTTTTGCTTCTGATTTGCATCTAGCGCGAGGTACCTGGCGCTCTGTACGGAGTACTTCGGCTGGAGATGCTCTCACGGCTTGGAGAGCGAACTCCAAAACCCACCATCTAGTGACATGAGCTACTGCATGGCGGCAGCGGGCGCCGCGCACTCCTGTGCGGAGCAAGCGAAAACGGAGCCATGGTTCTGTATCCTTCTACGGAGTACGGAGAGAGGCGTATAATGGAGTAGCCGGCCGTAGCCTTTGACAGGTGGAGAAGGGAAAGGCGCCTGTGACTTGGGCGAGGATGGAAGGGTGGATGGATGGGCGGTTGGTGTCACGGCAATCATCGGAAAGCATAGGCTGTCACTGCAGAAGAAAAGACTAGGGAGCAACAGGGCGGAATGGAGTGAATGCAGTGAGCATGGGAGTAAGGCTGCATCGATGCAGTCATTAGTATCGTCAATGCTGGTTAGTCGAGTTACAGGGAATACGAGGGCTCAACTTGTATCTGGAAAGTCAGATGGCGATGACAAGGGCCGCAGAGTCGAATCAAGCAACTAACGGCCAATCTATTAGCCACAGTGTCGAGCAGCGCCTTTGGCCGCGTCTAGAAGCCGCATGGATGCCGTCAAAAGCCTTGGCGGCGCGCCATTGCCACCCTCGTGCTGCCCCGAGATCTGAGTTGCGAGGCACAAATCCAAGATGGCCGGGAGAAAGAGTTTTACAGTACGTATCCTGTATTTGTTAGCAATGTCTGCTTGTGTACACTGCTTACTAGTTACTGCTACATGCAGTCGTATCTCTATAGTCCAGCGTCTCTTACTAGTAGGTACCGCTAAGATATCACTACTGCTGCTGCATATCATATCTCAGCATGACTATGACTACAGCCTCCAGGGCTTATTGGCAGCATTCGCTGCTTCATTCTAGCGACATCCGGACCGGCGGACCCTGTACTTCTGACCTGCAGCGCGCCTTGACCTCTTTGGGCGACTCCGGGGGCGCCTCATGCAGGTCGATGCGGCGCCAGCCTCCGTAGCGCTGGTGCCACTTTTTGCGAATCTGCATCGATTTGACACTTGCATGGCATTTTGCATTTGCAGACGCAGGGCGGAAGCACGGCCGGAGGTTTTGGTCAACTCTACCAGGCTGTTGTTATCAGATTGAGGCAGTCCCGCTGGATGGAATCAGGAATTGGAAACCTCTCCGAAAGTTTCCGATGGCGGAGCAGGAGAAGGAGGATCCTAAATAGGATATGGGAAATGAGGCCGAGGATTGTCATTTATTGCAAGATGCATCTGAAAAATAAAAGTTGCCAGGAGTTGCCATCTCCGGAATATGTGAGCGAGAGTCTAGATGTTGTAGAGGATGCCCAGGGCATGTACACTGACACTGTCTTTCTTCCCTTAACATGACTTAACTTGTACTGCTTATACATGCCATCTATTACCAAATACCTACTTACTAGATAAGCAGTAGTAATCTGGACGTACATATGCATCTACCAGGCGGTAAATACCCATCCAGTCAATGATTGTGGACACTCTGCAGTCCAAGTGCCGAGTGACTGTGCTGTACACGGAGTACTTGCAGCCTCTCGCCTCGACCCAAGAGACTGCATTAGTGCCTGGCACATGTACTTGTTAACGTGGGGTTATTCGCGCCATCGCTAGGTCACCCCGCCACCACTATCAAAAAAATCAATCTCCGGCTCAGCAGCCAGTGCAATCATAGGCCGGCTACCGGCGCTTCTGGATGAATCCATGACAGAAGCGAGCGATACTGATAAAGGGCTCCACGACCGATAATAGCTACCCGCTCCATATTTACATCTTGAATACAAACAACAGCAGAAGCAGCAGCACTTACTGTCATTATAATCTAGAGAGATCTTACAGTGCTTCTACCTGCTTATGCATGACTAACGCCCTCTTCTCCCATCTACCTCTTCGTCCTCACCACTCCTCGAAAATGATGGCCCTCACAGTCGGCGTCTTGGCTCTCCAGGGCGGCTTCATCGAGCACCTCAATCTCCTGCGCAAGGCTGCCAGCGCAGTCTTCTCACAGACCAAATCCGACACTTCCTTTGAGGCCATCGAGGTGCGCACCGCCGAAGAGCTCGCGCGGTGCGATGCCTTGATTATTCCCGGCGGCGAGAGCACGACTATTTCTTTTGTTGCGCAGCAGTCTGGGCTGTTGGAGCCGCTGCGAGACTTTGTCAAGTAAGGCTTTTCCTTTCATTCGATTGTCACGCAATCAGTATAAATATATACGAACTATACATGACTAACCGTCCTTCTCAATAGAGTCCAGAAGAAGCCCGTCTGGGGAACCTGTGCCGGCCTCATCCTCCTCTCAAACCAAGCCAACGCAACCAAAAAGGGCGGCCAGGAACTCATTGGCGGCCTCAATGTCCGCGTGCACCGCAACCACTTTGGTCGCCAGATTGAGAGCTTCGAGGCGCCCCTTCAGCTGCCCTTCCTCGCTGGCGAAGCAGACCCTTCACCGTTCCCGGGTGTCTTCATCCGTGCCCCCGTTGTAGAGGAGATTCTCTCCACGGGCGAGAGCAAGCAAGGACCCGGGGTAGAAGTCATGGCCAAGCTGCCTGGAAGAATCGACAGAATGAAGTCTGGTGTTTCGCAGGCTGTGACGAAGGATGATTCGGGGGATATCATTGCGGTTCGCCAAGGGTCGATTCTGGGAACGAGCTTTCACCCGGAATTGACGGATGATGCTCGTATTCATGCATGGTGGTTGAAGCAAGTTTTGCGCATTTGATCTGGATGAGTTACTGTTGGCGTTGCATTTTTATACCGGTTTTGTTCTCAATTTATTGTTTTTCTTAGAAGAAGATACACTATGTTTTGTATATAGACGCATCAAGTCCCTTTGATAGACTACAGCTTCAGGGATATAAAGAATTAAAGAAATACAATGACACGCTACATGATTTTAATGTGCAAGAGATCTTTCCAAGACATTGCTTTCAATTGATTTTGGTTGCCATACTATAATATGGAGGACTGCCATCTCCTGGAGGCGGCATGTGACGAATACCAAGCGCTTCATAGACCTCAGCCTTGCCCAATGCCTTGGCCACGTCCCTTACCTCCGGCGTGTTCGTGTCCGCACCAGCCTCTTTAAGCAGGCAAATCATCTCAAAGTCCTGCTTCACAAGCGCTTGAACAAGCGGCTTGACGGGCTTGATGCCATTCTTCGCAGGAGTGTAGTCCGGATCAGCCCCGTAGAGGAGCAGCGTTTCTACAAGGTCTCTTCTGCCTTGGTCGATGGCATACTTTAGGAGCGAGTCGCCGTTTGACATTTGATCCGTGGTCTTGGCTCCATGTCGAAGCAGGAGGGACACGAGCTCGGGGAGGCCTGATTCCATGGCGAAGCGGATTGCGGAAGCTTCGGTGGAGGAATCGCAAACGTTTCCTTTTGCGCCTTTGGCGAGGAGATGGCGCACAATGTCGAGCTTGTCTTCTTGTGACATTTTGGAGTCTCTGATGGCTATGAGGAGGACTGGCTGCGAGTACCAGTTTGTGGTGTTGGGATCTGCGCCCCAGTCGAGCAATAGCTTCGCCGTCTTGATTCTTCGGTTGCTAATCTCGTCGGCCAGCAAAGGGTTACCATACACGGTTGAGTCGTTGGGCTTGGCATCCATTTTCAGGAGCAGCTCTGCCATTTCGTGATCCTTCTTGTCGAGGGCTACGGCTAATAAGCTGCGACCGGAAAGGTCGGTGGAAGTAAGACTCGCGCCGAATTCCAAAAGCAGCTCCACGAGTTTCATATTCTTGCCTTGCACTGCCTTTACAATAACCGCTTCGCCGCTGATGTTTTCTGTTTTTGCGCTGCAGCCTTGCTTCAGGAGGAAGCGGATGCCTTCCATGTTGCCGGAAGTAACCACGCCGACAAAGTATGACTCCCCCCATTCAGTCTTTTCGTCAATGCTTGCTCCTTTCTCGATGAGCATCTTGGCAGTGTTGAGGCTGCCTACAGACGCCGCAAGGAAGAGCGGCGGGATATCAGACCACCCAGAGCCAGAAATGCTCGCTCCTGATGCGAGAAGCAGGCGAGAAGCGTCTTCTTGGTCGTTCAAGATGGCGCACTGCAGAGCAGTCTTGTTGTTTTCGTTGCGCCCATTGATGTTTGCTCCCTGGGTGAGGAATCCTGCTATCTGCTGAATGTCGCCAATGGTTGCGGCTTGACATAATGCGGAGACAAAGGGTTCTGGCTTTGGCTTGAAAGCCACGGCTAGAGCTTTGAATGAGTTTTTCAAGGATTGTCCCCACGAAAGCTTTGCGGGCTCAGGGCTTGAGGAAGAAGATGATGGTGGTTCGACCTCGGCGGTGTAAGGCGGAGGCTGGGCAACTGCGCTTGCTGGTTGGGCTGGTGGCGGATTGGAAGAGCTACCGCTTCCTGTCGCGGATGATGATTCGATTGGATCGAGTAGGATGCTTTTTTGCGCTGTTGATGCTTCTGATGCGCGCTCGACTTGTGTGATGATGCCGCTGGAGCGCAATAGGTTGAGACTGGCCTCTTGCTGCTGCGCATTTCCTCTGTGAATGATAACAATTTGATTGTAAGTCAAAGACGCTTTGCTGCAACTTGGGAATGTACATGCAGGCACTTACGCTGCAACAACTTGAAGAAAGCCTGTCAAAAGCTGGCTGTTTGCCTTGACAGTCCGGTCATATACTGCCAAAAACTCGCTGTTAATGAATTCGATATTGTCTACCTGTAGACGCAGTATCTGCTTGTACAAGACTGCCATTGTTCCATCGCAGTTTGTGAGATGCTGCTTGAAGGCATCGTGTGCTGCCATGGAGACAGTGGAAGCGGCGAGAGAAGCATCCAGCTGAGATGCCTGGAGTTTGAGCTCCTCCAGCGAAGTATTCAATTCCAATAGCGCTTCGAGCTTGTCCAGGCCTGAGCCCAGCGGCTCGATCAGGAGCTGCACCTCATGGAGGATGGCAATTGCCCGCTGCGCTACTGTAGAGCAAAGAGTTGTCAAGGCATTGGTAGAACGACCATCCATTGTATTGTTGATGAAAATTGTGTACAAGCAAACACACTGAGGAGGCCTCTGGTGGGGCTCTTTCGAAGATTGAGGCTGCGGTACCCGTTGTTTGTATCCTCAATTCGAGATACTAGTAGTATTGTCGCGTGCTTGTTCAAGATTCGGTGGGAGAAAACCAAATGCTGCTCCTACAGAGAATGAATCGCCACAGTATTTTTCTTGCAAGATAAACAGAATCCCTTTTGCAGTCCATTATAACCTTTTATTGCTCTTCAAACGCTGCTCCAGCTGAAAAAAAGGCTGTCGTAGGCGATGACGCAGCCTTGCGGACCACCCGTAGCTAGCTTGTGACACCACCAAGGATCTCTGCAGGGCGCATCACCAGCCATTTTCTCGATGCGACTCTGGATGCCTGGCCAAGGCCAATTGTCGCTTTTTCTTTTTCTTTTTTCTTTTCTCCTGTCACGAGATTCGAGAATTCGGTGAGGGTTAGGGTTGAAATGATAAACTGCGCAAAGTACAATTGTCGAGCAAACAACAAAGCTTCATCCACAATCAACAACAGAGAAGAACTTTGAGACGGCAGCCGACCCACCAATTCTTACTGCTGTGCCCGATATGTGCGGCGGAACACTCCGCAGTAATCGTCTTGGCGCGGCTAAATTCCAACCCCTGTCCAATGCTCAGCCATTCACTCAGCCACAACCTAGAGTCAGTAACATCTATTTCAAAAGGAAAATCTCGTGTCAGTTAATAAATGCTATCTCTATATGCTCGAATGATTAGCTTTTCTAGTCGCCTTTTTGAATTAATAATCGCAAACAGATCAACTCTTGTACCCCCCAAGTACCACCACATATTACCTGCCCATCATTGAACTTCCAAACAAAAGCATGCCAAGTATATCGCTAATGTCCTTACTCCTCTGCATCTTTCCAGATATCTTCCATAGTCTTGTCTTGCTCAAAGATATCACAGCCTCCTCCGCCCCATTTGTGCTCAAAAATCTTCCTTCCACTATCCGCCGTCTCCCACCAAGCAGCCTGGAAGCCGGCGGGATCATATGTCCACGGCTCTCCCTTGCCGCCCTTTTGCATATTCTGCCATGTATTGCGGCCTTTTGAGTTGGCCATTTTGTCGTCTTGAATCTTCTGCAGCTCTTGCCTTAGAGCCTTGAATCGTTCCGAGTTTGGCGCATTGTCGTCTTCAATGGCATTGTTGGGTGCCTCGCCGTCCTTGTCAGATCTCGGGCGGGAGCTGGGAGGGAAGAACTTGACTTCGGGATCTTCGACGACGTTGGCTACGTCCCATATGTGTCCTGCGCCCACGCGATCAATGTCGTATCCTAGCATTCTTAGTCGTCCGTAGGCGTCGCAGTCAGTGGTGTAGTAAGGGATAAACACGTCCCACCCTCCAATGTGCCGCCATGCGTCCACATTGACCAGCGTGAGGTAGTCAAAGTTGAAGAACTTGACGGCCCATTTGCTCCTGCCAGATAATCTAGATGATTCTGCTTCGTTGAGGACGTTTAGCACGCGCTCGTAGAAGGATGTGTAGGGCGTCTCTTCTTCGTGGCTCAGGATACCAACGTCCATGTGGCTCCAGAAATAGTATGGCCAGTGACGAGCCATTGCCACTCTCAGCATGAAGTTTTGCAACTGGGCAAAGTTGAGAAGGACAGACGTCTGCAGAATCGAAACACCGTATCGGTAACGAAACAAGTCGTAGTCGAGGGAAAAGGGATTCGAGTCCGACAACAGCTTTAGATTATTGGCGTCAGCAGTGCCACTGTTGTCAACGATGACAATGTCTTCTCTCGGCCACCCGCTGGCAATGTACCCAAGAACAGTCTGCCGCAACATGGCATTGTTCCTTGTAAAGGCGATGAAGAGCGGCGTTTTCGGTCGATGGCGAGGAGGCTCGTTGTAGGGAGCCACAAGGGGGAAGTAGTTGTTTCCTTGCGGTGGGAAATACATTCCATAATCGAATGATGATTCTCCCAGCACGGGAACAGCTGCTGCTTCTCTGTCCGTGGACCACATAGGGATGACAGAATATGGGTACGATATGCTCGGCCGAGAGAAGTTGGGGAGGCGAGAGACTTCAAAAAATCTCACAAACAGAGCAGCAGCACCGGCTAGAGCAAGAATGAAGAGCAATATCTTGAAAATAGGATGGCATCGCCGCCTTCGTGGTTTGCCATTGCTTTCTTCGTCGCCATCCTCTTCATCACTTGGAAATTGATGGAGTCGTAGAGAGACGGCGCGAGCAGCAATCCATCCAGGCCTGCTAGCAAATGTCGGAATCCTCGAGAAGAAAGAGCTGAGAGCTGATAGTAGACCCATTGGTTCTATACCGGATAAGGATCAAAAGAGCATAGGGCTGGTTATGAATGATGATATAATGTGTTAAATAGAACAAGACGGAAGGATAGAGAATGTAGAAGCCAAGGAGAGTGCTGCTCAATTGCACTCAAAAATGATTATTAAGATAGAAAAAAACAGGCAAACGCGCAAACAAATACCATCAGCAAACAAACAGGGCGAGCGCAGAATGTTGATGGGGCCAGGAAAAATTTCTCTCGGTACAAAGTACATCCCCTAATACGAAACCATTGTCTTCTCCATCATTGGCTCTTGTGGATAGGCAACTGTCATGACTCTCTCTAACAAATCATATTAACCCCTGACTGGTGTAGTTTCCACGAATGAGCAGTGTTCCGAGGATACTCGTATCGCAGAGCCCCAACGTGGGGGAGAGTACATATCGATGGGCCTGATTCAGCAGTCAGAGCGCTTGGCGTCTACGGCTGGTGTTCGTGTTTGGCGGCTAAATCCGTTTCAAGTCTATTTTTATTTTTATATTCCCTTATTCGCGATAACCTCATGTCCGCTTGGAGCTGAAAACGGACTTTGGTGATATAGAAATACACCGTCTATTGATGCAGTCTTCCTCGTATGCTTGAATTTTAAATAACTCCCAACTCCGATTGCTTACTTTTCTTTATCTTCTAAGCTTATATGGCAATGTTCTACATTGCCTTTGTCAGTCAGCTCTGGTAGCCAGGGATATGTATCCTATCAAAGCATCCGCCGATGCAGATTACACCAATTTTCCAACAATTTAGAATACTACTCCTTATCAAGTATGCTTCTTTGAACTTATTTAAGCTAGAGTTAATTCTCCCCGCTACACTCTCGAACCCTAGACATGAGAAGTTGTAGTCTAGTAGGTACCATTGTGGGCCATGGAAGAGAGGCAGCTACCTACCTTATATAATTTCGCAACTAAGCAGGAAGTTATATGATATCCCCACCAGTTAGCTTTTAATATCTATTTGTGCAATTAATGTCTCTAGTGGAGAGGAAAGTTTCGGCATATACACTATATAAAGCCCAAGATGCAGTTACGTATGGATCCTGTTCGACGACGAGTACAACCAACCACTCTCGCGTGGTTTTTCCTCCAATAGGTGTGAGCTCTGGGAAAAAGGTACAGGATGTGCCGTAATGCTTGTTCTTTTTACCATTTTCTTGTTAAGCTTCTTTAGTTTACTTTAAGGGTGGAATGTGACACGGCTGGCAGGACTAAGCGGCAATTTGCATCCCCATAGCGGCTTGAATCATGGCAAATCACAGCTTCTAGAATCGCAATAATGGACAGGGAATTGATATGTGGAGCGTATCCGACAGACCCATTTACAACACCGCGCGGGAATGCAGCTCCTCGTTTGGAACAACTTCCGGTTTAGTATAAAAGTTCTTATTTAGGCCTGTTGTTTTCTTGCTGTGACGTGGGGTTTTCTGCCCAGTTATCATCTCCATTTTTGCATCCCCTGGTCCATCTGCCGAAGTGGCTTGGCAGAGGGCGACGTAATCGTCTCTGCATATGGGCGCTGCAGGCCGCAGAATACGAGACCGACATCCCAACATCACTCACTCTATTTTACGCGAAAAAAAGAAGAACAAAACGTAGTTTCATCGACAGATACGCGTACAGTGGAACATAGTCGGGAGCTTCATTCGCAGATAAGCGGGGATTTAAGGGCTCGATGCCGCATCGTCTGTTGATTCATAGCGAGATCAAGCCAACACCGCTTCTTCAAGGCAGCTGAATTGGCTGCATGTGCAGTAAGCGGCCGCTCTCGACACCTCTTTCGTATCTTGGTTTATCGAAGGGCTGCGTCGATTATACGAGGTTACTTTGTTGGACATTCACTGATCCCACTCATCCAATGCCTATTGTGAATTGATAGCGGTGCAAAGTGAGCCCGTAGCACCCCTGCGGCACTCCGCAGTTCGAATTCGCACTTCGGCAGCGCTGACCTTTTCTTCCTCTTCAGCCCTGGCTTGAATGGCTCGTTTACTTGACTCTCCACCCATCTGAAACATGAAACACGCACACCTCGTCATCTCCACATATTATTCCCTCTCCTGTTGTTCCGGGCCTCGGACACAGCGAGGTGCGGGTGGCTATGTTGAGTGTAAGGCTGAAGATAACCATGCCGTTCGAAAGCTAAAGAAGCCCTATACTGGTTGGAGCAATTTTGTCGAGGTGATGATTGTAGCACTCCTAATGTGCCAGCCCCCGGTCCACATGTCTCATCTAACGCATACAACAGACATCTTGACGCTTTACAGCACTTTTCACCCTTTGCGAATCATACAACACTATCCCGCTGTCGTCGATTACCAGCCTAGCGTGGGCGGGAAGACACGAACATACCCCAGCTTCGGTCTTGGCAAAGCCCTTTCAGTCCCGTATCGCGAGCCGTACGAGACGTCAAGTCTTTTCAAGCTTAGTCCAAAGTACAAGGAATCTAGAAGCTAAGCTTCAAGCTAAGTCTGACAGTGGCCCCGGCCCGACTAACCGAATGTTTCTACAGCTCCAGTTGACACGTCAAGGCTAGGGCGAAAGGTCCGGATATTTCCTTCTGGGTTGACTCCCCCCACGTAACTTTTACTATAAAGAGAATAAGGCAATAAATATCATGATCTTGCGGATTCAATTACCAATCGCTATTTGATTGGGATAGAGTTTGCGATCATTACATTCGGCCGCTCGTGGTCAAGCTTCTGCAATCGAGCCTCTGGGTTTGAGCGAGTTGCCTAGAGAGCCGTTGTTTTGCGAACATTCGAAGCCAGCGTTTCCCAATGATGTGGCATTCTCATTACACAAGCATGCTTCCGGCTATAGATTTCGGCGTTTCTCATCACGATCCCCTAGAGTGTTATCTCTATTTTAATATCCCGCTATTACTGCTGTATTCCTGTCTCCATATTCTCACTTCTATGTCTTTCTCGCCCCTTCCACGGGTAGCTCTTTTCTCTTCCGCATTCCTTGATTCCCTATAGCCATTTCTCAATCCATGAAGCTAAATGCTTTATAATTCTGGCAATGACATTCCGATCCTAGAATGACGTAGCCTCTATCGCCCAACTTGCCCTTCAATCGTAAGGTGTGGACTAAGCCTATTATGTATCTGCATTATTTCTTCTTCTTCTTCTTCTTCTTCTTCTTCTTCTTCTTTCTATTGCCGTTTGCATCTTCGTCTTGTGTTTTTCCCGCTCTTGCTTTCGTATACTGATCGTCCCTTTACGAATCTGTGTCAGCAACCGATGTTTCTAATAACTGGAATATGTGTTCACGCGTACCAACGTCCCTTTGCCATCAACTCCAGAAATCTTACCTTTGTATCCGAAGGTATCCCAACCTAGCGCCGCTCTTCCATGGAAGTGGTTTTGGTACTGTGGCCATCATATTCGGCTTCATTATTGCCATATTTTCTTTCTCTCTCTTGCCATGGTGACTTCTTGAGTATTCGGTTCTTCTTCTTCCGTCATAGGACTCGTAGGCGCCTCTTTTCTTTTCATCATATCTGTCAGCCATCTAAATTGAAGTCATACCAACTACCACCACCTTCATCGTAGCTTTGGGCACATACCGTAAGTTTGATCGCACCTAATCAGCAAGTAGCGAAGCAGGCCAGAGCAGCGAAAGAACTCTATCACCGTGTTAGGAATTGAAAATAGAAAAGTTTTACCTCCACTTGGAATTTGGCTAAAATTTACAAAACATCAACCGAAGTAATCTTTATTTCGCTATGATACTCGGTCAAGTCAAAATCTAGTCACGTTCTCCAGAAGGAAGACATTACATAATAGTAAAAAATATTGAGATTAAGTTGTCTTGGGACATTTATTACCACATCTATTCTATTTTTACCCAGCTGTATAAACTTTGCGTTCCCTAGTCCAGTGCAGTGATTAGCAATCAGAAGCAAGATTTGAAACCGATGGGAAGCGCCATAGAGAGAACTGTGGTCAGAAGAACCCTAATTTACCCAGAACAGTGGAGGAAAGTACTCCATTGCTTGAAAGCAGACCCAGAAGGTCGTCGTTTAATGTTCATCATCATCCCACCAGGCGACAGGAAAAATAGGAAGAAACTTACTTGTTAGAGATAGAATCAGGAAATTCGTAAAAGGCATCTGCAGAGCTGGTTAGTATATTGAACTTAAAGTTAATCCTTGAAGATGAGAGAAAGACAATGTGGTCAGAAGAACCCTATTTTACCCAGAAGAGTGGAAGGTTTCTTCCATCTTTTGAAAGCAGACCCTGAAGGTCGTCGTTTTTTGTTCATCATCATCCCACCAAGCGAAAGGCATAATGAAAAGGAACTTACCAATAGAGGTTGGATCAGGGGATTCTGAACAAAGACATCTGCGCAGCTGGTTAGCTGGTTAAACCAAAATGTGATCGCCTTGAAACTGGGAGAAAGAAGGTGTGGTCAGAAGAACGATAATTGGGGAGCCACAAGAGAGTTTCTCCCCCTGCTTGAAACCACTCAATTATCGTTCTGAGTTATAATCATCCTGCAGAACAAAAAGGAAATAGAAAGGTACTTACTGGCGTTATAGAAGAAGGGGAGGAAGATGATCTAACTGAGTTACTTTTTGGAGAAGCGTCAGTAACCAGAACTGGAAACGGCTACTCAAAAGTGAGAAAAAAGTGAAGAAAAAAGTGAAAAGGTAGTCAGAAGGGAAAAAGTTTCCATTTTACCCGCGAACGCGTAGTCAGAGAGCGAGCAATCGCGTTCTTGTTGTAATCATTTCATAGCGCGCGAATGGGAGAGCGAGGAAACAAAGATTACTTACCGTAGACTGTTGAGCGCTTTGGGATCACAGGAGTCCTAGGATGAAGAAAAAGTTAGCATCCGCAACGTAGCTGAAGCCATAATAATTGTGAAGAAAGATTCTTGTCAGAAGAACCCTAATACCGCACCCACTGGAGACAAAAAGGTTTCCCCTTGTCTCAAACGCTCACTCACGAGGCCATCGTGTTCTTGTTTGTAATCATCCTATCGCACGGGGGAGAGAAAAACGGGAGATACTTACCGAAGATTGTCGAGAGAAGATGGTAAAGGCACTGAGAGAAAGAGATAGTTAGTATCTGTAACGTATTTCGAGTCCAAACGATCGTGAATGAGACAAAGATGTGGTCAGAAGAACCTGAGTGCCGTGATCACTTGAGACAAGAACCCTGAAGTGTCTCAAGCGAACGAGCATCAGCGTTCTATTATCATCATACCACGAGGGATAAACAAGAAATATGTGGTCAAAAGAACCTTATTGCCGCTTTTACCTAAGACAAGAACCCTTGTGCCTTAAGCAAATGCGCATCAACGTTCTAGAATTTCATCATCCCACAGAAGAAGAAAAAAGGAAAGAAGAAGAAGAAAAAGGAAATGTGTGGTCAGAAGAACCTTAGTGCTGTGATCGCTTGAGACCAGAACCCTGAAGAGCCTCAAGCGAACGCGCATCAACGTTCTGTTTTTCATCATCCCACAAAACAAAAGAAAGGAAATATGTGGTCAGAAGAACCTTAGTGCTGCGATCACTTAAGACTAGAATCCTGAAGAGCCTCAAGCGAACGCGCATCAACGTTCTGTTTTCATCACTCCACGAAGTAAAAAACAAAAGGAAATGTATGGTCAGAAGAACCTTAGTGCTGCGATCACTTAAGACTAGAACCCTGAAGAGTCTCAAGCGAACGAACATCAACGTTCTGTTCTTCATCATCCCACAGTGTCAGAAAGAAAAGAAAAAATGTGGTCAGAAGAACTTTGATGCTACGTCTGTTCGAGGCAAGAACCCATGTACCTCAAACAAACGCGCACACAAATTCTTTGTTTTCATCATCCCACAAAACAAGAAGAGGAATAAGGGGAGGAAAAGAAATGTGTGGTCAGAAGAACTGTGATACTGCGGTGTACAAGAGACAAGAACCCGTTTGCCTCAAACGCGCATCAACGTTCTTTGTATCATCATCCCACAGAGCGAGAGAGAAAAGAAATGCAGGCCAACTTACCAGTGGCTGTTGAACAAGCTCTTACAACCCTGTTTGAAAGCAATCAGTATCCGCAGTAGACTAGAAGTCAAAATATCATGGGAAGAGAGTAATATGTGGTCAGAAGAACGTTAATGCTGCGTCCATTGGATAGAGGCAAGAACCCTTGTGCCTCAAACGCACATCAACGTTCTGTGTTTTAATCATCCCACATTGCAGCAGTATGAGGTTGAGATTGCTTACCAGAGAAGGATGAGGAGGATCGCGGAGACTGTAGTAGAAAGAAGGAGTCAGTGCCGGCAGCAAACTTGAAGCCACAACGATCAGAACGGAACCATTTATAGTCAGAAGAACCCTGATTTCGCACCCACTGGAGACAAGAGAAGAAAGAAGCTCCTCTCGGTTCTCTAAGCGCACTCACGAGGCCATCGTGTTCTCCTTATTAATCATCCTGGAGCGAGCGAGAGAGGAAATCGATGTGACTTACTAGAGGCTGTTCTGTACGAAGCTTGCAACGACTAGTAGCAGAAGAAAGTGATTAGCATCCGCATTTGAACAAGATGAAGAAAAGAAATTCACGAAAAAAGGTAAGGTCAGAAGAACCCTGTGTCGCACCCACTGGAGTCAGTCGAGGAAAACCCTCTACTGACTCAAACGCGCACTCATAAAGCCATCGTGTTTGTGTTTTTCATCATTCCAAGGGACAAGAGAAAAGAAGAGGTCACTTACCAAAGGCTGCCAAGGCGGAGGATGATGGAGGTCCTAGGAAAAGGAAGTAGTTAGCAACCGCAGTTAAACAAGATGAGGACAAAAAGATCATGAAGAAAAGTGTGGTCAGAATAACCCTGTTTCGCACCCAGTAGAGCTAGTCGAAGAAAATCCTCTGCCATCTCAAACGCGCACCCATGAGGCCATCGTGCTTGTGTTTTTCATCATTCCAAGGGACAGGGCAAAGAGAAGAAATATCGACTTACTAAAGACTGCCAAAATACAGCATGATGGATGCCCTAGAAAAAGAAAGCAGTCAGCATCCGCAAAACAATTGCAGCCACAGTGATCATGATGGAGTAATATGGTCAGAAGAACCCTAATTTCGCACCCACCGGAGTCAAGAGAAGAAAGTCCGCTTTTAACTCGATCGCGCACGCATGTTGCCATTGTGTTTTTGTTTTTCATCATCCCAAGGTGAAGAGGAGAAAATGGAATTTACTCACAGACAGTCACTGTAGAAAAGGACAACAAGGCCCTAGGAGAGAGAAGCAGTTAGCATCCGCAGGTTGATTTTAGCCAAGATGATCATGAGGGAAAACTGGTTAGAAGAACCCTGGTTTCGCACCCACTGGAGTCAAAAGAAGAGTCGATCGTGCACGAATACTGACAGTGTGTTCTTGTTTTTCATCATCCTGACGCGAGGAAGAAAAGAAAGAGATGACTCACCAATAACTTCCGTAGAAAGAGGTCGCGAATCCCTAGAAAAAGAATATAATTAGCATCTATGACTGGAAGTTGAAGTTGAAATACAGTGAAAAACAAGAGTCTGGTGTCAGAAGAACCCTGATTTCGCACCCACCAGAGTCGAGAAAAAAACGTCTCCTCTTGGCTCTATTGCGCACGCATATGGCCATTGTGTTCTTTTTTATCATCATCCAGAGACAAGAATGGAAAGGAATGAAAAAGAAAGAGAAGAGACTCACCGAGTGCCACGAAGAAGATTGTGACTGCTCTAGCATGAGAAGGTAATTAGTATCTAGGACTGAAATTTAAAGGCAAAAGGTGATTGTGAGAGAAGAAGATGGTCAGAAGAGAAGAACCAAAATATCGTACCCATGGAGGTAACAGAGCCGACTCCATTACCTGAGCAGACCCAGAAGGCCGTCGTATGATTTGCATCGTCATCCTAGGAGGCAGAAGATGATAGAAGGAAAGATTGTAATTTACCAGGCACGGAAGAAGACAAGCAAACCCAAACCACTAGACGATTTGAGGGTGCTCAGCGATGTCGATGCAATATGATGAAGATGGAGAAGTAGGAATTAGGTGCTCGGGGAGAATAGAATCGGCAGTGTCTTGCTGGGCTCAGGTAGAAGTGCTCCAGCTGACTTTGACCAGAACCCACTCCGGCTTCGCAAAGAAGGGAAGTGAAGTGAAATATGAAGTGAAATCAAACTGATTGGTGATCCACATCTGCAGTGCAATCAAGGGGGGGTGGAGAAAACACAGAATAGAGAAGAAGTGAAAAGAAAAAAGTAGGCGTACCTGTAGAAAAAAACATTAAGTGAAAATCAAGGGGGTAAACAAAGCGGAAATTTTAAAGCCCACTACTGTTCTACGAGAGAGAGCGCTCACACGGGAAAACAAATGAGGAGGACGGGATGAAGGGGAGGGGAGACAAGAAGAGACTCAGGAAGAAGAGAAGAGGAGGAGGGGGAACATAACAGGAGCAGAGGGACAAAAAGAAACAGAACAAGAGAGGAGGAGAGAGAACATGGAAATGGCAAAAGATCATCAGACACAAAGTTTTTACGCGCATCAGCTACTAGTAGTAGCCTACATCAAGAACCCTGTTTTGTCATCATTTGAGAGCCAACCGAACCAGAATCTACGAGAGAAAAACAAGTTAGCAGTATCATGAACTAAAGAGAAGAGGGGAGGAGGGAACAAGGAATGGAACAAGGAAGAGGAGAAGAGAATGGAGTGTAAGGGAAAAGAAGACCGAAGAAGAAGAGGAGAGAAAAAAAAGAAGATTTCTGGGATCATAAAAAAATTGTTGTCTACATTTGGTGCTAACCAGGCCGAAGCCCAGCGCTTTAGAAGAACCCTTTTTTAATCACTTCCCAAGCCCCCAGAGTCCCCACCATGTTAGCGAAACTTGAGAGTTCTGCCCATGGGACTTATCTTGGGATCCGGGATGAGGAGAAGAAAGGAGGAAAAGAAGAAGAGAAGGCGAGTGGGATGGAGGGAGGTCTATATAGTTGTCGAGATCACCAGGCGGGCCCCCATGATCTGCTGCCAGCTGCAAAGTGAACAGAAGATAAAACAGCCTGCTCTCCAGACTGGCCTATAAGAATCCAGGATCACAGCTGTCTCGGTAATGGTGAGCAAGTTTATGCATAGTGGCCTGGCCAGACCGCTCCGTGATCACAACAAATACGTCACATTGGCCAAATCATCTGAAGTCCATGCAAAGGTGAGGGTCGTGATTGTTTTCTCGATTTACAATTGGCAGACCTTGACGAGGAGGGGGGCATCATGAGCTTTTGCTCCGGTGAAGGAGATTGCTGAACCTAAAAAGTCTCCGCACAGTCATGCAGTTCTAACCGGCCCCCTTGATGAGAGTTATTGTTGTAGCGATTCATGATATCTCTGTCGATTTGCAGATGTGTGGAGTAGTATTGTATGCATGCCGGTGGAGTGGTGCAGCCAAAGTTGATATGACAGCTGCGTAGGTATTAGAGTGCCAATGTCTCTGTAGCTATCCTCTGGGGTGTAAACATAGGTGCAGCTAGAGACATGGCATACAGATGAAGCTATCGCCAGTTCCAGATGCCTTCTTCACACTCCAGGCTGCATAGTCTTTCACATTTTATGGGTAAAGGGAACAACGTAGACTCTGGATTCAAATTTGAGCACCGCTTTCTTTACCCCTTTTATCTGGTGGCGCTACGTTGGATCTTGATTTCAGTTGGAACTACGCATTTGTGGTCATGATCCTTGCGGCCCTCGCGGCAGACGCTGTCTTGCTACTTCCTAGACGTTTACAAATTTCAGACGTGAGTACTTTGATTGCTTTTCGTCAAGACATATGTTAGGTCCAACACCAACCAGCTTGGAGAACGTCGTTGGTGACTAGCAAGTAGATTTCCACAAAAGTGATCGCCAGATCGCTGCCAAGCTAGATCCGTGGTTCGCGGGGAAACCTAAAATCCAACCTAAAGCTAACGACAGATAGGTAGCTTGCTACTTCGCTCCAAATCGCGACTTAATATCTCTTAGATTCAATATTCGGAAGATATAACTACGCAAATGCTAGGAGGTTTTGATTATCAGCTTTGGCGGAGTCACATTGACTACAGGCTCTGGCTGGTACGCAATCTAGTGACGGTAATGGCGGCATTACCCTAGAGCATGGAGTAGAAATCGTTGGGGGCAGTTTTGCAAGCATGCTCCTTTGGAAACATATCGCCAAAATACATAAAATCAAAAATCAAGCAAAAAAGTCTTTTAATTTCGTGTAACGGTAGCCGGCAGCTAAAGAAGATAGGAAAGCTAAAAATCTTTCCGGGTGGTTGCATTGTGTGTAGCCGCTCGATTATTCAGACACTGCACTGGATGATTACTCTGCTCTTCTGCCTGGACTACTGCATCACCATTTCACCCTATCAAATATCATTGGTCCATTCTATCATTATTTGATTTCTTCCCCTTCTACCCAAAAGCAATTTCTTCCAGGTGTAATTTATCTTTCCTGCCCCCTTTGGTTTTGGCTCGGGCTCAAATGCCGCTCATCGGCATCGAAGTACTCTGAAAGATGGATTCCAAGTGTTGCCCAACAAAAAGACACGCGACTTCAAAATTTCTAGTCGAGAATTGAGTACCGTTCGATGCTTGCCCAATAATTGCGACGGCGGCGTATCGAAATGATCCACGCCAGCGACTAGGTGGTCTCCAGAAACGAGCATCGTAACGGTATAATATTCTTTTCTTAGTTTCACTTCGCTATCTCGTCAGTTGATAGATAGTGCTTATAAGATCGAAAAATTAAATGGATTGTTTTTGGCCTCCTATCCTCAAACAACAGCGGCGCATTCCACATGAGAGTACTTTGAACGAACAAAGATGCCGAGATCGAACAACTCGTCAGATAGCTTACGACTTCCCTCTAAGCGTCGAAGAAATTATATCACATATTTGCAGTGATCGTGACCGGCGGCAGAGAGGGCTTCATCTGGGTCATCACTTGAAGAGCACGTGAAGAAGAGGCAAAAGTACTCTGGGCTACGAAAAGCAACGAGCCTCCAAGCTATTACAATCTTGGACAAGTTTGTAGTCTGCAATTATTGAAATTGCCCTCCCAGCAACGACTTTGCTCAAATATTACCCTAAAAGATACTCAAATGGGAATAGATATTTAAATAGGCCATCGGCGAAGATATATCTTCAAAAACAATTGTTGTAGTACTAGAAGTATTGTTATTCGTCCTCTGATAGATGCAATAAAACAACGGGGCTTCATACATCTCAACAAATAGCAAAAAATGGAGGCAAGCTATGGTGGTAAGCCTCCACCTAAGCGATAGACAGTACTAGATGAGCCGGCTTGGGAGTTTCGATGGACCTACCAAGTAGAGGTAATTACTTGTAAAGAGCTTTTAGCAAACTTAAAGAAAGAGCAAACCTTTTGATTATGGGCGTCCGTCTGGTTTATCGTTTGGAAATTCACTTGACATCGAGGCCTCGAAAAACGGCGACAGTGCCAACGCTGATTTCTTCTTCTCTGATGATCAGGCACTCTTGCAGGGCGCGGACTCTGTCGAGGATTGGATTAGCTTCAGGGCGCATATCAAAGCCTATTTGCAACCTTCAAATCCGAGACTATTGATAATTATTTATCGAGTAGCTAGACAGTGCAGGGTGTGCATATATTACGTTTCCAAATCATTAAAAGCTGTGGATAGGGCCAGCGTCACACAAGACAACGTGATCGCAAACGGGGTCCTTGTGGTGGTCGACGGCTCTCCATCTCCCTACACCAACACTGCCCGTGAACCCACAGGTGGCAATGCCAGCATGGACACCAACGAAAACAACTTTCTCCTTGCTTCAACGGCGAGAAAGTCGCCCGTCGAAGTTATTAGGCAATAGTCTGTGGTGGCCTGGCCGATTTTATTCCCTTCGCACTTATGGTGCTCAACCCTTCTAGCCATGAAATCGAAATATCGCCTTTTTTGAAAGCGGTACCGCTTAGCTAAACTTATTCTCTTGCATTGGTCGTGTATCAAAGGACCAACAAACGAGAATTGGAAGACGCGCTGGCAAGTTACTACATAGAGCTTATACTCTTCTTGCTTGGCTTCCAAGTCCAAAGATCTAATTCTGCTTTATCTCTAGGAAGATTTCCGTGAGATACAAAAGATTCCAACACTGACATCATGCCCCTATCGCCGAGAAAAAACCCTCGAAACTCGACATCGACGTTTTCCCATTACCGCTCCGAACATCACAGATCAACAAGCTGTCATAGTGAAGAATAAATACATTCGTGCAGAGCCAGACTTGCAAAGCGCAGCCAATCGGCTTGTCTCTTTGGGCTTGGTGTTGCGCTGATGGATCCGCCCATACACATCTTCGGCTGCTGGGAGATATCACCTCAAGCTTTCAGTCTGGATGCATAATACTTTCGAGAAACGTTCCAGTTTTTATGTCAGAATGTTTGCTATAGCCAAAATTTGCTCCCACATCCAGCCACCGAACGAGTGATGCTATGTGGCTCACGTTCCACACCCAAGTCGACTTGGATTCATCTGGATGTAGTTTGGGTGAGATTGGCATCTATCATTGAATTTGAAGAGGATATTCACAAGGTAAGTTCTTAGAAAGCTTCCAAAATAGATGGGCGCACTGATAGCCCCAAATATTGAGCATCTGTTGATTCCATCCGTCATCGATTGTGCTCGATCCTGAAGCAATATGACCAACCAATTATAGTTCCTAACTCTGCCACAGAAACGTGATAGCTAATCGTAAACAGAGCTAATCCTTTGGCTTTGTCAATTTTTTTTGCTTTTAAAGTCCAATATAAGGAATAACCTACCTTGACCATACCGAATGGTACCATTTCCTCAGACTTCGATAACAAGATGGCATTGGATTCCTTCAACATATTAATCAAGATATGTTTTTTTCCTCCCCTTTCTCTACTCCGCATGTCTGTTTTACAGAACACTATTGAGATATAACCTACTGACAATTTTGTTTGTGCTACTTGTAGAACTACTGTGTACTGTCACAACAATCCATCGTCCGTAACGACTCTCGCGAACCGCTATCTCGAAAAGCAAGAATCAAAGATCAGCTCGACACCCAAGATACTTCAATTTATTAGAGATACATTCCATTACCTGCAACAAGCCTCTGTGAATACAAGACGGAAATCGGCGAAGCGCTACAGCTTGAACTCATTACAGTGGAGTTTCCAGTCATAAGCGATCAGCTTGTTAAGCCTATATTCCCTTACAACAGCGTCTTATTTTACTGCAAAGATGTTGAATCAACTACTGCGCCATCGGGGCTACCTCGAAAGACCATTTCTACCAAAACCCCTAACCCTGAAGATCAAGATATAAAGAAAAAGACAGCTATACATGCACGCATTTTAACACAGAGATAAATCCTATTCGAAATCTTAGCGCCGCCTTGAATAAGTAATGTTGAACGTAAGGCTACCTCCCATTTGACTTGAGCCATAGCCTGGTATACAAGGTATCAACGGTTTCACGTTGGCCTTTTTCGGACGACTCTTTTTGCACTCTAGGCTTCCCAGCAGCATAAGCATTCGGCTATTTGCCTCGTGGATCAAGCTTAGCAAGTTCACACAGTTACTCGGCTGTCTTCCACAAAGATAAATGATTACTGACTTCTCCTTCGATATCTCCTACCCGAGTCAACTCGATCTATACCCACATCAAATCCTCAAACACAACTTCCTCGATTACGCGCACAAAAAGGATACAAGCCACATATATCCAATTCCCGAAAATACCTATACAGCATTATCCGCTCGCTCACAACATCCTATATACTCGAACAACCATACCCACAACCTCCAAAGCAACCTCCGCCCTAGTTCCTCACAGCATTAGGAGGCCACCAAATCATCGGCGGAAACGCCAACTCCTCAACCCCCTCACCACTATACACCTCCCACCCCAAGCTCTTATACGTCTTCATCCCCTCCTCACTCGCCTCCAAGTACGCCGGAATCCCCAGCTCGGCACACCTCTCCATCCCCCACTTCACGCACGCCGAAGCCGCCCCTCGCCTCCTATACGCAGGATCAACACACATCCAGCCCAGCAGCGCAAACGGCTGCCCCTTCATAACCTTCCTCCGCATATCCACCTCTGGCTGAATCAACTCAAGACACTTCTGCCTCTTCTCCTCATCCTGTATCCACTCCATGCGCAGAATGTGATTCTCTTGCATGTACTCCTCCTCGCTCCTCACCCTGTCCCAAACGAACCACTCCGCATACCCAATAATCTTTTCCTCTCCAGTAGCTGGATCCGTGTGTACGCACTTGACGGCCGGCCACACAGAGGGATACTTTGCAGCGTGTTCTTTGAAGCCGGTCAAGTGCTGTCCCGCAGTGAATTTGTAGTTTTCTGGTGTCTTGGGCCCTCCCATGATTTGCATTATGGGGAACGGCCCAAACGCTTCGAGAACAAGCTCCATGCATCGCGGCAAGTCTTCGTCTCGAGCATTCTCAACACGGAAATTGAAAGGCGTGGATGACATGATGAGATAAATGTATATCCTAGGAGTTGACTGGCTGTGGAATTATGCCCATTGATCTTTTCGACAGTGCAATGAAAACAATTGCAATCTATTCCGTCCAGTCTTATAGTTTATATAGATAGGATCTAGGTATTAGCTGCTCAGTGTCAATGTATCAAGAGGCACTTTTGATCAAGCAAAGCAAAGTGGAACATTTCATGACTCTTCGCCGAAAAGTGATATTACCCCGCGACTAGGGCCCCATGACAGTTAGTGTCGCTCTCAATCCAGCAGTTCTAGCTGGCCAGAAGAATAATCAGCACAATCTTTACATGTGGAGGCTAATCGGCGCGCCCTTTGAATGTAATAAAGTGCGAAAGGGATTTATTAGAGCGGCTAATACAAGAAATGGAAGGCAAAGGTCGTTAGTAGCCATACTATAGGTACTAGACAAAGAGCCTCACAAGCATAAAATCGAAAATCTCCATCTAATGCTCCCATGTATTTTTCTCTAGGTACCTGTAGATATTTATATAGGCATATCTGCTGTACACAGTGCTTAATGAATATGCATTACCCCTTGCCATCCGCAAACTATTGCCTGCTTGAACAATGCAATAAAGATAGCGAGCCACTCCGCATACATGCTTTGAGACAAAGTTAGAGATACCATTTAACGGCGGCTTGAAAGAAAGAAAAGCTTGCAACGGCATAGCTACTGGAATATCAAAGTGTCCAAACATGAAAGGGAAGGGCAGCCAAAAGATATGAAGATTGAAGAAAAAAGCGTCTACCGCTGCTACCAGTCTAACAGAGAGAGTGTGGGCATGAGAGAGAGCAAGAAACGCACTATTAGGTAATGAAGAGAGAAGACGAAACTAAGAAGGAAAAGAAGCGAATAGATAGATAGAGGAAAGGGATGGAAAATTTATACAAAAGAAGATTTAATGACCAGCGCAAGTTCTAGGCTCGAGAATTGCTATTGTCGCTATGCGCAAAGTCTGGCTTTTAGTGGCTGAAGATGAGAGAACAGTGGGAGGACGGAAAGGAAATACTAGAAAATACGGAAAAGAGATAACAGAGGAAACGAAAAAAGAAATCAAAGGTAAGGAAAGCCAAAAGAAGAAAAGAATCAGAAAAAGACGAACAAGACAGAGAAAAGAGAAGAGAGAGAAACAAAAACTTGGAGCTTTAACATGGGGAATTATTGCACACATCACAAAAGCGAGAGGCACAAAGGCAATCACACGCAAACAAAGCACGGCATCAATTTTGTAAGGGGAATCATAAAATCAAGCACGTAATCAAATTGACTGGTGACAGTTCCCCAGAGAACTGAAATCTCCAACGCCGGTCGTGATTTGAGACTCAAGAAAATGGGGGGTGCATAGTGTCGTGTCAAAGCGCAAAGCAATGGTAATTTCAACGTGAGAAAAAATGACAAAAGACGACGTGCCCGAACGACGCAAATCAGTCCAACGCCCCAATGTTGCCCCAGGTCAGCCCATCAATTTGGCTGTGAAGAATAGGAAAAGAGAGCATCAAATGGAAGTCGACAAAACCATGTCCAATTCCCTGTGACAGGTCTGGATAAAAGACGCAGCCGGTCTCTAGTAATGTCCAGCAGCTTCTTCAAACTTTACTACAGAAAACAGTTTCCAGTAGTCAGCTTTTCTGTTGATTTTTCAAATCGAAGATGGAGAAGGGACAGGGGAAAGGGGGATACAGCATATGATGTTATGCTTTGTTATTGCGTACCTGAGGGGGAACAGCGGGACCTGGAGGCCCTGAAGGGCCCTGGGGGCCAGGAGCAGGACCACCAAAGTGGTGAGGGCCGCCATATGGGCTGGGACCAGGGCCGCCGTGAGCGGGGCCAGGCATGCCCATGTAGTGAGGCGGAGGAGGAGCAGGGCGGTAGGGAGTGCCAACTCCAGAGTTGTTCTGAGATCTACCCCAGCTGAGACGCACGCGAGAGTTACCGATGGGGTAACCCTGCATCTGGTTGATGGCCATCTCAGCGGCGTGACGGTGGACGAACTGGACGAAGCCACAGCCCTTGCCGGGGGGGATCTTGACATAGGTGATCTCGCCGAATCCCTGGAAGAAAGATCGCAGCTCGTCCTCGGTAACGTATCCTGAAAGGCCACCGACGAAAACAGTGGTGTTGTTGGGATCGGTGAACTGGTTCATCTGGGTGGCCGGGTTGAAGTTGCCACCACCACCGCCTCCACCGCCGCCGCCGCCGTAGGGGAAGTTCTGCACTCCACCCCACATCTGCTGCTGCTGGGGCATACCACCACCCATCATAGGACCTCCTTGGTGTCCGTGACCGAAGCCGTGGTTTCCGCTGTAAGGAAAAATCGCCATGTTAGCCAAGTTTGCTCTTTGCAAAAACCACAGTTTAAGGGTAGGCGTATTGGAAGGGTGCAAGTAGATAATAGCCCAGGGTGGGCACAAAAGATTCATAGGAGCCTTTCGGTAGTGCAGAGTACGTGCAAAGTGAAGAAGGTCAAAACAGAGGGTCAATGCTAAGGCGAGGGACGTACCGATTCTTGGGAGTGGCAGTCGAAATCCTCATAGGACGGTTACCGCAGTAGACTCCCTGCATCTCGACGAGCGCACGCTGCTGGTCGTTTTCATCAGAGAAGCGCACGAACCCGTAGCCGCGGCTCTGGCCAGACATGGCGTCGGTCATGATCTTGGCAGACTTGCACGACGGGAAGCGGGCCTGGAAGAGCGAGACCAGGACATACTCGTTGACCTCGGGGCCAAGGTCGCCGACAAAGATGCTGTACTCGGGGCCGCGGTCGTCGCTATCGTTGGAAGTCATTAGAAACCGAATATGAAGCGGGAGCAGGAGCGAAAGTGAGTAAAACGCAAGGATGCTGAAGCAGCGAGAGGATGAACGAAGAAGAGAGAGTAGAGCGCAAATCGCAAGCGATGGACTGTTCAGGGCAGAGCAAGGCAGAAGGGGAAAAAAAAGTAAGAAAGAAAGATGAAGCTGCGCTGGAGAGGTGGTGAAGAAAGTAAATCCGAGGCGCCGCAAATCTGGGGCAAGTACCGGCCAGGCTTCAGGCACACAAGAAACTGCGTGGGGAGGTACAAGCACAAGTACCGCTGCAAGGCAGCCGAAAAAAATAGGGCAGAAAAAGAGACAAGGCTGAACACCGCATGGCTTAATTTCAAAAGGGTTACACGTACCGTCGATCCACCAAGCCGCCGCCAGAGGCCCAGTTCAGCTTGAACTGGCGCTGGCTGTTGGGCACTGCCTGTCCGTTAAGGCCAAGCGCCTTGGTAGCGGAATCGGGAGTCGGGAACTCGACGAAGCAGTAGCCGGCGTTACTGGGAGAGAACAGTTAGTTGGGAAGTACCTTTATAATGGATAGCACGCGCGGCATATGGTGCGTGATGTGGCTTTTCGGCTATAGACGAGGCCCCATCGTGGCGTTGTGCACGGCGAGATCCAATCTCAATAACAAGGCAGTATAACTTACCCAGAGTTCTTATCACGGATGACCTTGACGTTAACCGTCTCTCCGGCAGAAGAGAGGAAGACGCCCTTGATGAAGTTTTCGTCCATCCAAGGCTCAAGCTCTCCCATCCTAGTCCATTCGTAAGTCACATAATCCTTTTGCCTATCCCAGGGTTGCACTTCATCTTACCAAAGGGTGGTCTTGGCCTGGTCCTGAGTAGGACCAGCGGGAGATGGGACAGCTGACATGTCGGTAGCAGGGGGGGTTCCGTTTTGGAAAGCCATTGGACTAGCAGCACCAATGCCGTTAGATTGCGACCCGGAAAAGGAATTGTTGAGATCCATACTTGTCTGCAGCGAAGCTCATTAGTACATGTACAATACCGATGAAAGGCGCTATGGCGATATATGAGAAGAGAAGGTGACAACAAATGAAGTTGATCATTTGCAGCAGTGCCTCCCAGGAAGAGAAAAAAGAAGGGGGAGAAGAAGCAGAAGACATTGTGAGGTTGAGTCAAGTTAGATGCCGGTGCCTAGCTATGCTGTTGTGGCCATTGTTCAGAGCAAGGTCCGCCGCAGAGCAACCTTCTTTTTCTACCAGTGTAGATGAAAAGGACAGAGTTGCTTATTGCGCCAGGCCCAGTCACGAGAATCTGAAATGTGCCACTTGGCTTAAGGCAACGTTTGCCTGCATCGAAAGAGCGTCGGTGACAACTGTTCGAAACACTGGGCTTTCGTATCTCGCCAAGATTGCCAGGCTGCCAAGCATAGAGGTGCATGGGAAAAGAGCAGTAAGTGAAAAACAAGTCAACACGTACCAATTGCCGTATGCTTTCAAAAACAAGCTGTAAGATGTTTCTCAAGTCCAATTATAAATAGGCTATCTTGCCAAAGAAGATGCTCAAAGACTGTTGGCAGACTTGTCAGTACCAAAATGCTGTTGGCTGCCAACTGCAGGCAATCTCGGCCGCAGACGAACCTGAGAAAATGGAAATAGAGTTGGAGCGTCCGAATCGAAGATGAGAATCGAGAACGAAGCAATGAAGCGATATCCAGTCACACTAGCTGGACTCCAAAGAGGAAGAAAAGAGGTGTAGGAGTAAAGATATGGTCAATACGCCGTCACGCCGCGTTCAAGATGGCAAGGGGCAGAAGCGATGCTTGAAGCGGATATGGATATTCTCTTGAAACTGGAGTCGTAACGTGAAATCGTGGAACCGAACGTTTGTTCTACCGGAAATCCTAAAGGAGTGTGGTAAAACAGTTGGAACGCTCTCGAAATCAAGAAGAACCTAGATGAAAAATATTAGTATTCTGTGCGGTGGGTTGCAGCTCTTTATAGGCGCATCATGTGCAAATGATAACAAAGCCCTCTTGTCTCGTGTGTTGTGTATTGCGTCAAGGGATATTTCCTGGTCTTGAGGGCGACAATTCGGCGACACAATTGGTCCAGCACATATCCGTTTCCCTGAGAGTATCCTCAGAAGTGGCCGGTCTTTGATATCCACGTTCTTTCAAAGCGAACCATCCCTCATAGTTCCAGATCCCA